GTGTTCGTGTGTATGTGTGTTCGTGTGTATGTGTGTTCGTGTGTATGTGTCTACCGTGTGTATGTGTGTTCCGTGTGTATGTGTGTTCCGTGTGTATGTCTACCGTGTGCATGTGTGTTCGTGTGTATGTGTGTTCGTGTGTATGTGTGTTCGTGTGTATGTGTCTACCGTGTGTATGTGTGTTCCGTGTGTATATGTGTTCCGTGTGTATGTGTGTTCCGTGTGTATGTGTGTTCGTGTGTATGTGTGTTCGTGTGTTCGTGTGTATGTGTCTACCGTGTGTATGTGTCTACCGTGTGTATGTGTGTTCCGTGTGTATATGTGTTCCGTGTGTATGTGTGTTCCGTGTGTATGTGTGTTCGTGTGTATGTGTGTTCGTGTGTATGTGTGTATGTGTCTACCGTGTGTATGTGTCTACCGTGTGTATGTGTCTACCGTGTGTATGTGTGTTCCGTGTGTATGTGTGTTCCGTGTGTATGTGTCTACCGTGTGTATGTGTCTACCGTGTGTATGTGTCTACCGTGTGTATGTGTCTACCGTGTGTATGTGTGTTCCGTGTGTATGTGTGTTCCGTGTGTATGTGTGTTCCGTGTGTATGTCTACCGTGTGTATGTGTGTTCGTGTGTATGTGTGTTCCGTGTGTATGTGTGTTCCGTGTGTATGTGTGTTCCGTGTGTATGTGTGTTCGTGTGTATGTCTACCGTGTGTATGTGTGTTCCGTGTGTATGTGTGTTCCGTGTGTATGTGTGTTCGTGTGTATGTGTGTTCCGTGTATATGTGTGTTCCGTGTGTATGTGTGTTCCGTGTGTATGTGTGTTCCGTGTGTATGTGTGTTCGTGTGTATGTCTACCGTGTGTATGTCTACCGTGTGTATGTGTTCGTGTGTATGTGTGTTCCGTGTGTATGTGTGTTCCGTGTGTATGTGTGTTCCGTGTGTATGTGTGTTCGTGTGTATGTGTGTTCGTGTGTATGTCTACCGTGTGTATGTCTACCGTGTGTATGTGTTCGTGTGTATGTGTGTTCCGTGTGTATGTGTGTTCCGTGTGTATGTGTGTTCCGTGTGTATGTGTGTTCGTGTGTATGTGTGTTCGTGTGTATGTCTACCGTGTGTATGTGTGTTCGTGTGTATGTCTACCGTGTGTATGTGTGTTCCGTGTGTATGTGTGTTCCGTGTGTATGTGTGTTCCGTGTGTATGTGTGTTCCGTGTGTATGTGTGTTCCGTGTGTATGTGTGTTCCGTGTGTATGTGTGTTCCGTGTGTATGTCTACCGTGTGTATGTGTGTTCGTGTGTATGTCTACCGTGTGTATGTGTGTTCCGTGTGTATGTGTGTTCCGTGTGAATGTGTGTTCGTGTGTATGTCTACCGTGTGTATGTGTGTTCCGTGTGTATGTGTTCCGTGTGTGTCTGTCTCTCTGTACAAAGGAGAGGGGAGGGTGAGAGGTGGGGGGCTTTGATTAGCCACTGAACTGCACGGAGAAGAACCGCGGCGTCCCTGTGATGCACTGCCTCGGCCGAGTCCATTAAGTCGAGATACGAGACGGACAACACAAACTAGACGTATGTGTTGTAAACTTTTTAGATAGTATATAAAGGGGCTATTTTTTAGATAATATATAAAGGGAGTAACCTTTATAAATAGTATATAAAAGGGGTAACTTTTTAGATAGTATATAAAAGGGGTCACTTTATTAGAGAGGAAATGCAAGGGGTAACCTTTATAGATAGTATATAAAAGGGGTAACTTTTTAAATAGTATATTAAAGGGGTAACTTTTTTCATAGTATATAAAAGGGGTAACTTTATTAATAGAGAGGACATACAATGTGTTGACTTTTTTTTAGACAGGATATAAATGGGGTAAACTCGATTTTTTTTGTTCGAGACTATTGCAACGATGCCTGCCGGGGGCGACTCGTGAAGCAACGTCCGTCCCGACCATTTCCTTGTCAAAATAACCTTGGGGGGTTAACCTTGGGCCCCCCCCCCCCACCTCGTGGTGAAAATTACACATTCGTGCGGCGAGGTGGGGTCCATCCACGGGTACGATAATAATACCGTATACTAACTAACATCCGCGCACGAAGTCAAGCGTAGTGCGCGGTTTTTTTATTTTATTGTTTAAATCGACGCCAACCCATTTCGTTGAGTAAATGGAAGAGGACATACGTGTGTGTGTGTCTGACCGGTCCTGGGCCTCCCCTAGGTCGACTCAGCCTCAAATGCGTATCTGGTGAGGTGTGTTAAACATCGACACGAGGGAGACGAAGGCGGTCGGGCGTGAAGGCCACCCCGTTCCCCACCTCGTCTGCCGTTGCCGGCCTTCATAGGTACTGCTCGCTAACAGCACTTGCCCCAACAATCCAGTAAGGCTACACGGGGGATCTTTGTCTTTGTTAAGAAGTGGGGAGCGGCGGTGCAGGGTTTAGCGCTACGCATGCGCTACGAACCCGCCCTGTCCCGAGTTCGATTCCCGCTCACGACCAACACCGGTGGCGATGATCAGAACCGGTCCTGGGCCTCCCCTAGGTCGACTCAGCCTAGGGGAGAACCGGTCGGGCGTGGTGCTGGCCACCCATTCGCCACCTCGTGTGCCGTAGCCGACCTTCACAGGTGCCAGTTGCGAACGTCGCTTGCCCCAACAGTCTGCTAAAGGCTTTCGTGACTGCAGGAATTCATCATATTCTTGGTTATTTCGGTAAAGTCACGTAGATATATTTTTTTTAATCTCCGCCTGATGAAGGCCGCTTGTGTTACGATCGAAACGTCGTGGGTTTTTTGTTTTTATTATTTTAAATGTCTGATTTGTACAAATATTTTATTATTTTCTATCTACGTGACCTTACCGAAAGAACCAAGAATAGTCTGTTAAAGGCTATAACACGGGGAGGGGAGCTTTGTCTTTGTTTAGAAGTTTGTAGCGCGATGCAAGCCGCGAAGGGATATTATATTCTCCATAAGAGTTTTTTAAAAAAAATTTACACTTAAATATACGCGATCTAACCCAAAACAACCTCTATTTTGGATAATATTAGTCGCAAAAGTCAACTACGTGTTACACGGCTAATATTCTCTCGCGCTAAGCGGCACAAGCAACGCGGTTCGAGGGGACTAAACGGCGAATTGTTGAGACGCAACGTGGACGGAGAGACGGAAACGTTGGGAGTAGTTTTTGTGTTTGCTCTTCCTCGTCCTCCAAAGTGGTTCACTGCTACGCTCCACGGTGTTCATGGACACCTTAAAGACAATTGGCGATTTGACTCCAGGCAGGGCCGGATTTTAAGCAACTAAAGAACCCACAAAGCGACAGATTAACCACGGAGTGGAGGCTTTCGCGACCAATATTACGATGTTTTTGGGGAAGGGAAGACCGCGTTTTCTCTGCATCTTTTTCTTTTTGAGGAACAAGAGCGAAGGGGCATCTGCTTGATTCGGAAGTTTCTCCCCCCCAGCCCCCCCCCCCCCCCAATATTCTCGGCTCGTAGAAAAGTATTCTCCTCCCCATATAAAGTTTGGTGGTCAGCTTATTAGCAAACACGTGGCAGTATAGGTAGGGGCGTGCTAAACCTGGCAATTGTGGAAGCTACAGCCTCGCATCACGAGGTCCTCTAAATACGAAAACGATTTGAACATAATTAGAAATTTCAAGTTATTCCGATGAGAATAATAAAGGAGACGGGAGGGGGGGGGGGGGGAATGTACAATAATCTAAAACGGATAATTTAATTCCGATCAGACGAGAAATATCTAACAGGCATCGATGGGCCTCAGCGTTGCCATACCCCGACCCCGATTCGGCAGGCACAGAGAGGAGGGGGGTGGGACCCCTACGGTCGGACGAGGGGGGGGGGGCACAGAGAGGGGGGGTGGGACCCCTACGGTCGGACGAGGTGGGAGGGGGGGCACAGAGAGGGGGGGTGGGACCCCGACGCACGAGGGGTCACGACCACGACGCTTCAGGCGAGATCGTTCGAGGGAGGCGACTTTGTCGAAGGTCGAGCGAGCAGAGATGCGCACGAGGAAGTCGCGGCGCAAGCTTACCAAGTTGAATTTGTTTAAATAAAAAAAACCGTAAACGTTTGTCCTCAAAGTTAAACAAACCAATCGATTGATATGCTGCGTGGGCAGTGTTGCACAAGCCCACACACATTCGTGTGGCCTGAACAGGGAACAGGAAATACAATCGGCAACGTTTCGAGTAATGCCCCCCCCCCCCCCCCCCCCCCCCCGGCACAACACATTTGTCAATAACACGGTGGCCTTCAAGGAGAAACAAAACCCCATAACGGGAGACGTTTCGGGCAATGACCCTTAATCGTAGTAGGAAGTAAAACAAATACATCTCTACACAGTAGCGCTGCCGGTTCTTTCCCCAGACGCAGAGCAGCAGTGGATGAGATGCGGCGGCTATGTCCGTGGCGGGGTTGGGGGGTCGAAACTCAAGGCGCAGAGAGGGGGCCGCTGCGTCTCCGGAGAGACGTGATGAGGGGTACCACCACCCTGGAGATCGATCCGTGATATCGTCTCGAGGAAGCTGCGGCGGATTGTCGCATCACGAGAGCGCGAGATGGCGGCGGGCGACGGGCGACGTCAGGAGGGTTTTCATCCAGCGGTGGATTGACCATGCCTGCTATTTATTTCTTAACGCGCGGTGCGATGGCAGCAGTAAGCTGGGGGATTTAAAAGGAATGGGCGCCAGGGCTTACGGAGATCGTTGGTGTCGTCCGACGTTCCCCGCCGCCCGCCGTTGAAGAAACGCAGGCTACGCTGGAGTTGTTGTGCGGTCCACAGTTTGAGTTGAATTGCCACAATCGCACTGTGTAAATCTATTCCATTAATCTTTATGGGTCTCCGTGGGTATCTACGAGGAGGCTGAATGAGCGCGGACCGCGGGTGAAGAAGTCCCGAATCCGAGACGCGACCGGGCGTCGTGAATTTCGAATCACGCCCGATGATCGTGACGGTGGTGGCGATGGTGAACAATTGGTGGTCCCGTCTTACCTTGATGGTTCGCTCTTGTCCCCACGTTCTGCGGATCACATCCCTGCGCGCAAGGTTCCTGGCGTCGCTCTTGATGGCGATGAGCAGGGTCACGGGTCCCGGGTCGCACTTGGACCTTCGCGGCTCGAGGACGAGCTCGAAGCGGCGGCAGTGGCGGTGCGTCAGGAAGTTCTGAATCATTCCCGGCAGGCTCGAGAAGCCCTCGACGGCAGCAGCCACGCTCGCGTTCGAGGCGCAGAGTTCAGAGTGGCCGTCCCAGCTGGGCGCAGAGCCGGCTGAGCGCTCCTCCCAGAAGGGAGGAAAGAGGTCCCTCTCGCGATCGAAGTCGCCCCCTCCGCCGCCGCCGCCGTTGTCGCCGCAGTCTCGAGCACCTTCGCAATTTTCGGCCGCGATGCGATGAGGGTCGTCGCGTTCGTCGCGCTTGGGGGGGTACTTGACGAAGGTGAAGCTCACTCCCACCTGGCTGTAGATCGCGCCGGAGGCCACGATCAGGAGGAAGAGGCACGCGGGCAGCCACGTGTGGAGGCTGCGGGGAGCCGTCATTGTAGTCTACAGCGCTCCCCAGGGAGAGGTGGACGAGTGCGCGACTCGAGCGATGGGGAAACCGAAGCACCTTCAGGTCGAGGGAGGCGCAGCAGCAGCAGTGGCGGTGGTGGTGGCGACGAGAGGGAGGGGATCACTCGTGACGTCATATCGGAGGCCACCTTCCCCACCCCCCACCACCTTCCCCACCCCCCTCCCCCACCCCCCCCCACCACCTTCCCCACCCCCCCACCCCCCTCCCCCACCCCCCCACCCCCCTCCCCACCCCCCACCCTCCCCACCCCCCCACCACCTTCCCCACCCCCCACCACCTTCCCCACCCCCCACCACCTTCCCCACCCCCCCACCACCTTCCCCACCCCCCACCACCTTCCCCACCCCCCACCACCTTCCCCACCCCCCACCACCTTCCCCACCCCCCACCACCTTCCCCACCCCCCACCACCTTCCCCACCCCCCACCACCTTCCCCACCCCCCCACCACCTTCCCCACCCCCCACCACCTTCCCCACCCCCCCACCACCTTTCCCACCCCCCCACCACCTTTCCCACCCCCCACCACCTTCCCCACCCCCCACCACCTTCCCCACCCCCCACCACCTTCCCCACCCCCCACCACCTTCCCCACCCCCCCCACCACCTTTCCCACCCCCCACCACCTTCCCCACCCCCCACCACCTTCCACACCCCCCCATCACCTTCCCCACCCCCACCATCTTCCACACCCCCCGCCACCTTCCACACCCCCCACCCCCCACCACCTTCCCCACCCCCCACCACCTTCCCCACCCCCCACCACCTTCCCCACCCCCCACCCCACCCCCCCACCAACTTCCCCACCCCCCCACCACCTTCCCCACCCCCCACCACCTTCCGCAACTCTCCACCCCCCACGATTTCTCAACACCCCCCCGCCATCACCACCACCACCATCATCACAGACAACTAATCCACGTATTCACTTCGTAAACTGTTGTGCTGTTTGCGGCGATGTTTACGCATAACGCCAGTTACTTATTTGAGGCCGAGTCGACCTAGGGGAGACCAGCACCGGTTCAAGATGATCTCGGAGTGGGCCGTGTGCGGGAATCCAACCGGGGCGGCCGGAGTTGCCGGCGCAGTGCAGCTCGCTGCCTGCGACACGACCGCTTCCCACACCGACACTCACTCACAGAGACAACACAGAGACAACACTCACTCACAGAGACAACACAAAGACAACACTCACTCACAGAGACAACACTCACGGAAACAACACAGAGACAACACTCACTCACAGAGACAACACAAAGACAACACTCACTCACAGAGACAACACAAAGACAACACTCACAGAGACAACACTCACTCACAGAGACAACTCACTCACTCACAGAGACAACACTCACAGAGACAACACAGAGACAACACTCACTCACTCACAGAGACAACTCACTCACTCACAGAGACAACTCACTCACTCACAGAGACAACACAGAGACAACACTCACTCACAGAGACAACACAAAGACAACACTCACTCACAGAGACAACACTCACTCACTCACTCACAGAGACAACACTCACGGAGACAACACAGAGACAACACTCACTCACAGAGACAACACAGAGACAACACTCACTCACAGAGACAACACAGAGACAACACTCACAGAGACAACACTCACTCACAGAGACAACACTCACTCACAGAGACAACACAGAGACAACACTCACTCACAGAGACAACACAGAGACAACACTCACTCACAGAGACAACACAGAGACAACACTCACAGAGACAACACTCACTCACAGAGACAACACTCACTCACAGAGACAACACAGAGACAACACTCACTCACAGAGACAACACAGAGACAACACTCACTCACAGAGACAACACAGAGACAACACTCACTCACAGAGACAACACAGAGACAACACTCACTCACAGAGACAACACAGAGACAACACTCACTCACAGAGACAACACTCACAGAGACAACACTCACTCACAGAGACAACACTCACTCACAGAGACAACACTCACAGAGACAACACTCACAGAGACAACACAGAGACAACACTCACTCACAGAGACAACACAGAGACAACACTCACTCACAGATACAACACTGAGACAACACTCACTCACAGAGACAACACTCACTCACAGAGACAACACTCACTCACAGAGACAACACTCACAGAGACAACACTCACTCACAGAGACAACACTCATTCACAGAGACAACACTCACAGAGACAACACTCACTCACAGAGACAACACAGAGACAACACTCACAGAGACAACACTCACTCACAGAGACAACACTCACTCACAGAGACAACACTCATTCACAGAGACAACACTCACTCACAGAGACAACACTCACTCACAGAGACAACACTCACAGAGACAACACTCACAGAGACAACACAGAGAGAACACAGAGACAACACTCACAGAGACAACACTCACTCACAGAGACAACACTCACAGAGACAACACTCACAGAGACAACACTAATTCACAGAGACACTCACTCACAGAGACAACACTCACAGAGACAACACTCACTCACAGGGACAACACTCACAGAGACAGCACTCACTTACAGCGACAACACTCACTCACAGAGACAACACTCACTCACAGAGACAACACTCACTCACAGAGACAACACTCACAGAGACAACACTCACAGAGACAACACTCACTCACAGAGACAACACTCACTCACAGAGACAACACTCACTCACAGAGACAACACTCACTCACAGAGACAACACTCACTCACAGAGACAACACTCACAGAGACAACACTCACTCACAGAGACAACACTCACAGAGACAACACTCACAGAGACAACACAAAGACAACACTCACAGAGACAACACTCACAGAGACAACACAGAGACAACACTCACAGAGACAACACTCACTACTATAGAATCAATAGATAATACTATAGAATCAGTAGCTACTACTATAGAATCAGTAGATAATACTATATAATCAGTAGATAATACTATAGAATCAGTAGATACTACTATAGAATCAGTAGATACTATAGAATCAGTAGATACTATAGTCAGTAAATACTACTATAGAATCAATATATAATACTATAGAATCAGTAGATACTACTAGAGAATCAGTAGATACTACTATAGAATCAGTAGATACTACTATAGTCAGTAAATACTACTATAGAATCAATAGATAATACTATAGAATCAGTAGATAATACTATAGAATCAGTAGATAATACAATAGAATCAGTAGATACTACTATAGTCAGTAGATACTATAATAGAATCAGTAGATACTACTATAGAATCAGTAGATACTACTATAGTCAGTAAATATTACTATAGAATCAATAGATAATACTATAGAATCAGTAGATAATACTATAGAATCAGTAGATACTACTATAGAATCAGTAGATACTACTATAGAATCAGTAGATACTACTAGTCAGTAAATACTACTATATAATCAATAGATAATACTATAGAATCAGTAGATACTACTATAGAGTCAGTAGTTACTACTGTAGTCAGTGTATATTACTATAGAGTCAGTAGTTACTACTATAGTCAGTAGATACTACTATAGTCAGTAAATACTACGATAGAATCAATAGATAATACTATAGAATCAGTAGATAATACTATAGAATCAGTAGATACTACTATAGAATCAGTAGATACTACTATAGTCAGTAAACACTATAGAATCAGTAGATACTACTATAGAATCAGTAGATACTACTATAGTCAGTAGTTACTACTATAGAGTCAGTAGATACTACTATAGAGTCAGTAGTTACTACTGTAGTCAGTGTATACTACTATAGTCAGTAGTTACTACTATAGAGTTAGTAGACACTACTATAGTCAGTAGATACTACTATAGAGTCAGTAGATACTACTATAGAGTCAGTAGATACTACTCGCATTATTTTATGGAGGGTGTGGAGGTATATTTGCTTACGCGGGGGAATTTTTTTTGAGGAGTCGACAATTTATGGAAACTTTTTAGATCAACTATTTACCCCCCCAATTTCTATAACTTTTTGGACCTCTGCAAGCCTCTTATCATTTTGTTGACGGGCAAATGGACAGACAAACGGCACGCCGGGCTTTCACACGAGTTTAGTACTTGTGTATGCATATGTTATGTTTTAAAATATATTTTTCCCCCGGGCAACGCCGGGTACTTCCCGCTAGTATATATCATATACAAGTTGTAACATCATGAAGACAGATTTCCATGCAAGGCGCTCCGGTGAGCGTACGCATGGAGGGGGGGGGGGGGGAGATTAACCCAAACGGGAGCTGACGGGGACCCCGGGGGGGGGGTATGGGGGGGTGTTACGTGCCAATGTCCCGGGGTGGGGGTGTGATTTATAAACGCGTCGAATTATAAACTCGTGAGAGTCGTAGCGGTGAATAACCACGTGTATAATCTGCCAATGTAAAAACGACGACATTCAAGTCCATGCGGAGAGCGCGAGCGACGCCAAAAGCCCTCTCTCTCTCTAAACTCCAAGATCTCGTGACACAATGCAGGGGGCGAGGGGATCCAAGAGGAGCCGACAGAGCGTTCGTCTACTTTAGTTTGTATTCGCTTGCGGTCACTTGGCTCGCTGGGATATAACCTCGCAGCATTGAACAAAATGTTGACGTTCGTTGTTCATTCATACGTACATGTATTTATCAGAACCATGTTGGGTCAGGCAAGAGGGGGGGGGGGAGGGGGAACTCTCCTCCAGAATCAGAATTATTGACATCTCCTTCACAAACCACTGCTGGATGAAGGCCTCCCAATGCCGTGGGTCACGGTATTGGGAGCCGAATGGCTCAAAGGGCTATACCAAATAAATGAAATGAAATAAACGGAGGTTGATTGACCTTACTCCCACCATGCTGGTGAGTGCAAGTTCCCGTAGGCGGCCAGCTAAAATAATTCGTTCGGGTATCACTCACCACCGATGCCAGCGGTGGTCGCCGGATCCACAGCCTTCGTTGGCCAACTACTGCGCCACCGCTCCAGACGATCTCGCATCCAACTCTCACATTAATTGACCTAGGAAAAACCATCTCACCGCGGCTCAGGATTAATTTCCAGGAGGCTCCTGCCACATTTGAGATGTTTGGCCAATTCCGCGCGTCACTCCACGAGCATTTCGTTCCACGTGGGTGGAAAACCCGAGGACTGTGCTCGGAAAAATCCCACCAAGCACCCGAGGAAATACTAAAACTAGACGAATTTAAACTATTGTCTTTATTTTACCAGGTCAGGTCCCGCTGAGCTGTGTAGCTTTTTTTTTCAGACGCGACCTGGCGATCACAAATGGAAGCCCAACGAAGTGGCTTATCACGTGGACATTTCGACCAGCCAAACACTCTGACAATACAACACTCAACAGATCCACGCAGAGCCACTTTGCTCTGCTGTCATCTCGCACACCAGGTATTTTATTACTTGTCTTTATTGTTTATTTAGGATCCGGAATACTTAGGACAAACGTACCCACCACACACACACACGTAGACTCTATCGTATATATACACAGGAATGTCAAAATTGTACAAAAAAAATCAAAGAAGTTGCGTGTAAAGCTGTTTTGGGTGTGAACAGAGAGAGAGAGAGAGTGGGGGGCAGAAAAGTCCGACTGCAAGATTGCTCGGTGGGAATTAATCAATTGATGCTCAATCATCAGTGATGATGAAACTCTCCCTCTGGTCGCGTGCCATCACATCACCACCATCACAAGCGAACATTGGCTCAAAAGCGAAATAACACCAGGTCTGGACATCGGGTAGTAGGAGCAAGCTATTAGGTGAGGGTTGACTCAACCCAATAAATCCCCCCTCCCCCTCCGAGGTCGATCAAATAAGCACCACTTTGTGAAGAAGTTAACAGTAGGTGTCCTATATCTTTAGAACGTATTTCGCACCGTACGTAGCCAACCGTGCTTACCGGATTGTGTGGATACGTTGCCCCTCCGGAATGTGGACTTTCCACCACTGAGAACGCACTGGCAGGGCTGTAAATGGGAGTTGGGCACGGATGCCTCAATAGATGGGCACCGATGCCTGCATGCACCGATGCCTCAATAGATGGGCACCGATGCCTGCATGCACCGATGGCTCAATATTGAGGCACCGATGGCTCAATATTGAGGCACCGATGGCTCAATATTGAGGCACCGATGGCTCAATATTGAGGCACCGATGGCTCAATATTGAGGCACCGATGGCTCAATATTGAGGCACCGATGGCTCAATATTGAGGCACCGATGGCTCAATATTGAGGCACCGATGGCTCAATATTGAGGCACCGATGGCTCAATATTGAGGCACCGATGGCTCAATATTGAGGCACCGATGGCTCAATATTGAGGCACCGATGGCTCAATATTGAGGCACCGATGGCTCAATATTGAGGCATCGATGTGCACCGATGCCTCCATGGGCACTGATGCCTCAATAGATGAGAACCGATGGCTCAAGATAAGATAAATCAATGCTCGATCGAGCAAGGAATTCGCCCTGCCGTCTCCACAGTTCCCTCCCCACCCCCCCCCTTAATCGCTTCGGCACTTCACAGTGCAGATAACCCCCCCTCCCCCCCCATAGAGCGTCACGATCCCGGTAACAACAAAAAACATGTGATTGGATTGATTGGATGACTCGATGATGACCTTCTCTCTCCTTTGTATTGTTTTCACATTTTATTGTTGTCTGGATTTGTAGTTCCCCCCCCCTCCCCCCCGCATGAGCACGATATATATGTCCAGAGACGGCTAACGGGTCGCTGCAGGGGCTCACGGCAAATTCCAACTGTGTGGGCCCACAGACGCCTTCAAACTAAACTGTAAGTTTAAACATCGGACACCGTGAAGTCAAAGCACGGCCTCCCCACCCCCAAGGACGGGGCCCGGGGCAGTCGCCCCGATAGGAGTCATCCATTTAGTAGGTACGCAAAAATCTGTCAAAACTTGACCGCTCCCCCCCCTCCCTGTACGCACGCAGACTTTTTACACCCCTCCGCCCCCCCCCCACGAATCCTATAGAACGGTCGATATTTAATCCACGCAGAAACGATCAAGGATTAATAATATTAACGTGTTTAAGCAAACAGATAGTCCACCGCCGGACTATCGAACTCATTTTAAGGCCAATGTAGACAAATTATTATCGAGGCTTCACCCCTCCCCCCCCCGTTTCCTATGCGTACGCATTGTCAGTAGACCCCCCATACGCAAGCGTACGCATTTGGGTTAACCCCCCCCTCCCCCCTCCATGCGCACGTACTCAATGGATGGCCCCGGACGCCGTGCCCCACCTCGGGAGGGCTCTGGGCCATACCCTTCGCACAAAAGGGACAATCCCCATGTTCACCGGATTATAAGACGCACTCCTCACCGCCTTCGCTTTGAAATGCATGGGGGTTGGGGGGGGATGCGCCTCGCAGCGTGAAAACACGGCAACAGCTCGTGACGCTTGACGCCTGTATCTAGAGTCCAGTCGCAGGCTGTCATCGATTAATCGTTACACGCCTCGCCCAACCACCCCCCCCCAGAGGGACAATTAGCGCTAACCATGAGGTCAGCTTCTGCTCCCCCGTTTCTCCTCTCTTCCGCTGGTCGCTTGTGTAAAGTTGAACACGGAGTCGGCGGCTTTCGCGACCATCCATAGTACAAGTTTTTTTTGGGTTGGATCGCATGAATATGTGAATATGTGTCGTAAAACCCGTCACCACCCGACACAGCCAATTAGTAAGGAGAGCAAATCCACAACATTTACAATCTGAGTACGACAGCCAGATCACAAATCTTGCTGTCGCCTGATGGAAGCTAGTTGTAATTATTCGCGAAACGTCGTACTCAGTTTGTAAATGTTGGGGCTTTGCCCTCCAACACACCGGTGTTGCTGTACCAGTAACGAATTGGCACATTCTGTTTGCGTGACAAACCTCACTAATTGGCCGTGTCGGGTGGTGGCGGGTTTAACAACACAATTATATATTTACGCGATCTAACCCCGACAAAAAGCAGCATTACGCTTGTGGAAGGTTGACGGCCACTTTGGCACTCGGTCGCGATCGCACACGAGCAATGGACCGTGTCACACCGTCGCGATTAGGTCACGTCCACACGCACTCACACGGGCCGGCTCAATGTGCCAAGACGTCCGGTGATCCTGATAAAAGGGAATTTCCACCGCCTGCACACCGCATCCACGGCAGCTTTCACTTTGGTGGACGTCGTTACAAGTCACACTCGCGCTGCCACCGCCTACACCCCCCCCCCCCCCCCCCAGTCTACCAGCGACCCAAGATAAGATATCCGCAGCCGTCACACCGCATCTTGGATACCTTTCACTTATGATGGATTGCTGCTTCTAAAATTCAATATTTTTGTTCCGTTCCGAGTCTGCCAGGTTGGGGGGATGGGGGGGGGGGTGGGTGGCGTCTCGTGGTCACACCTGACATCCCGGCACCTACAACACCCTGCTAATCCCACGGTGGTGGTCGTAACGCCTATGCGGGCACTCTCAGGACGCTCAACCGTGCCAAAGGTGGGACACGCTCAACGCAATTTGGTCACGGGAAATTGTTGGGCCGGGGAAGCAGCCGAGTCTCGAGGGCTCTTTTCCAAGAGCTGCCCCCTGCTTTTGGGACGTTGGGCCAAGTCCGTTAAATATAAGGAGTGCTTCCGCGATTCGACTATTGACCTTGCGACTTTGAACAATGTCATCACCACGATCGATTCACGACGCGTCTACCACTCGGTGCGCGCTTCCTTGCCAGTGCGACACTCGCGGCACGCCCGCAGCCTGCGCTCCTTCCCGCACGAAGGCATCGGCAGGGCAAAAACAGGTCGCCCAGACCAAAAAAAAAGGGATGTGTCCAAAAAAAAATGCATGCGTCGCCTTGGTGGCAATTGCGGCTCATGTTTACCCAAAAATATAGAACGTATCGAGTCCGTCAGCATTTCAGCCTTCTGAACCAATGCATCGTTTGGTTAAGAATGTGAACTCGAGACCAGTTTAATTCTCCCACATCAGCAGTGTGCGTAGCCCGTCAAGCAAATGCTGCCAATGCCGTGGAATTAAAGCGCTAAATGCCTGCGAATTTGCATTCTCGAGTTTCCCCTGCGTTTAAAGTTATATTGTCACCCCCCGTGACAATATAACTTTAAACGCAGCTCGTAAAACGTTGCTGTGGAATGGCAGCTAACTGTACCTTGGTTGGGAAACTCCGAGGGGTTATTCGCGTAAAGTCGGCTTGCCGACCTTCACTCGTCCCCTGATCTGCTCGCTGCCGAGCACAAGCGGACCCCTTTTTTTTTTACGGGGTGATAAATTCGTGCACGATTCCGCCCCGTAACTGCGCTGCGTTGCGTTCATGATCGCGGCGCGAGTCACGGGGGACGAGCGTCTCGATTCAAAACTTTGGAGTTTAGATCGAGCGAGGCCTACATGTGATCTTATTTCAGATTAATTTGCATCGCGTGACTGCGCCGCTCTGTGCCCGGGAAGCGACGCCGAGAGCTCGACGTCATTCGCCATTCAACTTTTGTTCGAATCCGAAAACAAAAATAATTTCAGGCCCCATTGTTTGCAGTTTTCAAATTCATCCATAATTTGGGGGAACTCAACCCCTACCGTGAAATGATCCTTCGGCCGGATCGCGCAGCGACCACGAGGCTTTGCTCGACGCAACGAATGGACGGAGCGAGCCGAGCGAGCCGCGCGAGGCCGGCCCCGGCGTCCTCGACCAAGGTTTCGTAGGCAGTGGTGGGGAAAAAAAGCGAAACTTGCCGTCGGCGTTTGCTCAGTCGTGCGACCTTGGCGCACGTCCACGCTCTCTCCCTTCAAAATACCGTTCCATTCACCACGGAACCGTGTCGAAACCACAACGACAAAGTATTGCGACGTAAAGAAATTCTCTGAAGAAACTCGGTTCTTGATAAAAAATAAAAAAAACGCCCGCTCTTCCGCCGGAAGCGCGTTACGCAACGCGACACCGTCCGAGAGCTCGAGTCGAGTTTCTTTCCATCGGGGGTCGGACGCACGGAAACGACCTCGGAGTTGGCGGGGGGGGGGGGGGGGGTCGTTCCGCTACGAAGATCCACGAGGGTCAGCCAAAATGGCCCATGAAGGAGGCCACCGAGAGGCCACAAGCTTGCCCTGCCCCACCTCGTCCAGATTGGTGTGGGGATGGCCGCCTCATCTCCCACGTCCCCACACCCAAGACAGCACACCCCCCCCCCCACCCCACCCCCGCACACTAACCCGGGGTTACCACCCGTCCTGGTTTTCCCAGGATCGTCTTCTTTTTGGGGTGGCGGCCCTGCTGGGAAACCTGCGGGTCTTCCCAGGGCTTCAAAAGTCCCGGTGTTTGCCAATCGTGAAATAATTATCACCACACCACTTCCAAGACTGATGCTTTTACATTCCCGTGGGCTTTTGTTAGAGGAGACCACAAACTGTCCCAGGAGAGCTCGGTTCAACCGGCTACGGCTGCGCCCGACCGCTCTGCTTACGTTCCTAGAGGTTGCCACCCACCCCCGCCACCCTCATCCCACCCAGCAGCTTTGTTTGGCAGATGCGTGCAAGCCGGCCCGACGGTCAAACGTACATCGTAACCATCTATCAGGCTCGCTGCTACGTTTACGGCACAACACGCCACGAAGGAATGACACCACGGTGACAGGGGGTGGGGTTGCAGGAAGTGCGATGCAAAAACCTAAGCGGCGGCTAAATAGGTCGTGTTAATCGCTCGCTCGTTAAAAATAATGCGCGTCCGACTCGTGTGCAGGTGACTGCGATGATTCGACCGTTGCTGTTGCAACGTCTCGTCGGCCGGGCTCCTCCACTCGGTGTTTCGCTCCATCGCTTGCACGCCGCAGTTGGCGCCCCCGCTCCGTGCCAGCGCTGTCAGGTTAAGACTCCCAGCAGCGCCACCCGCATCGCCGCTATCGCCCCAAAACCTGCGGGTTGGGGTGGGGAGCGGGGGGGCGCTGGGTTCAGTGGCTCGGCTCCAGCGACGAGCGGACGTTGATCGACCATCCGAGCGATGCTGCTGATTGCGGTCGGCGAAAATTTCCGCTTGCTTGGGAGTCCAGTTCGTAGTTTTCACATCCACGGGCGCAGAAGCAGCTGCAGTTGAGCGTGGTGGTTTGATGTTGGCGAAGCAACGACGATCGCCTGTGCCGACTGCACGTGCCGTTGGCACTCGTACCGCCGGATCTACGTCTCACAGGAGCCGGTCCCGCGACGCAAGGCCCATCACGCCGACAAGGTTCACAACTTTACACGACAGTGGCTCGCATGGCTGTGTGTGCACGCGAATGAACTCCGACGTCATCCGTTTGCCCGACTTTCCAAAACAATTATGAGAAGGTTAAGTTGCGGTGAGATAAATTATCACGTGTAAAACAACACGAGGCCTCTAAAGAACCCTGTCCCACCAAAAAACTCCAACGACCATTTGACCGATTTAATTCTGATGTCATTCGCAGAGGAGGTAACTCAAATCTGTTTGCCCGACTTTACAAAAGAGGGTCGTCGTCCCCCCCCCGCCCCCCCGAAAGGTTAAGTCGTGATGAGATAAATTATAAAGCGTGTGAAAAAATATATAACGCGACACAGATAGAAGCCTGTCCCACAAATCACGTCAACGACCATCGGACCGATTGCATTCCAAAGTTGTTCCGTCGGAGGCTGCGCGACGCACCGATCTGCGCGTCACCGTTTGGGAAAGTGGATCAGGAGAAGGCAGCAGGGATATTGCCACGGTCTGCCACGGGTTACGTTACACGTCACTCGCACCACACTTCTCTTGCTCTTTCACCACCTCCGCACGCTAAACGGTATTTTATAAGCGTATATACCGGTATACTAACCACACACAGTGTATGCCACATCGAGGAGACTCGGACTGTGCGTGTTGCGCGAGTCCCGTACGTACGCATTAACAACATCGTTCCGGAGGAAATGTGGAAGTAAAAAAAAATACTAATTCCACCCCCCCCCCCCCCCCGACAGCAGCTGCCGTGGCAGCAGTAGCAGCGAGCCTCGCAGGCGAGTGTCCCGCAATTCCCGATTTCTTGGAAATGTTTTAACTTCCCGCCGCACGTGCTACCATTATATTTACACCCCGCAGTCTCACTCATTCCGCGGCAGGTGATCGCGCGGCTCATCGCACGCGTTACGCATCAAACCGCGCCAAGACCACGGAGATCGGAGCCTCCGTGCCCGTCAGCCGGACGCGTGCACCGTGCTACATGAGCGAGCGCTGTCCCTGGTTTTCGAATTCTGCCCACGCGTCGTTCAGCTCCATGAATATCATCTTGGCGTACTGCTCGTAGGGCTGCCCCGTCGCCTGCAAAGGGTCAAAGGGGGTCACAGGGGGGGGGGGGGGGGGTTCGCATCTCGCTGGTTAATCGGATTTCCGCGACGGCGTCAGTTGCAAAGACGCGCGCGAGGTTACGGCATCACGGTTAGGGCAGGACAGGCGCGTCACAAGTCGCGACTTAGAGCGAGTCCTCGTTTAGCGCGGGAAGGATGCGTTCCTGTAAAGTGCCGCGTTAAGGGAAAAACGCTTTAAGCGAAAAAAACGTCCCCATAAATAATGTAACGTTAAAGTTTGGCGAGTTGCGATGTGCTACTACGCACACGCAGTGAGATGGCGGGACAAATAACTGGGGGATATGCTGCCGCGTTTCTGTATCATTCCGCATACCGTATCACTCTGCACAGCCACCGCAGCTCAAGAAAGTAGTGCGTCAACAACCGCTCAGGAAAACACGTAATAACGGTGCGTGTTCCGCGTCATCACGGTGCGCACGTTTGACGTTAGAAGAACCGCATCGTGGCGAAAACGCCATGGAGTGCGAAACACCACGCATTAACAAGCCACTGCAACAATGCACTTTTAAATCAAGATTGAAAAAAAACTCATTTCGATAAAACTGCTTTTTGTGATGAGTTTCTTGTCCTTCCCCCGCACCTCCGATTAGCACGGTTGGCCCCGTACTGTGCGTAAGAAGTTCAACATACGCACGCGTACAAAAGCTAAAGCTTGCCGTATTTAATTAGTCGAGCAGCGAGAACACGCATGCGCAACGTGTGTCAGTGCTAGGGATCGTTCCACACGGCCCGGCTGTGCGCGCTCACGTGTTGTTATGAATGCGCGCGATGGCGCCGTGGATGCTCGCGCGCGCTGGGTCGCTCCTGAATCTTGAGCGAACTCCGCCCCGACTTCTCTTTGAACGTGCGCCTCTACGAGTTGTATACTTAACGCTGCACGTGCGTGCGGTGTCGTGACGTGTTTGCTGTACGTGTGTCGCAACACACCTCCTTGCGATCCAAGAAGTTAAACAGTCTCAATGGATTATCCATTTCAAAATAACAAACGTCTCCTTTGTATTTGCCCGTTTTGCATTTCTTATGTTCTGTCCCGTGTGTTGGTTTCGTGATGTTATGGTTTTATTTTTTGCGCATTGCTGCACTTCCCATTTGAGTCAACATTTCTTGAAAATGCGCTTCAACTGCACTTCTCTCTCAACAATAGTGTCACGAGTCTTCTAATAATGACGGTCTGGGTCTAGATTGCTTTTAATGCATTCCCTAGCAGCCGAGCAGAAACGTCGCCTCTTCTGTGCCCCCCCCCCCCCTTCACATATCCCCCACAGCCACTGGCGGAGCCAGTGGGGGGGTGGGGTGGCATGTGCCCCCCCAATGATCCGATCGAAATCCCTCATTTCAATCGGATAATTTGGGTTTATTAGTAATAAATTGGCATTTTGCGACCCCCACTGCCACTGTGTAGCAGATTTTTATGTGCCAGGGACTCTATGAGATGATAGGACAATAGCCCGAGTCCATAATTGGCAATAAGTAACGGCAAAGCAGTTGTTAAAAGTGACTCACAGAATTGTGCGCAGTTGCGTATACAGAGTCCACGACTTCCCTGAAGGCATTCACCTTCAGCGAGCGCGATGCCGATCACACAACGCGGTTCGAATTCGACCCTCGATCGATGGCTGCACCATCACCGCACACGCGTCGAATAAAAAGCAAGGGACAAGTCCTTACTTACTAACAACTCCTTACTTACTAACAACTCCTTACTAACAACTACTTACTAACAACTCCTTACTTACTAACTCCTTACTTACTAACAACTCCTTACTTACTAACAACTCCTTACTTACTAACAACTCCTTACTTACTAACAACTCCTTACTTACTAACAACTCCTCTATCATTTTCATTGCTGGAGGGGTTGCCCCCCCTAGCTGAAAACCCTGGCTCCGCCATTGCCCATAGCCCCTCCCCTCAGTCCTCTGAAGCCCGTACCTCCCTGCCCCTTTGCCTTTGTCTAGTGGTTAGCGCATTAAATCACGACGTTTCGGGCGCAACACAAGCGTCTGTCATCAGGTGGGACAACCACAGAAATAAACAATTGCTGAAGTGGGCAAAAGGGCTGTCGTGACAAGAGGCGATATAGGTAAGAGAGGGGGGGAGGAGCCAGGGAGGAGAGATAAAGAGGGGGGAGGAGCCAGGGAGGAGAGATAGAGAGGGGGGAGGAGCCAGGGAGGAGAGATAGAGAGGGGGGAGGAGCCAGGGAGGAGAGATAGAGAGGGGGGTGTGGGGTAGGGAAAGTGGAGCGCTGCTAGAGGGATTAAGAGCAAGGCAAAATGCCGGGGGGGGGGGGGGGGGGCTAAGTGGGCGGGGCTGGGAGTGGCAGGCTGAAGAAGAAACTTGAGATGTCGATATGAAGGCAACGCCGTAAAGCAGTTAAGGTTTTGATCGGCGTCTCCAACCATGGTGAGAAACAACCCCCTGAGACGCCGATCAAAACCATCACGTTACTCATGTTACCATACACAGCAGGCGTTACCAAAAAGATTTCCAAAATCTTAAACAAACACAAGATCCAGGTCCGATTCAGTACAGTACACAAAATCCGTGATCTAATCCCATCTGTGAAAGATGTCATTTCTGACATGCAATACCCTGGGGTGTCTACAAACTAAGTTGCACCTGTGGTGGCTGTTACATTGGGGAAACGAAACGACATATCTCGGACCGTGTTCGCGTGCACAAGTCAGATCTGAAACACGGCAGAACCAATACCTCCGCCGTGGCTGACCATTGTTATAACGCTGTGGGCTCGCATGATATTGTTTTTTCCGAGACCAAGGTACTCTGCAAACCTTCGGGCTACTATCAAAGGTTTGTTCATGAAGCCATCCAGATATATAAACAGACATAACTTCAACCGAAAAGATGGATACAAATTGTGCAATCATTGGAAGGATGTTATTAACCAGGTAAAACCTTAATTGCTTTATGGTGTTGCCTTCATATCCGCATCTCCAGTTTCTTCAGCCTCCCACTCCCAGCCCCGCCCACTTCCCCGGCATTTTGCCTTGCTCATAATCCCTCTGGCAGCGCTCCACTTTCCCTACCCCACACCCCCCTCTCTATCTCTCCTCCCTGGCTCCTCCCCCCCTCCCTTACCTATATAGCCTCTTGTCACGGCAGCCCTTTTGCCCACTTAAGCAATTGTTTCTTGCTGTGGTTGTCCCACCTGATGACGGACGCTTGTGTTGCGCCCGAAACGTTGTGATTTCATTTATTTTATTTTATACCTACTACGTGACTTTACCCAAAGAACCAAAGAGTATGGATCCCTGCAGTCACGAAAACTTCAAATTTAGATTGGTTAGCGCATTGTGCTACGAACCCCGGTTACCGGAGTTCGATTCCCGCTCAAACCCATCGGTGACAAATATCGCAACCGGTGCCAAGAATCTCCTCGGTGGATGCTTGGCAACTATTAAGGGAGTGGCGGCCTTAATAGTCATTCACGAATGGCCTTTGCCCCAGCAGGCTGTGTAGACTACACGGGGGAAGCCGAAAAATTGTGTGCGTGCGTGCGTGTGTGTCACCTTGTCAGGATGCACGATGAGCACCGCCTTGCGGTAGACTCGCTTCACCTGGCCGGCCGTGACCAGGTCGGCCATGGTGACCGGCCGCCACTTGGACTCGCCCTCCCACAGCACGGTCTGCAGAGTGGACAGCAAGGCGCGGATGTTCCGCTCCTTGCCTTCGATCCACTCGAGAAGCTGAAAAACACAAACAGCGCACCCCCCCACCGCCGACCCCGCAGAGCCATTAGAGCCGGGCGAGCCGACGTCAGGACCGCTCTTGGTCAAGGAGCGGTGGTCAGCGTGGGGTCATCGGTGTCGTAAACGGCTCACGGCCGAGGGGCTTGACGCTCCACACACAGTTTACTACAACACAGACTAATCATTAGCGCCACTGGGCACGATACAGCACGTTGCAAATTACTGCTTTGTTACGCATCACATGGTTTTGCTTGGAACTGGAAAACCCGGCAGCTCGCCAGCATCGATTGTCAGCTGTGGCCCGGTATCAAACTCCGGTTGCAGGGTTCACGGCAAAATAAATGTCTCGACGCCTATTTAAGAAGCCGGTTCAGGTCACGTGTTTTTTTCTGGTTTCCAGACCTCGACTCGAAGAGGCACGACACAGTTCCAAGTGAAGCGTCGTGGAAATATGTGCCGAATTTGGCTGCGAGAGTCCTTCCTCAACTCGGCGGTAGACGAGATGACGATAACAAGTCGGCGCCTGTCCAAGTGGTGGCCACATCACTACGTGGCCCCAGCCCAAAATTATCTCGTAAGTCATATTGGATACGAAAACTGGTCTGTTAACTGTCATTGCGAAATATATATAATGCAAGATTGCATTGAATCAGGACCCAAATCTAAGAGAGATTCCTTGCCTATACCACCATTGACTCAAGCGAGCCTGGCTGCTGATGAGACAATGTCCAAACCGGTCCAGAGTTTTCCTCGTGTTGAATCAATGCTGTTAAAATTATGCACTCCCGGAAGGCCGTGTGGCTTATGGGATGTGTAACCAAAATGCTTGAATTGTTTTACATGGAGGGACAGATAAATCGAAATGAGGTGCAGTCAGCTTGTTTATTTTATTACACATTCTTTTTTTAATCACGGACTCGTTGCCTCGGCATTTCATTTGAAAAGAAAAAAAGCGTAGAGGAAGGAAGCCTTGCTCTCGGCCGCTGCGTCTCGCCTATAGTGATTGCCTGCTGGGGTGGACTCCCCTGGCTCGACCGAAAGAACGTGGGCCGTGCATCGCAGCGTCGGCTCCATCAGCGACCCGGACGTCGGCTTCTCTCGCGCAGTCGCCCGTCACGGTGGGCACCGCCAGCCCCGGCGCAGCCTGTCGGGGGCGAGCGCCGTTTGCGAGCGCCCGTTAAGGCCTGCGCGGCGCAACAGTGGGCGGTGTGGGGGCCCGGCGAGCACACACGCCTGGCCGTCTTGCGTCTCCCTGGCGCTGATGTTTACGCGCCGATACGGGAAGAGACAGTTACGGTTGGGTCGACCAAGGGGAAGCACATGGCTCGCTTCAGGATAATCGCCACTCCTGTTGGCCGCAAGCGGGAATCGACCTCGGGTTGCTGAGCACGCGGATCGCGCAGGGCTACTGCTGGCGCGGCACTACCCATTCACCACAACTTCCACCCCCCAGCGGTCTGGGGCTTTCGATGAGAATTTGTTCTCTTTTTTTTGCTCGCCTCATTTGCAGAATTGTATTTTTGATGAAACTTGCTTTGTTTGATATGTTTTCGTCATCAGTTTTGTTCCTCCAAATTGTATACCGTCTACAATTAAACATTCTATGTAGAACAACTTCAGCGCATACTGACTCCGTCCTTGCAGAGATCAGCGAGTGCACCGCGAGCGTGGGGGAGCTTGCTTTCGATCCGACGACGCGCTGCGCCATTATTACCGCCGGCTTTGCAACTCGCGGCCGTGCAGACAAAGAGGAAGTGCCCCCAAATGTTTTGTCTCGATCACAATCCTGTGGGCGTCATTTGCAAACGACAAGAATGGCTTCATCACGTAACAAAAAATATGCAATGGACGATTCACCCACGGCGTGCGCCGAGAGGGTGAGCAACCAAAGCTGCTGCCTCTCTGAGGCTGAGCTGATGTCACGCTTCTGAAACAGAGCTGTATAGTAAAGTCGCTGTGATCTTGAAAGCTACTTTTGATTTTGCCAAATCCTTCCGTTGTGCCACATGCTTCACCTTACAAGCAAACTGCTTCACTTATGACTGATCTTATACATTCAAGACCGGTTATCTCCTCCTTTAAACTAGGAGGGAGTGTCATTGAGCGAATTTCATCTTTACTACAACAACCGCCATTCATCACCATGGTGCTTGTGCCAGGCTATGTGCACGTTGAGGCCACGTGAAGTGTCGAACGCCCGCTGGCAGGAGGTCACGGGGCAGACCCAGGTGCCATGGGTCGACTGATCGAGATGAGTGGCCGATGCACCACCTGTGCCCCCTACTGTGCCAACTTGCTGTGTTTTAGCCTCCCGGGGCTCCGCTCGTTGTTGTGAGCGTCGCTCCTCTGCCCTCCGTTGCTGTTGGAGGGCGACTGCCTCCAATTGCCCAGTAGCTGCGTCCTTCACGAGCCTCATCCACAGAGACTGATCTTGACACCGCTGGTACCAGTCATCGGCAAGTCCACTCAGCTGCAGATCCTTCTGGACCACATCTCCTCTCCAGCCTGTGCCGCGCCCATCTAGCCCCCTTTTTCCAGACGAACAAAAGCTGTTTAGGCAAGCGATAGCTGGGCATGCGGGCTACATGACCCAGCCAACGCAGCCTTGCCTGCCGGAGGAGATGGGACTTTGTCCAGATCTTTCAAGGATTTGTGAGCTCCTCACACAATCCAGCCTGATTAAACCCAGGATGGATCGTAAGCAGGCCAGACTAAATGTTTCCTACCGGTGAAGATGTTCCATTAGCGGGGTCCATGTTTCGCAAGTGCAGGGAAGGGAGGAAATTACTGTGGCCGAGAAGACCCGAAGCTTAGTGCTGAGCGACAGACCAGGTAGCTTCTACACAGCGTTACACAACTGATGAAAAGATAATGCCGCTCGACTGATTCAGAGTGAGACTTCTGCTGTCAAACCGGAGCCGGTCATGAGCACACTGCCCAGGTATGGGAAACTCTACACTCCCTCCACAACTGCCCAGCAATCAATTGGGAGTTGTGGGGGTGGAGTGTCCAATGGTACAAAATACCCAGGCAGGTGCTTAGTTTTGGTGGGGCTGATGGTAAGGCCCCATCTCTTAGTGGCAAGCTCCAGGTTCAGCAGCAGCGTCTCCAACTCCTCCTCTGAGTGAGGCAGCAATTACCAGATCATCGGCATTCATAATATGGTGGACCAATAGGGAGCCATCCCCTGAACGCATCCGGGCATTGAAAAGCCTCCCATTGTATCTGTACCAGATTGAAATTCCTCTGGTACAACCATCGAAGGCTTCACGAACTACGTGGTCGAAATAGATGTTAAATAATGCAGGAGAAAAAGGACATCCCTGTCGCACTCCAAGGTGAACAGGGAATTGCTCCGACTCCCGGCCATGTAGTTTCCCCGGGCCCGCTCACCATCATGAAGGTCCTTAATGATCGTGAGCAGAGGGTCAGGGACTCCGAAAGCACAAAGAACAACCCAGAGCCCAGGCCTACTGATGGTATCATAGGCCTTGACCAGGTGAATAAAGCAGAGATGTAGGTCTTGTTGGAATTCCCTACACCTCTGCTGTAGCAGATGGACAGAAAATATGACATCTGTGCAGGACCGCCCTTTCCAGAAACCGCATTGTGGCTCCACAAGCCTCTCCTCAGCGTTCCTTCGCAAGGCGATGTTGTATAATCCTTGCCAGGACCTTTCCCGGCACACTGAGGAGTGAGACGCCCCTGTAGTTGTTACAGTCTGTGCGGTCCCCCTTCTTAAAGAGGGGGACCACCAGGGCAGCCTTCCAATCCTGCGGAACCCGTCCAGTGGTTCACTTGTTATAATGTTATGTAGGACAGTCTGTGCACAAACGCCACCCTCCCTCAACATTTCGCTTGGGAGATCATCTCTGCCCGGTGTTTTTCCTGGTCTCAAACTCTGGATCACCTTCAGTACTTCCTCAACAGATCACACCTCAGCCAGCCACTCACAGGGGGTGCCTTCTTCAATCCAATATTTGAGGCACGGCAGCCTCAAGAGGGTCATCTCCACTTTGCTCCATGATGTTTTCCAGTATGAGGAATTTCCTCTCCCCCAAGACTTCACAGAAATGCTCAGCAACAAAAAAATATCGTTCATCTTTACGTAAACACACACACAACTCCGACCGTTACATATCTAACGTGTTTATTTACGAACAAAACCTTCAATCTGAGATGCTCCACAGCACTAAAGTAACACTGCACTGAGGACACAAAACTCACACGGATCTCACTCAGTGAATGCCCCAAACACCTGGAATCCCATCGCTCCATACATGCCCTCAATTACCCTCCCATTTAAATCCTAATTTGATGCCGAGCTGTCAATTATTTGTGACTTCACTTTCAACTGCATTCAACATGTATCCTGCCGCTTTGACATATTCGTAAAACAGTCACCCTATTTCTGTTTCACCTTTACGTAACTTAATTGCAATTATGATCCGTAAAAAAAAAAATTACCTGCCAACTTGCGCTACGGGGAAATTATCGTTGGAAGACCGATTGACGTTCGTAGAATGTTGTCAATTTCCCGCAGGACAGTTTCTTTTGTGTTTTATTTCTATTCGCTTCTTCGCCGTACTTCTTCTGCCGTCGTTTCGCTCCCGTAATTTTTTTGGGCGGGGCCGAGGTCACTCTCGCCAGCGGCAACGCTCCCATCTTTGGTCCTACCGATTTCTCCCCGGGTCAAACCGAATCACCTCCAGCTCAACTTGATTTCAACTGAAGAGCCAAAGGGTTGCGAGCTCTGGCGAGAGACCGGGCACTCTCAGACGAGTCACCGCGTCGCACCCTGCATGAAGTGCAGTCCTTGACGCGTTAACCCGAGGTTTTCTCTCCGTAGGTCGCACGCAGCCACGCAGCCAGCCAGCAAATTGAATTGTGATGAAGTAATCTCGGTATTTAAAAATAAAACGTAACTTCCATTTCACGGCAGGCAGTTTTGAGGGCAGGGCCAGGGATCAAAATGACGAAGTAAACAGGCGGACGAGAGCGCTGGGACGGCGTTTGTTAGAAAGAAAAAGAAAACGATCACAGAGGGCGACACACGCCAATGCGAGCCACGAGGATTACCTGCATCCACATGGCAACGAGCACTCTCCAACGCTTATCGTGCACCCCATCTCTCAGGCCTCTCTATCCATTTCCTCGCTGTGAAGTACACACATATTGTGTGTGTACATATACGTGTATACACGTATATATACACACGTACACACACAATGTGTGTGTGTACACGTGTATACACGTATATACACACGTACACACACAATGTGTGTGTGTACACGTGTATACGCGTATATATACACACACACAATGTGTGTATATACACGTATATATACACACACACACACAATATGTGTGTGTGCGTGTACACGTTGCAACGAAAGGCTACGGTGTTGCTGACGAGTGCGTCGTGGCGTTTGTTATTTCCAGAACTTAATAATACAACGCGGTTGGCTGCACATATGGGCGTTTTGAAGTACACGCACCTTTTTAAAGTGCATAAATGTTAAGATGAATCTGGATTTGAAGCTTTCGTGACTGCAGGAATCCTGTTTCAGCAGTTTCCCTGCTGTGATTGTCTCACCTGATGACGGTCGCTTGCGTTGCGATTGAAACGTCGTGATCTATTATTTTCTACCTACGTGACTTTACCGAAAGAACCAAAGAGTTTGTTCAGATTAACTTTGAGAATTGTTGCCCCCTCTGTGCGACCGCCTCTGTGTCCGCTCAGCGCATGGGAACGGGGCGACCTGGTGGTGACCAACCTTACAAATGCGTGGAACTCCGAAAGGAGTCACAAAAGGGAGGATCGCGGAGAGGGGGAAGATAAGAACCCCGCATGTGGATGGTGATTAAGAGAAAGGGAGTGACTACACCCTGCATTAACATTGCCCATGGTGATGCTATTTACAACTGAAGTGACCGTTGGAATGATGGGTTCTTTTGTCCCGCTGAGACATCAACTGCAAGACAGGTGCCTCCCCCGCCCCCATGCGGTTCAAGTCGAGGAATCCTTATTCAAGAACTTCCACTGGGAAAAAGAGACTCGGCTTCTGCTCCGGCAAGGTGCAAGTGGTGCGCTGCTCGTGTGAGTAGCTGCCGCTCTCGCAGAGCTCCGAGTGCGCTGCACGTCCGGCAAGGTGCTTGTCGAGCGACTGCACAAGGCACAGCCTCCGAGCGGAGGTAACGCGAGCAGACGCAACCCTGTCCATTCAGTGTGCGCTTCCAAGCAGCTGTGAGCCGAACGCCGTCACAACGCGGAGCGCGCGATCGCCAACGAGCCGCTCCCTGCCCCCTTTGTTGCGTTGGGAATCGTGCGCAGCTCTGGAACCCCGCCCAAACCCAGGTCAATTCACTGCTTTTTGAGCGAGCTCAACAGCAGACATGCCCATTGAATCGTGGCGAATTGTAGCATTGCTGTTTGCGCGCTTACTAGAAAAGCGTGCGCCGTTATCAACGTGGCCCGCACCTCTGTACAATTCACAAGAGGTTAACTTCACTCCGGACAGCCAAGTCCGGTGGGCAAGGTGACCCTGGCGTGGTCCCTGTGAAGGGCGCACGATGCGTAACCGAGCGGCGACCACGGCATTTCCGTGTGTGTGTGAGACCGTGAGCAACACCGCGGGGCAACGCGAGCTGGAGAGGTACGCGACGGGGCCACGAAGGGCGCCGTCCGTTAGGACGGGCCTGGGCCCGAGCGTCCAACGGCAGCCTCATCGGGAAGCTGCGGCGCCTCGTGCAGCGGAGCGCGAGACTGGTGGCTCACTCGGGGCATCGCGTGCTCGCGAAAACACGGTGTTAAGCACGCAGAGAGGGGCGAGGCGGAGGTCTGGCCTGGCTGGCAGGGTTCAGCCACGTCGTGTGCGTCCGCGCAAATGTGTGGGGCAGTGCTTAGTTTTTGAATAAACAATAAAAACATGTTTTTAAAGCAACCTTGAGCTTCTCGGGGTCCATGTCCTTGGCCATCTCCTCCTTCATCATCTCCTTGATGGTGCGAGGCTGGCGCCGGTCCTTGCCGCCGGCGGACGAGAAGCCCTGCTTGGAGAGGAGGTCCTCAAAGTCGCTCTCCAGCACCTTGGGCCGCGCCCCTGCGTGGTTAAGCACAAAGCACAGCGAGCTCGGGTCAGGACCCCTGTCAAGCACCGACAACAAACCGATTGGGCAGGGCGGCAACAGCGGCGGCCACACTCGTGCCTCGCAGCAATAAGCGCCTGGGTTCGATTCCCGCTCCCGGGCGACTTTCTGTGAGAAGTTTGTATCCTTTTTCCTCCCTGCTCTGCATGGGTCTCCTCCAGTTTCCTCCCATAGCTAAACAAATTTAACGATGTAACCGGTTATTGGTTCAACATCTCAATGCTGGAAAATTACCTACTCTACTCATTTGGGATCACACACATCGCAACATCATCCCTAACTGCAAATAAATCGCATAGCCCTCCTGACAAAAGTGCCTTGAGCCTCGGCGAGGCTTTCCTGGGCGATCGAGCGTCAGGAAGGAATCCCCCCAGGACGGTGCTGTGGTGGTGCGATGGTGAGTAGTGCACCAGACTAGCAAACCAGAGGTCGCCCATTTCACTCGGTCTCCCTGCGCGACAATGGAGAAAGTTAATCAAATCTCCGCCAACCGTCTCTGTCCGCCCGTCAGTAGAGACGGACTCAACCACGGTTAGTTAGATTGGCATGTGGTGGTGGTAAAGTGTGGGGACTGCCACCTCTTCCAAAATGCCTGGCCTGAGTGTAGGAGCAGGGCAAACTACTATCTGGAGAGGCCTCTCTCCAGAGCTCCCTCTAGTTGAGTCCCTTCTGCCAGCGGTGTCGTTAGCAAGCCATTGCTGGGCTGCACCTCCACCTTGCCTCAACCCCAGAGGAGTCTGGGTGGGTCAGAGTGTCAAGTCGGCACCGCTGGACATCCTGGGTTCCACTTCCCATTTCACGCACTCGTGATTAAACCGGATGCTCAAGTGATCGTCTCAGCCAGGTCATTATCTTCATCGATTGCACGTAGAAATATATTTATATTTGGCCTTTCATGCCATTTGGCTAATTGCAGATATTGCTATTGCTATGTTTCTACTTTGAGTGACATGACACGAATATATTTGTTCAGGGCAGACAAGGACACTGCCTATTGTGGGGATAAGTGAATAATTGGGAGTGGCCAATCTTTGATGTCGAGTGACTGACATTAATTCTAATGGCATTCTAGAAGGGCGAGAAACACCTAAAATTAGCTCCCAAGTCTTTGTGAGTTTTATGCTTACGACTGGAAAAAATAGAAATGTACAAACCTGAAATTGATTGGCCTCACTCAGAGGAACAGGGTCAGCCCTAAGCTTGAACTCCATCATCGGCGCACGGAGTAATCTAGCACCCTGGGCCGTGCCCGCGCGTGGTGTACGACACTCATATAAATTGGGCGATGTCGCTTACTAGGCACTGCCTTTAACACCAGACTCAATGGAATTTTCCACTGAACAGAAACGCTGAGAAAGCATGCGGTGGGTGTCAAAACAAGAGCGACAAGCACACACAACGCTCAATGGGCTGCTCACCAGCTCCAAAAGCAAATAAATGCATAGCTGCATGAAGAGGGAAAAAAAATAGCATTTCAAAGAAACTCACTGTGCCGAGACATCGCGCGTGCTTTTGTGGACGCTGACAAACCAACATGACCTCGAATGTTCCGGTTTAGGTGTAAAATAGGCGTGAAACGCACTCAGAAAACGGACATGAACTAATACTACAAACTTGACGTTGCCCCGTGGCTCAAAGCTCCGAGCACTTGAGTTGGCACCGCCGAGGATCCTGGGTTCGAGTTCAGATATCTCAAACGGTTTGCCCAACTCGACTTTTTATTTTGCCCAAAATTTATCCTGAACCCAACTTTGCAGCCCTCGTTCGCGAGTTCTTCGAACGCTGCCCCGCGGTTCTCATCCCCGTTGGACGTGACGATGCCTACATCTACATAGAGTCTTGAGACTCAGTCAGGCTGCCTTGTTTAAAGGGTACGGCTCTTTTTTTTATTGGATGCAATTGTGAACGATAGCCGTATCGGACATTAGTACATCTAACTGGCATCATCATTGGTTCACTGCAGCTCAAAAGACTCGGTCCCACAAGGTGTGTGGTAAAGTTAGGAGGTGCCCATGTGCTTGGCATTTGAAGGCCTGAAGACTAGAAACAGTGATCTCGCCGACAATGTGTTCAGAGAGGCAGTTCTATATATTGGCAGTAGAGTGAAGAAGGGAGCTTCTGTCCAGGGAGCATGTTCTGGCACTGCGGGGTGGGGGGGGGGCGAGGCAAGGGCTCGGCTTGGCAGGGTATTGTTATTATTATCGGAATCAGTCCTGGACCTTGACTTTACCATCCAACACTGACCAGCGTGGTCAAGTATGGTCAGACAACCCCCCATGGTAGAAACTGTGTAGGGGACACCTTCATCCAGCAGTGGATTAACAAAGGACTGTGGTCATGTTATTTATCATGATTTATAATCGTAAGAAAATGCTGGTCTTGGAACACATCTTGACTCGACTGCTCGTGTCAAAAGGTAAAAATTGCTTCACAAAATGTTGAAAACGAATAACCTCAAGGAAAGATAATAATGTTTATGTTGTAAACAACTGTGTTATGACGTACACAAATGGCCTCTATTCACGACCAGATAAAAGCGCTCTGAGCGGCGGTCGTCAGAGGTCAGCACGTCCGCACTACTCCGAGTTCAAATCCCTGTCACAGATACGATCGGTGGCGAGTGACATCGGAGAGGGTCCCTGCCCTCGCCCCTCCCCATTCACCAACCAGCAATGCAATCAGGAAGTAATTGACAGCACGTGTAGCTTAACACATTATTGGGCGAGGTTGTGCTGTACACAGCAAACGCCATCGACTCGGCATCTCTTCCTTCCCCCGTGCTCTGATGCGATCCGATCAGGTGGCATCGGACACGCCTGGTTCCGGGGGCGGCCCGGGTACAAGCTCGTCAGCTCCCTTACGAGAGACGCCGGGGGGACGCGGTCCGAGTTGGCGAATCGAGCAGAGACCACCCCTAACCCCCCCGCCCCCCTCCCGGTGGCAGCGAGCACGCTGCTCTCGTTGCGCGGCGGCCGACGCCCCCAGAAGGCAGCGTTACATTGAACAAAATTGGCGACGAAAATTTTCGTCGACGGAAAGTGTTTTTGTAATTTTAACAGTGACTACGGGCGGATAAAAGAAAAAAATCACCGAGCGTGTCGATGGCTACGGCCGAACGTAGAAACACGCTGACACTGGCGTCAGTGACGCGAGCAGACCTTGAGGAAACATTTTCAAACCGATACATCACGCCAAAAAAGCATGAGTTTCAAAACACACGCAGGAGAAACTTGCGCAACACTCCACCTTTGCCCATTATGCAATACGCCATCAGCTTATCCTGAAGGTGCATGAACTCATCATTGATATTTCATAATGCCCAACATCGCAGTGTTTTATTACACCGAAAGCCTGGAGGGAAATCCTACACGCCCTTCGCAGCACCGCGAAATAACTGGGCGCGTCTTTGACTAAACGTCCACCCCCTGTTTTCGTCATCAAGACGAAGATAGCAACTCCGTGAAATGCACCGACGTCTGCGGGGGTTGGCGGCGGCGGCGGCAGTGCCCGGACGAAGACAATGACAGAAATAAACACGGCGGCCGCGGCTGCGGCGGCGGCTCGGGCAACGTGGCCACGCAGGGAACGCACCGAACCCCGCGGCTCTCTTGCCGCGGTCTTCCCGGCCGCCGATGACGCTGCCCAGGTTGACGTTGTAGTTGGGCTTCGCTGGAGCCTGCTGCTGCTGCTGCTGCTGCGGTTGCCAGGTCGGCGTCGGCGGAGCTCGAGTTGTGCTCGGCGCCGTGCTCAGCTTGGGTTGCCCCGCTCCAGGCGCTGTCGCCGCTGCCGCCGCTGCCACCGCTGCTGCCGCCGGGCCCTGTGGTTGGCCGGGCCTCGGCTGGTGGTTGCTCGCCGGATGAGGACTTTGCTTGGGCGAAAACAGGTTGCCACCTAAGACGACAATGTCATGTCACGGGCGCGCGAACGGGATCTCACGCCCGCAATCTCTCGGAGACTTATCTCGGCACCGCCTTTACAGACGGCCGACAACGGAGGGGATTGCGAGTCCACGTGCGGGTAACGTCTCTAAGGTTTGAGACGTCATCGTGGCCGAAGCCGTTGATGCCACCACACTTCCTCCTCGCTACCAGTGTGCTCTATTCTACGCCAGGTCCCGCAAGCTGCTGCACGGTAGAGACGCAGTGACCTCCGACATCTGCCCTGACAGTCTCATCCCGTCATCTGCTCTTTGACCCGCACACAGACCCATAGACACAAAAAAACCCATAGACTGACACCCAAAGACTGACACAGAGACCCACAGATCTGCGCTGACAGCCTCATCCCACCGTCATTGCCTCAGCAATCGGCCCTCCACCCCCTCCCACACATGCGTCCCACCGAGCGCAATAACTGTCGCTGTAGATTATGCAGCCCATTGCAATGCCGGTGCCGAGAGTAATAGCAGAGGGTGGAGGCTGCAGTGGTTACGCCCGTGCCTCACAGCGAGAAGTTGCAGGGGTCAATTCCTGCCCCTGGGTGCTTTTCTGCGTGCGGGTTTGGTATGTTCCCTCCCCATCTTGTGCGTGGGTGGCCTAACCATAGCTAAAAACAAACCCATATACAATGTGTTATTTAACTTACATTATCACATTCCAGTGCTTGAACAAACGACCTGCAAATAACTCCATTCGTGGTCGCACACAAAAACACCTGCCCCAATTGCAATAATACATGACAGGACCTTCTGGACTTTACTGATCAAACAATAGCATAAATAAAGGAAAGAAAAGCACAGAGGTGAGGTGTGGCATTTGACCTGCAGGGAGGCCGGATCCCAGGCTGGCCAGCTCCGCAAAGGGGTCAAAGGTTTTCGGTTTGCCGGGCTGGGGAGCGGCCGTGGAGCTGCCCGTCACACCGGTTGAGGCTGCGGCAAAAACAATACCAACGGAGTGGTGCCGAAGTGAGCGCGTCAAGAATGAACTGATTTTTTTTTACACACATCCCATCGGCCACGCGGCGTATTTTACAACTCGGATCCACATCAAACAGTGGGAACGTCCGCACTGACGAACACCTGGAATATAACAATAGCTTTAACCTTTTCGTGCAATAAATCAGGTGTTAAGATGTTCAAAGACCAAACAGCTTGGAAGTGAACCATCAAGTTCTACACTGTTTTAACTGCATGCCTATCCTCTGATTCTTTTGGTAAAGTCACATAGGTAGAAATAAAATAAAACAAATCAGGTGGAACAACCACAGAAAAAAATGCTGAAGTAGGCGAGAGAGCTGCCGTGGTCAGAGGTTATATAGGTAAGAACCAAAGAGTATGGATTCCTGCATTAACGAAAGCTTCAAATCAAGATTGCATGCAGATACAGGTCACCATAAGTTGATGGTGATTACTGTGAGCAGACAATAGGTACTGCCATTTCTTGTACAGGCACGGTGTACATGCATAATGCAAATGCATAATGTATGTTTGATTACCCTAATGAATAACCCAACCGGTAATGGCGTATCCATTGTAATAAATATGCATTATATAAATTAACTCCTCCCACACCTCTGGTCTTCGCACCTGATTGCCTCACAGGTGACGGCATCACATTTATCCCCCAAATATTTCAGACCAAAACCGGAGGATTTCTCCATAACACTGGCTGTCGCCTGATGACGATGACTGTAACTACCAGTGAAACGTCAGAGTACTCGAATTGTAGATGTTGTAGGTTTACTCTCCAACACACCGGTTAGTGCTGAACTAATAACGATTTGGCATGTTGTGTTTACGCGACTAACCATACTAATCGGATGTATCGGGTGGTGGTGGGTTTATCGACACATTTATATTTCTGAGATCTAACCAAAAAAAACCCCATCTTTTATGGACATGGATAATATTGGTCGTGAAAGCCTGTGCGTTCAACTGAACCAATACTGCTGCAATAATGCACTCCCAGATTGCCGCGTGTGGCTGACGGTATGTGTACATTTTCACGAGGAGGGACAGATTAATGAAAGAAGCGCATCGATTGGCTGCTCATTTAGTTTGTCGCGAATATTCTCTCAGACGCCGCCGCCGCCGATGATCACGTCGCCGTGCGCAATGCGGCGCCACAGTTGGCTCACCTCCAGCGGCCGGCTGGCCGCCGGCGCTCCACGGCTGCGACGGCACGCTCGCGGTGGACGCAGGGGGCCCCATGTCCCACCCGCCGATCAGGTCCGGTTTGCCGGGCTCGGGGGTCTTGGCGACGGCGGGCGGCGCAAACCCTCCTTGAGCAACGACAAAGCGCACGCACGCGCGCGCGCGCGCGCAAGCAAGCAAGCGAGGTTTCCCCCGGATCGGTTCTGCGCGTTCAAAGTTCACGAGGTATCGGGCGTTTATTTCCGCTCGGAGGAGGCGAGCGACTCGAAGGGCACACGGAGGTCTCGTTTGCGACCGTGACCTGGGTTGGCTAGAACGAGCGGCGACGCGGCCCGGCGGCGGCCAGTTCGCCGGAGAGAATTGGGCGGGCCGCCCCGGTTAACGCTGCGGGTGTATTAACCGCGAACGTACTACTCGCCATCTGCTTCGCGGGGGACGTTAAAGAGGCTGTGTGACGTCATTGAAGACAGCGGGCCATCGTGTGCCGGCGCCACGGATGCTGTCTAACGCGAATCGCATTTCGCACGCAAGCATTACCGCGATGCTCATCGCGGGGGCTGTCGGCATCTCACCCAGACTGAAGAGGTCGGAGTTGGAACCGTGTGCGCTGTGTACGAGGGGGGCGTTGGGAGAGAGGAACCCCCCAAACAGGTCACCGGTCACCACGCTCGGGGTGGGACCCAGCGAGAAGGGGTCGAACACGCCACCTACAGTGCCACACGGGGTCACACGGGGTCACACGGGCGGAGGAGGACGAGTTTGACGAATGCTTTTGTCGGCAGAGCAAGCCCTCCCGGCACGGTGTTTAAAATGCCACCGCTTGTGCAATGGCACGTCCGAACGCTCGCACAGACACACAATGCGTGCGCGTGTGCGTGCGCGATCGACGCACCCGAGTCCTGGGGTGGCGACTGTACGCTGGGCTGCGACGGCGGCGCGACGGGCACCGACTCGGAGAAGAAACCTTCCGAATCGGCGACTCCTCCTCCTCCTCCTCCGAGCAAGTCGGCGGTGGCCGTTTCCGTCACGTGCTGTCGGCGCTGCTGCTCCCCGGCAAAGAGGTCGCTCAGAAGGTCGGCGTTGCTCCCCGACGCCTTCATCTGCGAAGTCGCGGCGGCGGCGGAGGGCGACCCGTCGTGCGTGCCCAGGCCGAGGAGGTCGACGGTCGGCGCCGGTGCCTCCGGCTGCGATGCCGGCGGCGTGGCCGAGGTGAAGTCGGCGTCGAAGAGGTTCTCGGCACCGTGCCGGTCCTCGGCAGGGGCGACCCCTTCCACAGAGTCCACGTAGGCCTCGCCGTCGCTGCCTTCTCCATCGCTGCACAACGCTTCTGCCTCTTCTCCCCGGTGCTCTGTAAATGGGGAACCACGTATGCTTATTCACTGTGCTTTTGATCATCGTTCGTTTGTTCGTGCACGTTTGGACAAGCGCGAGCCCACGGAAACTGCTTTCACACACAAAACCTACAGACCGACACGGAGACCCAGGCACTCACAGAGGCCCATAGACTCAAATATATACTCAGACTCACAGAGATCAACAGACTTACCTAGAGGCCCATTGACTCATATAGACTGAGTTCTGATTAAACCAGGTTCTTAAGTGTAAGTGGGCTTGACCATCTCAGGCCTAGTCACCAATCGTCCACCAAATAACACCATCGCTATAAACGGGTGTTGCAGGATTAAAACCGGCTGAGTCACTATCAATTTTTTTACACATCTGAAAATGTGACCACATTTGGCTTACAAAATGACATTGTCTGCAGGGTTTAGTAAAGGAATGTCAAAAGTATAATAAAACCAAAGCTATGAAAGTTATTTGTAAACGTGTTCTGCAGCCTACTTTCAACGGGGCCCTTGCTCACAGCGGTGACAGACGCCGTTACCGCAGCCCCGAATGAGCAATGCAAGGATATTTGTAGAAAAAAAAAGCAGACTGGTGAATATACTACGCAGAATCTACTGCATGGCGGCAGGTTAATCGGACTCGCCAGCGGTGAGATTGATGGTTCACGGTCACGATTTATGGTCGGGCGTGGTGCTTGTTGCTCACCCCCTCGTGTGCCGAGCCCGCCTTCAAAGGTGCTGCTCGCTAACAGAATTTGCCCCAACAGTCTGTTCAAGACTATTCAGGGGGATCTTTGTCTTTGTGAGTGAGGGAGTGTGAGAGCGTGAGTGAGGGAATGCGAGAGCGTGAGAGAGCGAGTGCGAGAGTGTGGGAGAGCAAGTGTGAAAGAGCGAGTAAGAGTGTGAGAGAGCGAGAGAGCAAGAGTGAGAGAGCGAGTGTGAGAGAGCGAGTGAGAGTGTGAGAGAGCGGGAGGGGGTGGGTGAGAGTGTGAGAGCGTGAATGAGAGTGTGAGAGAACGAGTGTGAGAACGAGTGAGAGCGAGAGTGATAGTGAGAGAGCGAGTAAAAGCCAGAGTGAGAGTGTGAGAGTGTGAGAGCGAGGGTGTGAGGGATCGAGTGAGAGCGTGAGAGAGCGAGGAAGAGTGTGAGAGAGTGTGAGTGTGTGAGGGAGCGAGTGAGTTTTAGACAGCGAGTGAGAGTGTGAGAGAGCGAGTGAGAGTGTGAGAGAGTGGAGTGGGACCCACGCTCCCAAGCGGCGCTGGAGTGGGAGTTGCTGCTCCCCGGCTTGTCCGGTTCCACCGCGCTAGAATTCTGCGCCGGGCTCCCGGAATCGTACTGTGTCCCGGATCCGGGCTCCCTGGGCAGCTCTGGTTTGCCTGCAGCAGAAGCACCCCACGAGGCTCGAGTGAGATCGGTATTTATTCATTTTTTTGCAACAAAACGCGAGCCCGGTGCATCACGCCGAAAGATTCCAGCTACAGGGTGCAGAGAATCCGCGGGTTAATCGGAACGACACTACAAGGTACGGCAGATCGGTATTTTTCAAAATTGCCCCCCGTGGAATTTTGGCCTCAGGGTTAGAGCACCACGCCCCCACTACCTCTAGGAATGTATCTCTCAAATCCAGCTCCGTCCTGTTTGGTCGGTGGTGCGAAGCATCGGGTAGATGCCTAAAGCCCGTGGGACAACAAAATTAAAGCAGACGCACGGTACGTCTCTTTCACATTCCTGTGCCTCAGCGTACAACGTGCAGTTTTTTTGTTTCTTTCACATTGACCATCTGCCCCACGGCACCAACAAACTCTCGACTGTTTTTGACATTCATTGCCTCACCAGGAGAGCTGGGCTCGCTTGTATCATCAAAGCTGGGGAGCTACCACACCTCGAAGTTAACAGTCCCTCTCGAGGCAAAATGATGTCAAGCGTAACGCAAAATAACCATTAGCGTCCTTGCAGAGAATTTAAATAACAAAACGGGTAAACACACAACAGGTCTCCTTCATGATCCATCTCTCCACGTAAAAAAAAATAAAGGATTCTTGACACAACTCATTGGCCCAACACCCTTCTATCCCTCTAGAGTATCCGTCTCCACGTCTGGGCTACCCCTTTCGGGAATTTTTTTTCCGTTTTCTCTTAGTGTCAACTTTTGTGCTGCCTCATAGCAACACAAATTGACAGAAAGAGTTGAGTTCTAAATGAATCAACCTTCGCGAGGGTTTGCTCACCTCCCACGCCCGTTACACAGAGAGCACTTAAGTAGTAGTCTGGCAGCTGACGGGCAGCTGTCAGCCAAGAGACGGACGGACAAACAAAAAGTGTCGAGGCGGTGGGCACCGAACGAGGCGAGGGTGCTGATCTGCTCGTCGCGGCTGGAGAACAGCGGCTTGGGGGTGAGGCCTCGCGCGGAGAAGGACTCCCAGGGCTGGGCCGGGTGCGGCGAGGGGCGGTCGCGGGGCTCCACCTCCAGCTCCAGCACCACCTGGAAGAGCTCCGGGTACTTCTCCTGGATGTCGCACGCGTCCAGGTCGTACCTGCGCGACCGACGCAGCGTCCGCGATGTCGGGGGTGGGGGGTGAGGGAGGGGGTGGTCATCGGCGTGCCACCCCCGGACGCTCGTCCTCCCCGCTGACTTTCCGAACAGCCACGCGGTCGGATCTCTGTGCAAACTGCACAACTTCAATCGCCCGCAACCGCTTTGTCCGCATCCGAGCGGAAAGTTGCGCAGCAAAGCACGTGGTGTCTGGCCACGCCCTCGGCGGCATAGGCCCGCACCTTATTCTGTCAGCTCCCCCTCCCAACTCCCTAAATCAGGAATCTAACGACCGAAATCGTAGCTCACAATTGAGCACGCGATGACACGCGTCACTACAGATCGCGAAGCAGGATCGCCGCTTGAGAGTCGAGACCGTCAATCTACCGGTTGCGCAACAGCTCGCAACTGATTGCAGACGTTCGCATGTAAGCGATCCGGTTGCACGCAACCGAATTGCGCGACTGATTACTCAGGAGTGAAGCCGCCTTGAAAGTTATTCAACTCTAGATTTGAAGCTTTCGTGACTGCAAGCATCCATACTCTTTGGTTCTATTCGGGCAAAAGTCACGTAGGTGACTTTTACTTTTTACCTACGTGACTTTACCGAATAGAACCAAAGAGTATAGTTATTCAACTGTCGTTCACCCAGCAAAGTCATTGCACAGGTCTGCGCCAATCGTTACAACTATCTCTCGCTGAGAGCGTACATCCTGTCAGATGAGCACAAAATAATTGAACAGTTCAACAAATTACAAAAATTATTAAGTTATATAAATGCGATGCCATCAATTACTCGGAAAAAAAAACACATTGCAAAGCACTCATTGAACAGATAAAAGCTATTTGCGTACAACTGTGATGACCAAATTTGTAATTTCACGAATGTCAGAGAATTGGAATAGTTCATCAGAAAGATAAAATGCCAGCAAGCAGTAAAGTACGAGGTAAAAGTACAAAGCTGGGCCATCTTTGGGCATGTGGTTGGAACCGTTGGGAGCAACCGTTGGGAGCAACGGTTGGGAGCAACGGTTGCAAGGACAATCGTGACGTAACCATTTTTTGAGAAACAGACAACACCAACAACCATGGATTAACGTGGATCGGATTTCTTGGGGTTTGTCACGTCGCGACAGCCGTACCTTTTCTCGGTGAAATTTAAGAACAAAACAGTTTTGCCGCTCAGGAACACGATCCGCCCCCAGACCGGCTTTTCCGCGAACGTGGGTGTGCGGATTAGCGAAGTAATTTACGCAACACAACACAATACGCACTTGGAAAACTTGATGGACGTGGCGTTCCTTGGTATGAAGCCTGTGTGGAACTGGATCTGAAACACCTTCATCGAGGTCATCTGAGAAGCACACGGCGGGGAAGTCACACGTTACGTCTCGCGTGCCTACGCATGTTTTGCTCGCCCGAACGAGTCGGCAAGGAATGCGTCTCCGCGGGTGACGTCCACCGAGGAGATGGAGTGGCAAGATCGTTTAGTGTGCGGGCGCTCGATGGATCGGTGCATCGCAGGATCACGAGAGATGGTGGCGGCGTTGGGAAGGCCTTCGTCCAGCAGTGGATTGACCACGGCCAACGATGACGACACCGGTGACGTTAAACGTTGGCGGGTACCTTGGCCTGCAGGCGTCCTCCGAGTGTGGACCTTGCGTGGTACATGATGATCAGGATGTCGCCCGACACCGTCACGCCCATGGGAATCACCGCCTTCTTGTCCTCCACTTGGAAATCCCTGCAAGCATCAATGCCTTTACCCAGAGTCCATGCCCTTTACCCAGAGTCCATGCCCTTTACCCAAAGTCCATGCCCTTTACCCAGCGTCATGCCCTTTACTCAGCATCCATGTCATTTACCCAGCGTCATGCCCTTTACTCAGCATCCATGTCCTTTACCCAGAGTCCATGTCCTTTACCAGTGTCCATGCCCTTTAAAAGCACCTTCACTTGAGGGGGAGGCTGGGAGGCTCGGCGGTCCGAGCACTGAGCTGGCAGCGCGGCGGCCACGTCAGCGACCCGGAACGGATTTCCGTGCCCAACAAACCACACCGGGCATCACTCTCACTGTGGCAGCCGGGTCGGTCGAAAGAGGCTGCGCACCCACACTACCCGACTGTGTCGTCTCACCAACGCGGTGTTCCACCACCACCACTGTCGCCACCGCCACCGCCACCACCACCGCCACCACCACCGCTGCCACCACCACCGCCACCACCACCGCCGTCACTGCAGGGTACAGCGCTCCTCTTTTTGCTTCTTCCCTCGCACTGCACCTCGTTGGAATTCCCTCCTCTAGCATCTCTTATCACCAAACCCTCAAAGCCTTGCTCAATTTAATACGCGTGTCCTCGACTCTCATCTATTAACAACTCTGGCAGTGCTGTTTGTTGCTGGTCGCTCGACGTTTTAGACCTTCAAGCTGACCCAACGTCTACCTCTCGCTTCCGCCCCCCCCACCTCCCTCCCCCTCACCCGAGTTCTTCCCGCCACCTCCGGTTAGCGCTGCCCATCCATTGGCTGCCGAGCCGTTCGCCAATTAAAATGTATCAACTGGGATTACACGTAGCAATTGCCGCCCCCCTCTCCGAGTGGCGGACTAATCCCAACGTCCCCCACCTACCCCCCCCCCTTTGCAGGCCAGGTGCTGAGTCACTTTGTGCTGAGCAGGGACAGCTGCCACGGGGGGGTCCCCTTTAAAATGTGCTGGGAAGAGATGTAAGATCGCGTATCGCGCGTAGAGAGGGCGGCTCCATCAAAAGCAAATAATCGTTGATTTTATCAACAGAATTTTTTGTTTAACTCTTTCCCGATCCGAGACAACGGCAAGTTGCACGGTGGGTCCCGTTCGCCAATGCATCTTGGTACACGCAAGCGGTTCGGCGTTAATTATAATTCAGAGAAGCGAAGCGCCGTTCTTGCAGACAACCGTAGCGACACGACCTCCGCACACTACGATAGCAGCGCCAAACTGTGCCACACTCCCTCCCGCATAGCCTTGCGGGAGCCTCGGTCAAGATAAAGCAACGTTAGTTTTTCATGCGGTTCCGTTGTGATGACGTACACATACGTTATCGGAACGGAACCGGAAGAAAAACTGCTGACGTACGCGTATTCCGTCATCGGAATGGGAAAACGGTTAATAATTAACTTCCCGAGGAAGCCTCTGCCCCACGTCGAGCGACTCCGATCGGCGGGCACCGGCGCCGCGGCGCGCCCACCTCATCTTGTCGTACTCCTGCGAGGTGGTGAGGATTCGCTCCTCCCCCACGTAGACCTCGCAGAACGGGCGGCAGCCGTTGCGCTGCTTGTTGAAGAGCGGCACGGGAGAGAGCGTCACAGAGCGCAGGCACACGGGCTTGCCGTGCGGGATGATGGGCTCGTCCGCCACCATGTCGCACACGTACTCGATGTACCTGCAGCGCCGGCGGCGGCGGCGGCGCGCGCACGCACGCACAAAGACAAAGAGCCCCCGTATAACCTCAACAGACTCCTGGGGCAGGTGCTGTTAGCGAGCACCATCCAAGGCGTGGGCACGGCACGTGAGGGGGTGGGTGGCCAGCACCGCGACCGGCCGCCTTTGTCTCCCTAGTGCCGATATTTGCACATCGCATCAGGTACTCATTTGAGGCCGAGTCGACCTAGGGGAGGCCCAGGATCGATTCAGAAATTCATCACTGGTATTGGCCGTGAGCGGGAATCGAACCCGGGTTGCCGGGTTCGGAGCGCAGCACGCTCCCCACACACGCGCACACTCGTACAACAACCGCACACACTCGTACACACACGCGCACACTCGTCCACACACGCGCACACTCGTACACACACGCGCACACTCGTCCACACACGCGCAAACTCGTCCACACACGCGCACGCTCGTACACACACGCGCACGCTCGTACACACACGCGGGACGTCGTAAACTTTCAAGCTCACGTGATTTCATTAACTCCCTGAGAACTCGAGACAAAACAGGATGAGTGCCATTCGCATTAGCGCCTTGGAGCATTTCGTCTGCCAGTAGTGGTGAGGGGTGGGGGGGGCGATGATTGCTACGCGTAGTTCCATCGAGCAGTTTGCGGCGTCACTTTTGAGTTTGGCAACTCCGACGCTGCCGGCACGCGAGGGCCTCCTCTTGCGAATGATGCCCGGCGGGATCTTTAACGCGACCCCCGCCGAAAGAAGCGCGGCGACGCGGGGCAGCCTCTCTCTCTCACCGCTTGTGCGACGGCCAGATCCCAGGAGGGCAGCGCCGCAGGCTGTACATGTAGAGCGCCGCCTCGGCGGTGCTGAAGAGCCGGCAGAAGCACAGGAAGGAGCACACGGCCACCGCCGACACGGCACGCCCGTCCTAGTCCAACGGGAACCGCGTCAGTGTTGGATATAGCCCACCCCACCCCCACCCCCAACGCTTCCACCGCCGCCCCCTCTAGTTACCGATTAGTGCTGCCAAGAAGATTGCAGATTCGAAGTCGTGGGCGTCAATGTGGCCGCGGGCCGCACGAATGAAGCAGCGGGCCAGGATTTACACCTTGTGTGCACGCATGTTGAACTTCTTTCGCGCCGTACGTAGCCAACCGTGCTAATGGGAGGTACGCGGGGGCGACTTCCTCGGAAAAGCAAGCCGAGACCGAAGGCTCCTTTTTTTGGGAGGTTCCTGCTACATCGGGATGTTTGGCCAACACCGATGACACTGTGTGTTTTCGCTCTGGGTTCATGAAAGCAGAGAACCCAGAGGAAAGCCTTTTAGAACAGGGGGGAGAACGTACAAACGCCATGCAGAAAAGCGCCTGATTTGGACTCAAATCAGGCGCTTTTCTGGGTTCAAATCCCGAGTCGGGATTTTAACCCAGGCCCTTCTTGCTCTATTTATTATTTTACATTTATACTATTACTTTCAATAAGCTGATTATTTGGCAGTTATACTTTTTGATTACTGAAGGGGATGTCTGTTACTCAATGGCTAATAATAGTCTAACTAATCGTATGGCAATAGAAAAAAATGGCCATACAACAATTAAAAAAATTCTCATCGGAACGCCATGGTGTAAACAAGTGCAGTGTCTAACTCCTATTACCCAATCTCTCTGTACATGCTATTTAAGAAGGGCCGTAACCTAAAAGTTCAACTCTTTTATTTTTGTCCTTTTACAGCCACACATGAGCGGTGCTGTGGAGCAATGTATAATTGAGTTCCCCAAAGCAGCGAGGCACGGGCGCTCCCACCGTGCCGCGCCCCGGTTACAGCCTGCAGGCCATCGCTTCCTCGTCCTGAGAGAAACGCTGACCCCCGCAGACGCAGACTTCGCAGAACGCCAACTCGCTTCCTCATCCCGAAAGAAACGCCGAATCCGCCGATCCCACTGATCACGCCGACCTCGCAGACCCCACCAAACCCACAGACCCCCCCCCTGACCCCCTCCGACCCCACCGACCCCCTGGGAGGGTGAATTCCGAGCAAGCGATGATGCCCGCGAGGGGAGGACGTGGCTGTCACTCGCACGTACCAGGCAGTGCACGACGCAGATGTTTTTGGGGTCCTGCTTGAGCCAAACGAGCAGGTCCTTGCAGAAGGTGTAGAGGCAGCCGAGGTTGGGAGCGCGGCGCGTCGGGAAGGCGTACTCCGAGACCTGTACCGCGCGGAACAAACCACGACACGGATGGCTGAGATGCGTATTTGACACACATCCTTCGAGTCTGTTTACGCGCAAGTACATTTGTCACGGTGTTGACCCAGATCACCCTTGCAAATGAGGCCCCTATGTTGGTCTCTTGAGTTCTCCGTTTGGGTTGAACAAAATTAACTAGACTATTTATAATCCACGGGTTCCCTTATTGCCAAAACACCTTCGTAAAAGCTGCAACTTAAGTGCGACGTATGTTATGAGTCACTGAGGTGGGGTGCACACGTCCACTCTCATCACGGAGCGTTATTCAAATGAGTCGCTCTGTTATTCTCAGACTTTATTCTCGTAATCTTCTGCTGCCTATCTGCTCGTTCCATCTGCGACTCAAGATGTCAACGGAGCCAAGGTCGTTGATGTCACCACCACCACCACCACCCTCCCACGCTTCCTCCCCCCCCTCTTTCCAGATGCCGCAGCTGCCACGCGGTCGTAGAGACGTGCCCTCAAACACCCGCCCTGACAGTCTCATCCCGCCGTCTGCTCTTTGGTCCTCTCTTCCCCTCGGTTGCCGGACTCATGGAGGCCGCTCCAATGCCGGTCTCCTGTAATCGGCCCCCTTGTCTATCTTGCAACGGGGGTGATGTTTTTTTTTTGTCCTTGCTGTTGCGAAATTATAGCTTAAAATTATAGCTTAAAATTACGTGCAAATGCTCTCTGCCGGACTTGTGCATTGGCTCATCCTGTCTGATGACAACATACCTAGCTTTCATCTCAGATTACTAGGCTCAAATCCAAAAACGTATTTTGATATGCTTTATTGTCCAGCCATCCGAACCCTTCAGTAACACAGAGAGCAGCTCTGCCACAATAACCCCTTTTTTTACAGTCAAGGCTCATCTCTTTCCGAGTCCAAAGTGGTTTGCATAATTGCTCCACGTCAACATCAGCCATAGAAAGAAGACCCTTCATCATTATTGTGAATTCCATACCGTCCGATAGCAGTGGAGTGGTAAATTGATACATAGCAATTCGTCAACTCAAGATACACATATTGGATGTCACACGTCACTACTGACATACTTCGTGTGGTGCATATTGTAAGTAACTGCTGACATATTCTTAGCTCTTTCGGTAAACACACGTTGAAGGGAAACAATAAAATAATAAAATATATATAAAACAATAAAAATTCTCACGACGTTTCGACCATAACACAAACAGTCGTCATCAGGTGTGAAAAAACCAACGGCAAGAAACATTTGAAAGAAGTGTCGGTTTGCATTCATTTATTTATTTTTAAACGGTGTATTTATTTATATTTAAAAAAACGTCAGCGCCACGCGCAGCGATTTGGCAGTTTATTTAGAAGGACTAGTCCATCTATGTTCTGAAAAAAGGAGGGGGGAGACGAAAAATGAATGTATGCTGTCTGAAAGCCACCGTAAGCGTGAACAATCAATTAAGACCTGAAATGGTTTATCAAATCCTTCCAATGATTGCTAAGCCAGAATCCATCTTCTCGGTTTAAATTGTCTCTGTGCTTGTATATGTGGATAGCCTCATGAACGAATCTCTCATCTGGCTACCATGAGAGAAAAGCAACAGTGATGGTTTCAAAAATGACGATGACGATGATCATCACAACAATGCCGCAGACAAGAGATACGATGATAACGGTTCTGAGCGGCAGCTGTGGCGCGGAAAGCCGGCTGTACCCGGTTGTGGAAGCGCGCGGGGCGGTAGCCACGCTGGCACAGGTTGAAGACGGCGTAGTGGTCGGGATGCCGCGAGTCCAAGTACGCGCGGACGTCCTCAATGTGGTTCTTGAATGCCGACTCGACTCCCTCCGCCGGGTACGACATGACTGCGGAGATCCGGCCACAACACGGGTCAGCCACACGACTCTGGCCATACCATGGTCAGCCACGCTGTTTTCCTGCCACACTACTCCAGCCACACCACTGCAGCCCACACCACTTCAGCAACACACACAACAGCGATCAAACCAACTGCGTACAGCCACACCGATCCGAGCGCAGGGCCACCGCCAGCGACATCAAAGCCCACGATCCCCCGTGTCGCAAATTAACGGACCGCTAGGGCTGTGAGTGAGTAGCACCTATGAAGGCCGGCATGGCACACGAGGGGGCGGGTGGCCAACACTACACCTGGCCGCCTTTGTCTCCCCCAATGTTGATGATTACACACCGCACCAGGTACCAATTTGAGACTGAATCGACCTGGGGGAGGCCCAGGACCGGTTCAGATAATCCTCACTGGTGTTGGCCGTGAGCGGGAATCAAACTCGGGTCGCCGGGTTTTTAGCGCATTGTGCTAACCGATACACACGCTCACCGTACCCTCACACCGCACTGTTAGACAGACCAACACCAGCAGCCTCCCCATTGTTGCTCACACCACCGCAGGCCATATACAAAACTATCTGCAAAACTAATTGCACCACCACTATCCGAGCGTGGATAAACAAGTCAGTTCGTCTCAGTATGTCTGACACCGCGGTATTTAACGAGCTTTTTTCTCTCATCAAGGGAGGTGAAGGAACGATTTCTGTGAAATTCATTGTTTTAATTGGTTGAAATATGACGCACAAGTATAAACGCCTCTTAAATATTCCAGCAGCGATTGGTCGCGTCTCGAGAGAGAGAGGTTGCGAAATGCACGTCTCGCAGTGAATGTCGATGCATTGGTCCACGGACTCAAGGCCGAGAGGCTGCACTCACCTGCTACCCGCGTCGTGATGTACGAGATGTCCAGGTCTCCCTTCGTGTAACTGAAACGATGACCACATTTTGTTAAAGCACTACGCTCCTTGCGCCATGAAGCGCCACCAAGCAAAATACAACCATCAACTTCCAGTCAGTGCCTCCAAAGATGTTTATTTTTTATTTTTTTTAAGTGAATCGGCCCATTGGCCTTCCGCATTTCACCAAATCAATCATCGGAAGCACTGCAGATAATCCAAATACAAAGGAGGCCGTGAGGAGCCTGTTCATAGGCCGCGGCGAGACAGCGCTGCTCCGATAACGGCGCTGCCAAGGGAGGGCGAGGGCAACCCCCCTGGATCAATGTGGCCGGCTACCTCTAGGGCGAGTCCCTCAAAGCGACACAACTTGACGCTCAAGTTCCGTTCATATTGGGTCATCTGTAAGAGAATTACCGTGACCCCCATCCTGATACGGAGAGACGGACGGGAGCGATCGAGCAGACGCACGGAGAGAGCGAATGCATTACAGTTTCAATCTTAATCGGAAAGTGTTCAAATGTAGAGTTTGTATTTGGGGTTTTGATTCACTAACAAGCTGTCCAGCTAAAACTGGACAGCGCTGAAGCATTGCTCATCTATAACTGTTATTACTACGCTTGTCTACCCAGGAAAGCATCACTGAGTCTCAAGACTCGTTTTCAAGAGGGTCCCCTCCTATTCAGTAAATTGCAGGTATTTCTTTTAAGCATTGCGATGTTTGACCCAGACTAGTTACACTGAATGTTTTATGTTTGGAAGCTATGGGAGGAAATCGCAGAACCCACAGGAAAGCGATACAGAACTGGGGGAGAACTTAGAATCTCCACGCGGAAAGGTGCCCGAGTTGGTAATGGAACCGAGGCCCTTCTTGCTTTGAGGCGCAAGTGTTGCCGCTGTGTCACCGTGCCGCCTGTCTGCCTTCAGCTGCAAATACAATCCGTTTCACAAGCTAAATTGCACGTAACAATCACGTGGCCGCACAACTTTCATTAGGACACAAATGGGATTGAATTGACAAGTGCTACACTGGGTAATGTATACAACACATGTAGAGCCTTCGTGTCAATCCACTGCTGGATGAGGACCTCGCCAAACCGTGCGGGTCACAACAGGTGTGTGTGTACGTATGTTGAACTCCTTTCACACCACCGTATGTAGCCAACCGTGCTAATCGGAGGTGCGGGGTGTGAATCGGAGGTGCAGGCTACTACAATAAGTGTTGAAGCGGCCTACAGCAGGTGTTCTAGGCGGCTGCGGTGCTACGCTGTGAGCAGCAGAGGGCAGTGCAGCAACGTCGATCGTCGAAGGAAATTCATGCGCTTCCACGTGTGCGCTCCCCGCCTTCGCCAACCGCACCGACCCGCACGGCATGGGGAGGCCCTCGTCCAGCAGCGGACCGGCCAGGAGCGGCACGTGTGCATATGCATACGGCAGTTGAGGCACCTTAGCGTTACCACAAAACCTGCGTGCAGTCAGGTCAGTGCCCTTCTAATTGAAGCTTCGACCCTCCGGCACCAACCCCAAGCACCCAAGCGAACCTTATTCCCAAGTGTCCCACCCAGCAAAGCGCCCAGGTGAGCCGCCTTCCTAGGGATCCCTCCTCCGCAAAGCCCCCAGGTGAGCCCCCTTACAGGGGTTCCACCAAGCAAAGCCCCCAAGCGAGCCCCCTTCCAGGAGTCCCTCCAAGCAAAGCCCCCAAAGCGATCCCCCTTCCTAGTGGTCCCTCCGAGCAAAGTCCACAAGAGAGCCCCCTCCCGTTCGCCGAGTTTCGACTGTAGCGGCAAAATCTGCCGCAGTCGCGAGACCTCCGGTCACCTCCTCCACCCACAAGGTTCTCTAGCTCAGAGAAGCTGGCGGCCAGGGATAACGAGAGGAAGGGAGCCTGAGGCTGCAAATACATCCTGGAATGGCCGGGAGAGTCTCGGTGGTTTCAAAAGGTCTGTCCCGGCGTCAGGATTTTGTCTCCACTCGGGCAGTCGGAGAAACCTGAGTAGTGGGCGGGGCTATGTAAAAGTAAAGCGGGTCTGAGGGTGGGAATGGGTGCCGGCTAGACCACGTGTCCTCAATGCCTTGCGATGGGTATCTATCTGGCGTTTGAAAGTCTTAACGCCTGCGTTCTTTCCGCAAAGGGGAAAGCCTGTTCTTCTGTCATCACGTGTCACCGGTTGAGCCTCCCCAATATTTGGTAGGCCTTAAGTGAGCGGCGCGGCCAGGGTGCTGCAAAAGTTGGCATTTCCAACACTTTAGCTCCCCATTTTTTCACACAGTGGCACTTCAACAGGAGGTGGGTAACTGATGGCGCACGGTGTTCAAAGGCTGAGATGACAAGCGAAGGCATTACGCGTACACAGAAGCTGATGTTAAGCGCAAATAAAAGGTGAACATCATGCGAAGAGGCAATGGGATTTACCTGGTGCTGAGGGTGGCAGGAGCACGTAATCGGCGAGATGGACATGGTTAATCACAGGTGAAAGCAACCAAGCAGGGTGTTAAAGTCGATTGCAGAAGCATAAATCACAAAAAACACGCAAAAAAACGATCAATGCAAAATGCAAATCAAGTGGACATGTCGCCACCTAGTGGCACACAGACAAATGTGCATGCATGACCACGACAACCCCCCCCCAACCCACTTCGATTGGGGCATCACGAAAAGGGCGTAAAACCAATATCGTTAAAAATCTACAATCCAGGTCAGCAGCTCGCCGATCGGAGGTTAACTCTTAAGCAACAAAAATTCGGACAACCAAATAGGTGAATTTAAATCACCGCTTTAAAGTAAATAATAATTAATTAACGAGCATAGGGGGTCGAGAGTGCATTGAAAGTGGGAGTGGGGGTGAAGGTTCGAAAGCAAACATGGGAGGCAACTGTCCGAAACCGAAAGTCATGACGAATCGTAGCGTGGCGGCGAGGGAGTGAACGCTACTGCACGCTGACGGGGGTGCGCACCAGACGATCGGAGCGGCGGGGACAGAGGGAGGAGGTCTCTGCACGGAGCTGTGAGCGACACACTGGCGCCACCATCACTTCCGTGCGAGTCACTTGTGCCAACCCTTGCTTAGAGAGGGCATTCGACTTGGTGCTTTCGTGACCGCAGGAATTAATCTTTGTTTTTTTTTCGGTAAAGTCACGTAGAAATAAGAAGAAATAAAATGACATAATATAAAATCGAAACGTCGAATATTATGTCATTTTATTTCTTCTTATTTCTACGTGACTTTACCGAAAAAAAACAAAGATTGATTAGAGAGGCATTGGTGCCGGAACCAGGAGTGGGAATTCCATATTCCTATGTTGGGGGCAGTCTATCTGTAGAATAACCACTGTTGACTTTCCCCGAAATGCGGTGCTCATTTTATCGACCCCCGGAGGAATGATAGGCCGAGTCAATCCCCCCTAACTGGGATTTGAATTGGCAACCTTCTGATTGCGAGCCGCTCACACGACCATTTAACTGCGCTGTCTACTGCAATGCTCCTATCATTTCACTTAATTTCTCAATGTTCTTATTTCTGGTACGTTTCATTGGACATGTGTTTAACTTAAGTCCACGGCCCTGGCTAGATTTTAGAGGCAATCGCTCATGCACCTGATCTCTCCCCCCACCTTCATCCTCCGCACTCTGCAGTGCCAACCCATCCAATACAGACGCCATCGTCGCCGGCATTTGAGATTTACAACTCACAAACCCACGGGCTGGCAAGGCTGCGCGCATCATCCCTATCCGCTTGTCACGCGCAGCTAACATTCAAACCCGCTGCATTGTTACATGGGGGGATAGTGAGAGGTGGCGGTGGTGGCTTGGCGAGGCCTTCGTCCAGGAGTGGATTGACCATGGCTGATGATGATGTTTTTTTTTAACTACCAAAACCGGCGCAAAATAAATGCTCCGAGATAGCGGCGGTGTTTTTTTGCCAGGGTCTTTGGAATGCTCATTCCACGCGGACAGCGCATTCCAACGTGGCATGCCCAACGAGCCAGCCCTACCTCGCCACGCAATAATCGTGATGCCGGCATGACATCTGTTCGGGCACATGGGGGGCACGCGGTGAGGGGGGGGGGGGGGCCACGCGCGGGCTAAAGTATGGGGCCAATGCGGACGCATAAACTAAACATTTTTATTGTACCAGGTAAGGCCCACTGAGCTACTAGGTAAGGCACACTGAGCTCTTTTTCAGACGTGATAGCTCAACGAAGTGACTTATCATCACGTGGAATTTACAGCAGCCAAATACTCTAAACGTGTGATGTCGATTCTAAATGCGGAGGGGAAAACCGGAGAACCCAGGGAAAAATCCACGTGACCACGTGGAGAGAGAGAACACGCAAACTCCAAATATACAGCAGCCATCAGGGTCGGGATCGAATCCAAGACCTCTTCCATACCAGGCGAGGTAGATAACATCTCACCACCATGGTGGGGGCGGGGGGGGAGGAGGGCGCATACCTGGTGACCGACTGGATGACCTTTGAGGACGTGTCCTTGATGTTGCTGAAGAGACGGCCTGCTCCGCCCTTCATGATGTCCAGCAGCCCACCGGCCTGCTGAGGGTCGCCCTCCGAGCTCGGGGGGCCTGCGGGCAGGATGGCGCCGCGAGTTACGAAAAACATTCGCCATCACGTCGTCGCGGACGCCAGAGGTGTCGCGTCGGCGGCTTGGGGAAGCCTTCATCCAGCGGCGGATTGACCATTGCTGACGGTGACGATGACTTTTAAAAATGAACAAAGTCAAAAGTGATCTCTTGCCCAAATGACCACCGAGCCATTGGTGTGGTCGTCTCCCATTTCCAACCCTGCAGAGCCAGTGGTGGAAATTCCACATTCTGATAGCAGAGGCGAGTCCACTCATGAGGACAGCCACTGTTGACTTACCCACCAGGTGGGACATTTTATCGACCAAAAATGGGTCGAGCACGTGCGCCGTGTCGCCATGTGCACCGTATCCCTGTGTCCCCATGTGCACCGTGTCCCTGCGTCCCCATGTGCACCGTATCCCCATGTGCACCGTATCCCCATGTGCGCCGTGTCGCCATGTGCACCCTATCCCCATGTGCGCCTTGTCCCCACGTGCACCATATCCCCACGTGCGCCGTGCCCAAGCATGTCCCCATGTCCCCGCGGCCCCGCGCCCCCGTGCGCCATGTTTGATACGAACCGTGTGGCTCCATGCGGAGTTCGGGTGCTGGCTGGAAATTAGCGGTGACAGACGGGGAAATGCCAATGCCCAGGGAGCCTCCTCCGTCAAATAACTGAGGAAGCACACGCAGAAGTGAACGTGCAAATGTGATCGCACACAATGCCTTCCACATCCTCCACAGACTGGCCTGGCCCTGCCTGCCTCTCATCTCACTCTACTCCTCCACAAACTATCCCCTCTCATCTCACTACTCCCCTCCGCGCACTCTCCCATCTCATCTCTCTCTACTGCTCTCCGACGCACTCTGCTACCTCTCCCTTCGGTCTCCCCAGTTTTGCTGTTACCCACCACACCTGGTACTCGTGCAAGGCTGAGTCGACCTAGGGGAGGCCCTGGACAGGTTCAGAGAGCACTCGCCACTTATGTCAGTTATGGCTGGGAGTCGAAACTCGGTCCGTAACGCAGTGCCGCTAACCGCTACACTACAGCTCCCCACACAATGGCACGCAAGCACAATAACACACAATAACACACATCCACACACACAACAGTCGTTCAACACTATATAGCGATGACATGACCTTGATATTTATGCCAAACTCAGCGTGCAGCCCAGAGCAGAAAGGACGCATACAAAGATCCCCCGTATAGCCTTAACAGACTGTAGGGGCAAGTTCTGTTCGCGAGCACCTATGAAGGCCAGAACGGTACACGAGGGGGTGAGTGGCCAACACCACGCCCGGCCGCCTTTGTCCCCTAGCGGCGATGTTTACACACCGCATGAGGTACTCATTTGAGGCCGAGTCGACCTAGGGGAGGCCCAGGACCGGTTCAGATAATCGTCACCGGTGTCGGCCGTGAGCGAGAATCGAACCCGGGTCGCCGGGGTTCATAGCGCAGCGCGCTAACCACTAACACTACCGCAGAAAGGACGCGTACACACATGTATAGACACACGCGCGCGCGCGCAAGTGCACCCACGTGCCAACACAACCACAAATGCACGCACGCGCGTGCACGCACACCCAGCAAACGGCAGCACTCGCCCTGGAAACGCGAGCTGCTCCGCTCTGCTCTCAGAACCCAACGACACGGCGGCTAACAAACACGCCGCCAGTGTTGGTGCCGAACTGCAGGGAGCATGACAGTCATTACGCGCCGTCCTGGCGGCTATTCTGCATGTAGCTGCAAGGGACGCTGAGAAGGGGAACCGTAACCAAAAACGTATATATAAACGCTCGCCGGCTCAAACGGCTTGCGAGATCAAACGGCGCGCGCCCGAGCCTCATTGGCGAGGAGCTGGTCACACGGGAAAGCCGGTGTGGGGCCACACAACCGGATCTGAAGGTGGACAACAATTTAAATCGGATTGCTCAACAGGGTAAATTTGAAAGGACGCGGGGAAAACTAAATGCAAACGCGGGGCTCCCCGTTGGGATGGACGAAGCGGATTGGTGGAGTCGGGGAGAGTTTCAGGAAGGACGAAAGGAGCGGAGAGAGGCGGGGGTTCGGGGGCCGTGCCCGATCGGAGCGATTCCCTGATGTTGCGATGAGCTGCTCTGGCAGAAGAGACCAAGTTGAGGACTTTTCCAGGCTGTAACTCCTTAACATATCTTCGATGGCTCGGGCTAGTTTGTTTGTCAAGGTGAACAGAGACGTTTCTCTGAACCTCCGACACAACAATTAGAGTTACCGGCTGATTAGTCGAGCAATCCAACCGATACTCGGTGGGAGGAATCCCTTGCATAACGTATAATGAGAGTATACTCTTTGGTTCTATTCGGTAAAGTCACGTAGGTAAAAAATAAAACAACAAAAATCACGACGTTTCGTCGTGATTTTTGTTGTTTTATTTATCACGACGTTTTATTTATCACGACGTTTCGTCGTGATTTTTGTTGTTTTATTTTTTACCTACGTGACTTTACCGAATAGAACCAAAGAGTATGGATCGTTGCAGTCACGAAATCTTCAAATCTAGAAGAGAAGTATAATGAGAGTGCTGCATAGACAGACGCCTCCGTATCGGTCTACTATCGCTACTACAACGGTTACTGTTCCCGCAAGCTTTACACACAGATTCGACGACACAGTCAGTCTCTATCAGACTGACTGTGTCGTCTCATCCACCACACTGTGTTCTACCACCACACTTGCAGGTCACAACAACTCACCGACTCAATGACTCACCCATCAACCCACTCGCTCACTCGTCTGCTCCCTCACTACACTCATCCAGCCACTCACTCACCCCAACACTTCTCTTTTTGCAGCTTCCCACGCATTTTTCCACTTTGGAATTCCCTATTTCCATCGTTTCTTTCTTATAACAATTCAGTACGCGTGTCCTAGACTCTCATCTATTACAACTCTGACAGTGCAATTCGTTGCTGGCCGCTCGACGTTTTGGACCTTTGGGCCTGTGCCGACGTGGCGATCTTCCACCTCTCCTGCCCTGGCCGACCCAACGTCCACCTTTCGCTGCCCCCGCCCCCCGCCACGTCAGCTGGGCCCCACCTCCGCCACCTCCATCCGGCTCAGTGACACGGTGCGAGCTGCGCTTCCATTGGCCGCTGCGGCGCTGCTAAGTCGATGCATCGGTGCGCGTTTAGAGACCGCGTCGGGCGTTTGGGTTTGACGGGGGGGGGGGGGGGGTGCGGCCGCTCACCTCTGTGATTGGCAGCTTGGGGTTGACGGCGCGTGCAGTGGCGATCTCCTGCAGCTGAGCGATGACCTCCGCTATTCCTGGCCGTTCATCTGGGTGCACCTTTAGCATAGAGCCTTGAGAGAGTGTAGACATGCGTGCGAGTGTGCCCGGGGTCTTGGTTTAGGAACAATGATGAAGACGACAGCGAGTGGCAGCTGGGGGATCTTTAACTTCCACTGTGAAGCAGACGGCGCTTATTCTATGGTCAATGCATCCGCAGTAATAACCGGGGTGGCCTGTCCGATTCGAACTACATATTCCCGACTTGCTATTTCCTGATGCACGTAGCAGGTTTCACACACGGGAGACGCTGACGTGTAGGTCGCTGGGTTCATGGAGGGGTGCGCTAACCGCTGCGCCTCAATCCCCGAGTGCGACCCAGCGAGCTGCCGATGGCGAACATATTCATTCCTCGCATCAGCCGTGCGGCGTTCTGGGAGCGCATCATTTCAGCAGCATCGGTTCAAAGCAAGCAAACTCTGAAACCGATTTCGGCATACAGTGTCTCATCAGCAATCAGGCTTGGTTGAGTCAATACCGGTGAACTGCCCAATGCTTATAGGCGCGGACGCTATTCTGTTATATATGGGTCTGAGTTCGACGCAAAATGACACGACGCGTAACACAACAATCTTGAGCGCCGTGGAGATAATAAGCAACAAAGCAAATAAGCAGGCAAATCCCGCCTACTTCGCACAGCCGTCCCCTACAGATAAAACGATCAAAGGATCCTTTTCCCACATCCCATCGGCCACACGCGGCCTCCTGAGCGGCGTCGCGAGGGCGGCGGGGGGGGGAGGGGGGGGGGCGCGAGAGCGTACGGATGAGCGGGTGCAGGGCGGCGTAGCGCGTGTCGCCCGGCGGGATGCTGAAGTTGCCGTTGATGATCCGCAGCTTTGCTCCGTCCTCGAACGGGTGCTCCTGGAAGCAGAGCAAGTAGAGGACGCAGCCCAGCGCCTGCACGGCAAGTGGGGGGGGGGGGGGGGGTGGGGGCGTGCGGCATTCAGCGGTGACGGGAAACCGAACGCGGACGCCGGGACGACGGCGGTCGTCCCACTACCGACGAGGCTCCCGGTTCTCCTTGCAACTCAGGCGGGCGATCGCCGTTCATCTTATTGGGCCGAGCACCTCGGTGCCGGATGCTACGATGAAATCACCGGGCGATGCGCCCGACCTGGTTAGATCTCGGAAGCTAAGCAGGCTTAAGCCTGCAGAGTGCTTGGATGTGTAGGCGTCACGCATAACGCTGCCTGCTGGTACCAGCTGCTGCTGGGCTACGTGGTGGACAACAGAGGGCAGTGCAGCAATGTTTGTTGCCGCACTGTACTGAATTAAAATTGTCCTTCCCTTCACCAGCCCACTCTGCTGGGCGTGAAGTACAGTCGGATAACGCCGATGACCCACGCGGCGTGGGGAGGACATCATCCAGCAGTGGATTAACCAAAGGCTGTACGTGTACCCCCGGTGGTTCAACGGATCGGTACAATGCGAGGTTACAATTGGACTCAAGAGTGGATTTATATTTTGTCTTGTTTGTACCGGTCTCTATGGTTCTGTCTCAGTTATACCAATAGCCTAAAGGCACATGGGCATTACGGGAGTTTGCGTTTCATTTCCAGCCCTTTATTGGTCTACTGCTGTATGAAAACCTCTCTACCACACATCACAATTTAGTTTTTTACCATACTTCACCACAATGGTTATTGTGGATTGGCAAAGGAAGGTGGTACAGCACCGATGTTAGACATGGCCGGGAATCGAACTCGGGCAGCCTGGTTCAGAGCAGTGACTTAACAAATCGAAACATTTGCATTAAATGTAAATGAATGCTATTTTTTTACTACAATGCTCATTTAAATAGCCATTGAGAATCTTTATACGTGGGGTGAATCACGTGTCAATGTGACATAGGCACAATGGATGTCAGAGTCTCTAAGGGGTAACAAAATTCCCTTAATAACTATTCAGAATCACAGCCCGAGGGTGTAAAGGATAGATAAGCGTATACCGTTGGAAGCTAAGCAACCTATAGATCAACCACCAAGCATGAAGCACAACAAAATGCTCAACTTATAATGACTGCAAAGCACAAAGTGCCGCAATGCCGAAGCCAAGCGACGCACAGCACCACCATACAGTAACCGACATTCATCTTAACTGCTGACAGCAGCACAGAGCTATTTGGCTCGCGCTCGACACACAACATCGCGCGCATGTTACAAACCGTACACCGGAATCGAGGCAGATTTCGCAACGCGCTTCGGCCGTTCGCCGGGGGGGGAGGGGGGCGAGCGACGAGCCGATGACGAAAACCCCCCGGCGAGCGGCTACAGCCGCAGGACTGGCGTCGGCATCACGGCGGTGGCGCGCAGCCGCAGTGTTCGCCGGTTGCTGTCACGACGGATTTCCACCCACCGCTTCGCTCACCGTGCGAACGGGGGGCAGGGCAGGGCCGGGCGCCTTCTCGCGCTGGTACGTGATAAAAATACGCAACGCTTGCCGGGCTGCTGCTGGCAACGCCGCCGCCGCCGCCGCCCTCCGCTACGCGAGAGGCATTTTTATTTGCTCCGGGGCCAACCGGCAGACGCGGTGCGACCTTTGTCTCAAGGATTTAATCCCGGCCACACCCACAGAGGGGGGTCACAGGGCAGCGGCAGATCATGTGATCCGATCGCATGGCTGAGCAGGAAACGCGTTCGATTGCTAATTAGGACGAAGCTCGTGCCAGACGCCCGCAACGTTGCACAATTAATTATCGGGTTTGTAAGAGTTTAAGAACGTGCACCAACATCCTGTACTAGTGTCATGTCAGTGGGTGGAATAATGGCACGTGGTGGTTCGCATGCTGCACTATCAGCCCGGCGACCAGTTAAATTTCCGGCCAGTGGCAAATGATGTCAGAGCTGTTCCTACCTCCCCCATCAACAACCAACCTTGACCAAAGTGGTGAAATATGGTCAACCCACCCCCACCAACCGACACGGCAAGGGGACGCATTCATCCATCCGAATGAGAATGATTGGAATATATATTTTTTTATATTTGGCACGTAATGATTCACCCTCCAAACCCACCAATGCTTTGATGACTTGTCAAACATTCAGCATCGCGAATTATTTTAAAGGAACAATTTTATTTTCTCGCTTCGCTTTCTCATCTGCCGTTATTAAAATGTTCCGTCTCAACTATATAATTTCCTTCACTCCATTATCCTACACGTTGCATTGGCATATTTGTTCGTATGAATTGTAAATAGTCGATTCTTCCACGCATTATCCAATGCACGAATCATGGAGCTTAGAAACCAACCAAAATCTACGAACCAATGCATTGTAGCACCTTGTATATTGCAGTGACCGGGCGTGCAATTATCAGCATGCAGATGTCAACTCTCTTTGATGCATTGAGTTTCCAGTCAAGCCTTAGTAGTTGAATAAATCATCCATTGTCTTTTCCCCCCATTATTTTTGGTTTATCTTGACCATGCCGTCGGCGTCGGCGCCGCCGCCGCCGCCGCCGCAGAGCGAAATCGGCGAGATGGGTGCCTCTCGGCCCAGCCCCGAACCCCACCCGAGTTGTGCGGTGAGAGGAGCAAACGAAGCCTCCTCGCTCTCGCCCGCTCTCCTCCCACAGGAGGAGCCACGCACGGCTGACGATGTAAAAGCGCGCCGATGCCGACTGTGCCGTGGGCCCGCGGCCCCCCGTCGCAAACGGTCGCCATTGTTTCAAGTTGACTTGATGGACACGAAACAAATGATGTCGTGAGACGAAAGGATCCATTCGGGAAATGCAACCCTTTGTGTTAAGACAGCGGCCCACGGAAGCGGACATCACGGAGCTAACTCTGAGAACCCTTCAAATGACCTCTGGACAGGACATCAAATATACGTGTCCTGGTCTAGAGTGGGACAAAAAAAGGGTAATATTATTTTTTGAAAGGATCCAAGGCCTTTTTCATTTCAGTGTGCACATTTGGTACATGTAGAGTTGTGATTGTCTGTCTGTCTTTGTGGCAGTGGTTCCTAAAATGTAGCAAGTTGACACAGTAGCGGGGGTACAGCTGGTGCATCTACCAGTCATCTCAGTCAGTCAAACCATGGGACCTGGGTCTGTCCCGTGACCCCCTGTCAGCAAGCATTCGACGCTTCAAGTGGCCTCAAAGTGTACCTGGCTTGGCACAGGCGCTATCGTGATGTCACCGTCACTTAGTGGCGAATGGCGGGTATTGTTATTGGATTGGTGGCAGTGGTGGTGCAGGGATTAGCGAGCTTCGCTATGCACCCGGTGACCCGAGCTCCATTCCCGCTCATGGCCAACACCAGTGACGATTATCTGAACCACTCCTGAGCCTCCCCTAAGTCGACTCTGCCTCAAATGAGTACCTGGTGCGATGTGCAAACATCGCCAGAAGGGAGACAAAGGCAGCTGGGCGTGGTGCTGGCCACCCACGCCCTCGTGTGCCACGTTAGCCTTCATAGGTGCTGCTCGCTAACAGCACTTGCCCCAACAGTCTGTTAAGGCTCTACGGGGGGATATTTGTGTTTGTGCGCGTATGTGTGCTGTAGGAAGAATAGGTTTCATCCTGGGATTTCTCCACTTACACCTCCACCAATGTTTATATAAAGACAAAGATCGCGGGTTTGCAGCGCGGCGGGCTAACCACTACACTACCGCTCTACACTATAACAACAACCGCCATTCACCACTAAGTGGCGGTGACGTCACCACGACGCTTGTGCCAGGCCATGTGCACCTTGAGGCCATGTGAAGTGTCGAACGCCCACTGGCAGGAGGTCACGGGGCAGACCCAAGTGCCACGGGTCGACTAAGATGACTGAGATGACTGGCTGATGCACCACCTGTGCCCCCTACTGTGCCAACCTGCTGTGCTTTAGCCACCCGGCGCTCCGCTCGTTGTTGTGAGCGTCGCTCCTCCGCCCTCCATTGTTGTTGGAGGGCGACTGCCTCCAACTGCCCAGTAGCGTCCTTCACGAGCCTCCTCCACAGAGGCCGATCTTGACACCGCTGGTACCAGTCATCGGCAAATCCACTCAGCTCCACGTCCTCCTGTACCACATCACTCCATCTCTTCTCTAGCCCGTGCCGCGCCCGGTGAGCCCCCTCAATCCGGCCGAACAAAAGCCGTTTCATATTCTTGGTTCTTTCGGTAAAGTCACGTAGAAGGGAAACAATAAAATAATAAAAATATAAAACAATAAAATTCTCACGACGTTTCGACCGCAACAAAAGCAATCATCATCAGGTGTGAAAACCACAACAATAAATTTTGAAATTTGAAGTTTTCTTCTTGTGGTTTTCACACCTGATGATGATTGCTTGTGTTGCGGTCGAAACATCGAGATAATTTTATTGTTTTATATTTTTATTATTTTATTGTTTCCCTTCTATGTGACTTTACTGAAAGAACCAATAATATAAATCCCTGCAGTCACAAAAGCTTTAAATCAAAATTTAAAAGCTGTTTCGGCATGCGGTGGCTGGGCATGCGGGCTACATGACCCAGCCATCGCAGCCTTGCCTGCCGGAGGAGCTCACCGATGGGACCTTGTCCAGATCTTTCAAGGATTTGTGAGTTCCTCACACAATCCAGCCTGGTTAAACCCAGGATGGATCATAGGCAGGCTAGCCTAAATGTTTGTAACTGGCACACACACGTATATATACCCTGCAATATGCAGCAACAATTCCCTCGGAACAGTTAAACAGAAGCTGAGTGAAACACGGTGAGGCACACACCGATACCCGACATTCGCCACGAAGTGACGGTGACGTCACCACGGCGCCTGTGCCAGGCCAGGTGCACTTTGAGGCCACGTGAAGTGTCGAAGGTTCGCTGACAGAAGGTCTCGGGACAGACCCAGAAGCGCGCACACACACACACACACCCACCCGTTCCACAGGACCAAGCAACGATTGTGGCGTGGCACGCGGTAACCTCATCGCAGGAAGACACGTCTGCGTTAAAAAAATTTTGTACGAACAAAAACATATATAACGACGATTTATAAGCGTACGCGTTTACCAAAAACCGCTGTTGACCGCCAACATGGAGGATAAAAGCTTAAGGGTTTCATTCCAGGGCGGAGGCAAGCGCGTCGGGAATGACTGCTTGCGAAAAGCGCAATCGTTGGCGCATCGTGCCGCACAAGTAAATACCCAGCCACGCGCAAACAGGAAGGGCGGGGAGAGAGGGAGGGTGGCTACAAGCCAGCAGTATAACAAGGAAACTCGCGCTCATCACGAACACTGCCTCCAAAGGGGAACACAGAGAGGCAATGAGTAGGCGACGTTTCGGACAATGGCCCTTCTTCACAGCAGTGTTGAGTTTGTATTGTAATTTGTGTTTGTGCTACACAGACATGAGCTGTGAGTGTGTGGGTCTCGATGTAAATCTATGGGTTTCTATGTAAATCTATGAATTGCAATGTGAGTCTTACGTAAATCCATGGAGCTCCAAGTGAGTGCGGGTTTTTATCTATATATATGAAAGGGAAATTTGTGAACGTGTGTGTCTGTTCGAAATGTTCAGCATACTTCTCGACATGCAACAAACGTGAAATTTGGCATGTGGGTAGCTTCCAGACTGTACACGATGCAAAAAACATAAACATAGACTTTTGTATTTTGGGGGGGGGGGGGCGCAATAATGGATATATTTTATTGCACGGCAAGTGAGAGGCGACGTCACATCTGTGATGTCACCCGCATGCGGGAGCGTCACGCAGTGCTCCTGCTGACGTCACGCATTCCCCCCCCCCCCCACCCTCCGCGTAGGCCGTGTATTAATCCAAGACAAGAATCCAAGTCTTGGGCGAAGCCAGGCAGTAAAGCTAGTGTACAATATATGGGCCTAGATGCAACTATTGATTTATATATTATTCTATAGGTCTCTGTGTAAGCTGTGTGTCTGTGAGCCTGCATCTCTCCGTGAGGCTGTGTGTCTCTGTGCGAGTCTAGGGGTTTCTACATAAAGCTGTGAATCTCTATTTCAATCTGTGGATCGCTATGCATGTCTACGAACCTCTACGCAAGTCTGCGGGTCTGTGCACTGCTGCCGACGCAGTTATCGCAAAACTTTGATGTGGACACACGAGTACGTGAAGAGGCGTAACGTCGCGTGACTCACCCAGATGTCCTGCTTCTCTGTGATGGGAAGATTCGAATACAGATCGAGCATCTCCGGGGTCCGGTACATGGGAGTGGTGTTCCTCATGATCTGGACAGTAATACACGCGGCACCGTCAGCATTCACATCCACACTGATGCCGGGGGAGAAGCCGAGTCACGGCAACTGCGCAGAGCGGTAACATTTTGTGTGTTCGTCGTATTTTGTTGGCGGGAACGCGCCGGGGTAACCCACCTCCTCCTCCACCTCGGCGCGCTTCTGCGCCGACCAGCTGTAGTCCGGGTAGTGGCACACGGTCGTGGCGCTGCCAAAGTCGCACAGCTTGACGTTTCCCTGCGAGCTCAGCAGCAGGTTCTCCACCTGCAGAGGACAGCGCCGCGACATCCTGAACGTGACGCTACGACGATCGGTCGCGGCGGCGATGATTTGGAACGGCCCAACGCAAATTCAAGTCTAAGAAGTTGGAAGTTGAGCCGTTCAGTTCAAAAACAGAATGAGAATATTTATTTATACCCGAGGAGTTGCTAAGCCTGAGAGTTGGTAAAACTGCAGATTCAGCGCCTTGAGGTTTCTATAAGAGATGTTCTCAAGGGCAGCTGAGATGTTCTCAAGGGCAGCTGACCGAACAATCAGACGCGCCAGTGAGCGGGAGTGAGCCGCAGCTTCCCAAGAACGGCATACCGCACCATGACACTCAGTCTTCACCATCGTCAGCCATGAGTTACAGTGAGGGAAAAAAGTATTTGATCCCCTGTAAATTTTGTACGTTTGCCCACTGACAAAGAAATGATCAGTCTATAATTTTAATGGTAGGTTTATTTGAACAGTGAGAGACAGAATAATAACAAAATCCAGAAAAACCCATGACAAAAATGTTATAAATTGATTTGTATTTTAATGAGGGAAATAAGTATTTGACCCCTCTGCAAAAAATGACTTAGTACTTGGTGGCAAACCCTTGTTGGCAATCACAGAGGTCAGACGTTTCATGTAGTTGGCCACCAGGTTTGCACACATCTCAGGAGGGATTTTGTCCCACTCCTCTTTGCAGATCTTCTCCAAGTCATTAAGGTTTCGAGGCTGACGTTTGGCAACCCGAACCTTCAGCTCCCTCCACAGATTTTCTATGGGATTAAGGTCTGGAGACTGGCTAGGCCACTCCAGGACCTTAATGTGCTTCTTCTTGAGCCACTCCTTTGTTGCCTTGGCCGTGTGTTTTGGGTCATTGTCATGCTGGGATACCCATCCACGACCCATTTTCAATGCCCTGGCTGAGGGAAGGAGGTTCTCACCCAAGATTTGACGGTACATGGCCCCGTCCGAGGGAGTGCTGTCTTCTAGACAGTCCTGTTTCTTCGCCTGAAGAAGGCTACTTGTGTTGTGGCCGAAACGTCGTGAGAATTTTATTTTATGTTTTATTTTTATTATTTTATTCTCATTCGACGTGACTTTACCGAAAGAACCAAGAAGATGAATCCCTGCAGTCACGAAAGCTTTAAATCGAAAAAGATAGACAGTTATTTTGTGTTTCTTCCATTTGCGAATAATCGCACCAACTGTTGTCACCTTCTCACCAAGCTGCTTGGCAATGGTCTTGTAGCCCATTCCAGCCTTGTGTAGGTCTACAATCTTGTCCCTGACATCCTTGGAGAGCTCTTTGGTCTTGGCCATGTTGGAGAGTTTGGAATCTGATTGATTGCTTCTGTGGACAGGTGTCTTTTATACAGGTAACAAGCTGAGATTAGGAGCACTCCCTTTAAGAGTGTGCTCCTAATCTCAGCTCGTTACCTGTATAAAAGACACCTGGGAGTCAGAAATCTGATTGAGAGGGGGTCAAATACTCATGAAATTGCAAATCAATTTATAACATTTTTGACATGCGTTTTTATGGATTTTGTTGTTGTTATTCTGTCTCTCACTGTTCAAATAAACCTACCATTAAAATTATAGACTGATCATTTCTTTGTCAGTGGGCAAACGTACAAAATCAGCAGGGGATCAAATACTTTTTTTCCCTCACTGTATCCACCGATGGATGAAAGCTCCCCTAGCCATCGCCACGTTTCACAGGCCTGCGATTTACGATCTATGGTTAGTACCAGGCAAGCGAGCCGATTTCATCGCTCCGTCTGCTCGACGGACATGCCGTTGGGTGTATTCTCTCCTTTGGCTGCCACTCCATCATTAGTCTCAACCATCGGTTATCATTCCATAAAGCGACGTGTCCTGCTCAAGCCCATTCGCTCTTGCCAAGACGATTGTGACATGAGCTCCAAACCGCGCGAACATTCTCAAATCTTCGTGTTCCTCCTTCCGACTCTCAGTGCAATTCCAAGTGCGGGCGTCTCTACACGCTCCTCTGTGTGCACTGTCCAGCTCGTTGTTCCACCGTCTTCATCAGTGCCCGTGTGTCTGAACCGTGCGTCATATCAGGCAATTTGAGCACGGATTTCAAACTCCCATCTCTGTTCACACTGGCGCGTTGGTTTATGCGAAAGGGCATCTTTCCAGGCGGTGGCTGACAACCCACACGCGTGTTCTCTCAGCGATAGAACACGTGCAATGGTCGCTTTTGTTCAACTCGGCGATCTTTGTTCACTGCGTCGGCAGGGAAAAAAAAACCGTGACGGCCATTGAGATGCAAACGGACGTAAACTGGTTCAGCGAAAACCGTTTTGGCCACAACGTTAAGAAAATAAATCGCCTGCGTGTGTGTGCTCATGATGAGATTGTGATTTGAAGAGATGAGGTGAAGAATCCACTTGGATCGCTCACAGACACGTGCAACCCTTCGTGTTGGAGAATGGCCCGTGGAAGCGGATAACAGAGCTACCTGAGAGCCGTACACATTACTTGTGGTCCACACAGTATAGGACTGCAACTTTGCCACCTGCCATGCCACTGAGAGTGATGCTCGTCGCATGACAGCCAAACCGATATCATCATTCTCAGATAAAGAGCTGACAAATTAAGAACAGAAAAAAATGGAATATGATCAGGGTTTTTGATTGCACAAACAGAACATGCCCCGACAGTATGTTAAAGGCTACACGGGGATCTTTGGCTTTGTGGAGAGCGGCAGCGCAGATTTTCATTGCCAAAGCTATGGTCCATATTTGTTTTTGGGTTAAAAATCGCTAATCGCATGGCAATTGGATGTTTTGTTGTATATTAATAAGTGAAATGTAAGGGTGTTTTTTGGTGCAGTCATTGGCGACGAGGCTAATGCCATCCGATAAAATTTGAGAACCTCGTTTAAACACAGGAGGCGTACAAGCGGGATTCACACCCTGGATCTCAGAGGTTCCACACGTTAGCTCTCTGGACTCCCCGCCTACCGACCCCCTCTGACGTGATGTTGCGACTAAGTTGACGGGGCACACTGGAGAGGGGGGAAGGGCGTAGCGAGACAGACCCGGATCGACTCCTTGTCTCACGATGCCGACAGAAGAACTGCGATACATTTACAGATCTGTTGTTTGTTTGTTTAGGAATAACAGAGGAACCCGGAGTCCGGAGCCGACGCCGTGGGTCACCGTCCCGCGAACGCACCTTGAGGTCTCGGTGGATGACAGGCGGCTTGAGGCGGTGGAGGTGCTGCACGGCGCGGCACGCCTGGTAGAACACCTTGATGATCGTGTTGCAGGGCACGGGGCCGCGCAGCTCCACGCGCTTCAGCCCGTCCGAGAGCTGACCTGCGGAGCGGCACGCGCGAGCTCGTGTGTGCCACTGCAACGGCACCGCAGCGGCAGGAAAGGGACAGGCCGGCGCGGTGGCGACAATCTCTTTCCCCCGACTCGAGCGCCTTTCTGTCTGAAGTTTGCGTGTTCACCCCCGCCAATCCACGCCGCCCCCGCCGCTGTTCCGCAGGGTGTGCGCGCGCGCATATACGAGTGTGTGAACGTGTGGAGCTAGTAAATTATTCCCCTATACCGGATAGGTTTCCACCAGGTTCTCCGGGTTTCCTCTCAAGGCTACAAAAAAAAAACACACAAACTGGCATTGGCCAAAGTAATCGACGCTGAAATTGTACTGCAAATGACTCCATTGAGATTACGCAACAGCATCCACATCGTCCTCCCCCGACTGCGGAAACTTGGCAGGACCCTCCTGAAAAAGTGTCTCGAGACTCGGTGAGGCGACGCGTGAATTGTGCATCGCCGACGGACCTTTACAAAGCTCGGTGAGGATGAGGAACTCAGCCCTGCCCGTGTCGGACTCCTCTTTGCTGATGGAGGCTGCCGAGCTGAACTGCACAATGTTTGGATGCCCGGACACTTTTTTCTGGGTGCGCGGCAAGTTAAGTGCCACTTTTGACGGCATCAGCAGCTCCACACATTTCAGGACAACCGTGGCCACGGTATAAACAGGATAATCAGACAAACTGCACAATGCCGTGTGACGTTATGACAAGAACGCGTGGTTGGTCTAATGCTTCAACAGTTTGACATGCTTACACAGCATAATCGAATTTCTGGTCTGATCCAGGGGTGGCGTGCCCCGGTATTTCAGTTTTATGAATGGAGCGCTGTCTTCCCGACAGTTCCGTTTCTTCAGCTGAAGACAGCTGCTTGTGTTGTGGCCTAAACGACGTGATAATTTTATTTTATTATGTTTTATTTTTATTATTTCCCTTCTACGCGACTTTACCGAAAGAACCAAGAAGATGAATCCATGCAGTCACGAAAGCTTTAAATCTAAATTTAAAAGACCGCTCGTTCTTTCGATTTACACCAAATGTAACCCACACGCGGCTTGAAATGTTATTGATATTGCTCTTCTTCATATCGCACAAGTATTAAAAGCAATACGAAACAGAGGCGACAAAACACTTCTAAAAGCACCGAAACATCACGGTCGGTACCTCTGCAGCGCAGAGCTGGGGCTGCGCGCTGGCACGCGACGTTGCAGCGCCGGCGCGTGGACGCAGCTGGCAACAAGCCGGCACTGCTCTACCGCTCACTCCAGCGAGTTTCGTCAGCGCAAGTTTATTTATTTTTTTCAATTTACAGGGTCCTCAACTGCCCCTCCCACCAGAAACTCCGTTACATGCGGGACACGGTATATCCGCTCGTGTCATTTCGAGGCTACACAGTATAACAGAACTCATAGTCTATAAGGCTTTGTTACACATTTTAATGAATACTGATTATTAAATGGACAATTTGCAGTGCAGCAGTTCGGGCTATTGATCAGCCAAGAGGCTCAAGAACAGGATATGCCACTTAACGCATCTTGTGCCTACTGTGAACACTAGGCACCCGCGATTTTAATCGCTGTGCTTTTTTAAAGTACAAGGGGAGGGCTGAGGTGACCGGGGGATTCGGAGATCAGAGCTCTGAGCCAGCACCGTTGAGACACTGGGTTCAGATCAGGGCAAGCTGCCTGTGCTTAAACCGAGTTCTCAAGTGTCGCGGGTTGATGGCCTCAGCCCAGTCACTAATGACTCATGGCGCCCCACAATGGCGAGATGTTAACCAACTCACCTAGTATACAGGAGGTCGTGGGTTCGATCCCGACCCTGACAGCTGTATATTTGGAGTTTGCATGTTCTCCCCGTGGTGGCGTGGATGTTTCTCCGGAACCTCCGGTTTTTCCCTCCACATTTAAAAGATGCGTTTAAGAGTATTTGGCTGCTACAAATATCCACACGATAAGCCATTTCATTGAGCTATCATTTGTGGCCAGGTCGCTTCTGAAAAAGAGATATTTAGCTGAGTGGGCCTTACCTGGTCAAATAAAAAATAGTTTAGTTTAAGATTTGCATAGAGACCCAAAGTCAGGCAGAGACCCACAGTCTCACTCAGACCGAGTTATGATTAAATAGGGTCTCAAGTTGATGGCTCTGGTCCAGTCAAAAGAGACCGCAGAAAAACAACCCTGACATTACATTTGGTTGTGTACTTAATTTGGATGGATTCCAACTATCCCAAGAATTCAACGATTATTGGTTTACCTGTCATGGGATGGATATTACTCTCATATGCAGAGTGGGTGGGAAGGTTCTGCTCCCTACTGCGAGTATATCTTAGCAGGTCACTTCAAGGAATCTCAGAGGTCGCTGTCATAAAGCACCTTGTATAAAGGCTCTATATACACATCGAGATAAGAAAAGGTTGCACTGCTCTTAGAGAAATCTGAATGGATATTTCATCTCATGAAATGCCAAGTAAAAAACTCAACTCCAAGAGACCATAAAAGGCAGAGATGCTGGAATTATAAATTACTTTCACTTCAACGAGTGGTAAATTGGCTTTGGCGTTTAACGTGTCAATTGAATGTGAACTCTGCACTTATCTTCAATAAGCACTTTGAAAACAGCCTGTCCTTGAAATGTATACCGCCAACAGGGTTATTTTACAAAATTACATCCCAATTGTCCCGTTCACATGAGGGCACAGATATGAGACTCAATTCCTCCACTGTGAAGATGAACGCTCGTTTCATCTGCCAAATCACCACTTTAAATTTCACAATGACGTTCTGTAAGAAACGAGCAAAAACCTCTACATTTTACACTTTTTCAGGCAGGCACCGGTCACTGGCTGTGGCAAACCAAACTCGCAGTAGCGATGGTAGCGGGGTGTTCAGAAAGCCGATTCAGTGTCAAGAGCATCGAGCCAGAACCTCCGGAGAGATCCTCGGTTCGACTCTGGGCAGCACCCATGATGAACTGGGTCCTGAATTAAAGGTCTCATTTAAGGCACCAATGACCTCCCTGTACCCCACACCACCCCCCATCCATTAGTGCAGTGCAGATGATAAGCTGTTGGAATTTGGCACTGACATCTGAACTTATCCTGAGCACGCTGGGGCCACTCTAACTTCAAAACCGTCGGTGACAGCCAGCGAAGGATACCATCAGGTGCACCTCCTGAATGATAGCCTTGCTCCTCTCCTCTTCATCTGACAGCAGCCTCTGCAATATGCAGACATCCATTAAAAACAGAGGCAAGGCAAGCTACGTTTATCCTGTTCAACCGAGGTGACAACTCAAAAGAGGCCAGAATATTAGAATTTACAAGAGTGAACGCCGGTGATCAAAATGAGCGTCAGTCAACTCGAGCAAGGGATTGACCACGGGGTGGCCAAGAGTGCAGTGGCACAGTATAAGCAGTATAAAAAAATACTTTTTTTAAACACGCTTTAATGAAATGTACCGTACTAGTAATGGAAGAACTCCACGACTCTAGGAAGTGGCCCCGAAGCTTGACATAACGTAAGGGACCGTGGTCAATTACAGCCAACGTCAGTTTAAACGTGGACAATTAGACCCAAGCCGAAACATAATATATAAAAAAAGTTTTAAAATGTATTATTTTAATTTTTATGATAGAATACAGTATTGTCATCAGTATGATGACCAAGTTTTCAGTCGATACCACATTGGGAAGTGGGTAAAAATTGAGTTACAAGATTTGAGGATACAACGACAACAACAGACAGAGTGAGTTAAATAAAAGCGTGTAAAAAGAACAAACGAACAAAACCTAGTCGGGAAAAGTCACGCACGCGAATGGATTCTGTAATGCTTCAACTGTGCAAGTATCTCCAGAAATATTTCATATGTATTTAATTAACAGCTCTTATCTGTTTACCAGGGCCGTTCTCTAACACGGTTTATGCACTGAAGAAGAACCACAGCCCAAAAGGTTCATTGAATATATTTTTTTCCCATTTATGACTGCAGTGTTATTGACGACCATGCCACATTTTTTAACACGGAGGGGTGGCACCGCCCCGCCAGAATTCCGAACGAATTCTCCGTCTCGTGAAGACGCCGCCGATTGCACAATCGGGACATCACACAATTTCGACAAGAGCACATCTATTTTGATGTATCGTTAGGCGCGGTCATGCTGAAGCGCTTCAGAAAAATCTAATTGCACCGTAGATTTCGGGTAAAATTATGACGGAATAATTTAGTTTAACACGTAGGCTTTCGCGACCAGTATTATTCATAATAAAGGAATAATTTAGTTCACAATTATTTCTAAACATGTTCTGGGGTACGACACTGGGATGCGCTGCTATGCCTCATGGCACGATGCCGATCGCACGCTCACGATACGAGGAGGGGGAGAGGATTTTTTGGAAAAAATCTTTAAGAAAAAAAACAATGATTATGATTGGACTGAATAAAAGTCAGGGTGCACCTTGAGGGCATACTCTTTGCCATTGCCGACATCCTGAGCTTCATAGACGAATGCAAAGCCTCCTGTGAACGCGAGAACACAACATTCGTTTAAAATTGAGCCGCAAAATCAACTGGCCATTCTTTCTTGAGAATCATTTTAGCCAACAGTACATCTGTGCAGCTTTCCTCAAGAGGCACACACACACACAAGGCAACAATTCAGAGTGCTTTGGAATAAACAGGAATACCTTGAGTTAACCAAACAGTTATGAAAAGACAAAAGGAAAATGTATAATATTCAACAGGGTAAGAAAATAGCACTAAAATGTAAATTAAAAACTAAAAGTGATTTCTTGCTCAAATGATTGTTGCGGCAGTGCAATGCTCATGCCCTGTTTACAGCCCTGAGCCAGTGGTGTAAATGCCACAATGCTATGGCGGGGGCCAGTCTATCCAAAGAACAACCACTGTTTACTTCCCCCACAAAGTAGTACTATTTTCTACACTTTCACCAACCCCCAGCCAGGATTTGAACTCATACCGCCGGGTGTTAATCCACTGCTGGATGAAGGCTTCCCAACGGAATTAGTGCGTACATAAAAAAAATGCATTTGGAGTGACCCGGTATGATGAGATCCGCGCGCCGATTAGCACGGTTGGCCACGTACGGTGCGAAATAAGTTCGGCATACGCGTGCACATGCTGCGGCAACTCCAAACCCCACGGGGGGTTTGTGGCCGGCTTTTAAAATCTCGCACATCTCATTCATTCGGTTGCAAAACTGGTTTCTGACATTCCTTGGCAACGCCTTACTTATTCTGCCCGTTTACCTTCACCTACCAATGACGCGTCAGATGAAACATGTCAATGGGATGAGGTTTGGTGACGAGAGGCTAAGTTCACGGCCCTGAATGCCATACAACGCCGCTGCTGTGTGTATCAATGGGTGGCCACCGCTACAGCAAAGGGAGAAGCAACGAGCCCATTTGTTCGTCTTGTTCGACCGCTATACATAAACCTGCATCGATCCCCGCTGCACGGAATCCTGGCTGCCCGATCCTGACCTATCCCAATGTCTCATACCTCTAAACCCATATGGCGTATTCCGTATTCTTGTACCGGGAAATAGAGTTTTCAGATGGTGGGACTTTGTGGGATGAACGTTGAGACTTATAATGGCACGGGGTGACCAACGAGGTCTGAACTGGACTTTAATAAGGTAGGGCACTGATAAGGGACTTGCTCCGTACACTTAACCGTGGATGCATTCCCCACAGCTTAAATCCACCGTCTGAGTTCCCACCCGTGATGGTCAACATTCCGGCTTTTGATCCTAACCCACAAATCCATTTCTCGACCCCCTGACCCTCAACCAATGTCTCCTCGAACACCCAAGACCGACAGCACCATACAACGCCTAGCCCGCGAACTCTCTCGTTCTAACCCGAAGTGACTCCAGCCCAACACCTATCATCACCCACAGGCTCCCCCTAACCAAAGTTGTTATCATCTGTGACAAACACAAACAGCGCTTTGAAGCGCATCGGCTTTGTATATCCCATACCGAAAGGCCCAAGCGTATACATGTATCCCATACCTGTCAATCCATTATCCGTGCCCTTAATTACAGACCAGTCCAGACCTTATCGGTCACACCGTGCCCCTTATAAATCTCAACGTTCATCCCACAAAGTCCCATCACGAGGGAGGTACACAAACATTGCTGCCCCGTATTGAAGCGGCCGTACACGCCGTGTGGATCTGAAAACTCAATTTCCCTGCACGCCGAGAAGATCGCCCCGTGGCGGGTCGCCTGACAGGCCTCTGGGTCGACAGAGTCGTGGGCACGGACTTGGCTTCGTGGGCCTCACCCTCGGCCAGCACGGCCTTGACGCGCAGCTTCTGCTTGCCCAGCTCCACCGTGTTGCCCACGAAGTCCTTCTCGTCGCGGGCCGCGCTGCCTCCGAAGAAGTCGAAGGCCGACTGCAGGATAGACATTGTGATGGGGGGTGGTGGTGGTGGCGGCGGCGTTGTTGAAGTGGCGATGTTAAAAAGTTCAGCGATGGTGTCGGCGATTATGATGCCGGTGATGGGTGTAAAACGTTGTGAATGTTGATGATGGTGCTTACTGGTGGCGATATTGGTGATGGCTGGTGATGTTGTTGGTATCTCGTGATGGTGGTGATGGTGGTGATAGTTTTGGTGATGTTTGTTGTTGGGATCTCTGATGGTGACGTTGACGATGGTGTCGGTGATGTTGGTGGTGATAGTTTCGGTGATGTTATCGGTGATGTTGGTGGTGATAGTTTCGGTGATGTTATCGGTGATATTGGTGGTGATAGTTTCGGTGATGTTGGTGATGTTGGTGATATTGGTGGTGATAGTTTCGGTGATGTTATCGGTGATGTTGGTGGTGATAGTTTCGGTGATGTTGGCTCAGGTGGCCCGGCCCGGCGAGGCCCCGCGTCCGCGTTTCCGGATCCGCGTCGTTTGTATTTCCCACTGCGGATTCGCGCAACGGCCGCCGCCACAGGCTCGCGTGAGACCTCGTGATTCGTCACTTATCCAGTGTGGAAAATATTATACGAGGGGAAGGGTGGCTCGAGAAAATGGGGGGGGGCTAAAGTTCGAGTGGGGGGAGGGGTTAACGTGTTGACGTCATTAATGTAATGACGTCATCACGCTAACGCGGACGAAGCAAACATCGGCACTTCCACGTTCGGTGACGTCACCACGCTGGGTGACGTCCCCCTCGCGCGCCAGAGTAAAGTCCGGTTGCGTTGCCGGCGAGCGTGACGTATTTCATGTGTGGTGACGTCAACAGCGTGGTGACACGCTATTTTTGACGTCATCCTACGCGAGGGGCGGGGTACGTCGTGCCCGGGAGGGGGGTAACCATAGCAACCCCCATCACTGGAATGCCCAGTTGGAATCTTGATTTGAAGTTTTCGTGACTAAAGGAATCCAAACGCTTTGGTTCTTTCCGTAAAGTCACGTAGGTAGAAAAATAAAATAAATAACGACGTTTCGGGCGCAACACAAGCGTCCATCATCAGGTGGGAAAGCATTGGTCCTGCTGCTGAGGCAGACCGTGTTTTAAAGGTTTGAAATGGGTGTAGCCCAAGGGTCATAAAGAAGTGGCACTGGGCTGGTGATGTAAACGTGAGATTTGACCCGTACATTTTTATTTATCCTATCCGATGAGCTTACGAAGCTCTGATTTTTGCCAGCGCAACGTGTAGGAAAGGTTAACAAATCACTCAAATTTTGGTTGCACCCGATTCAAGAACCGAATGGCTCACAGGGCTATACCAAATAAATGAAACTATGATTTAAAGCTTTCGTGAATGCAGGGATTCATATTCTTGGTTCTTTCGGTAAAGTCACGTAGAAGGGAAATAATAAAAAATAAAATTCTCACGACGTTTTTGACTGCAACACAAACAATCATCATCAAATTTTCTTGCTGTGGTTTTCACACCTGATGATGATTGCTTGTGTTGCAGTCGAAACGTCGTTAGAATTTTATTGTTTTATTTTTGTATTATTTTATTGTTTCCCTTCTACGTGACTTTACCGAAAGAACCAAGAATATCAGCTGCTTTGTTCAGAAGCGACCTGGCCACGAATAATAGCTCGCCGAAGTGGCTTGTCAACCACGCCGGTCACAGCGAATGGGTGAATCTTGGAGCGTAGTTAATCTACGGTGGATGTTTCAGCACTGCCCTCTGTTGCCCACCACGTAGGAACGCAGCAGCCTACAGCACCCGTTATGCACGGGGTATCCATTATTTCCTTCTTTATTTCGTATGGGTTAATAGCCGCAGATTAAAGATGTCATTTTAGATGTTGTTAGGGGCCGTCCATACATTTTTTGTGATCCCCGCAATGTAGGGTAATGTGATACACCCCTTCGTCCCATCAACTTGAACCAAGTCTTCAATGATTGCGATGGTGTCAGGTACAGGAACCTTGGTGAATAAGGAAACTACATAAAAACTGACAAGCAGGTCGTGTGGGGACAGGGAAATACCCTTGATTGTCGATACTAGGTGAGTAGAATTTTGTACCGCAGAGGTGGTTTTTCCAGTGAAGGACGCAGGATTTCAGACAAAAAACGAGCCAGTTTGTAGGTGGGGGAGTTGATAGTAGAGACGATGGGACGAAGGGGTGTATCACTTTACCCTACATTGCGGGGATCACAAAAAAGATCTCCAAAATCTTGAATAAACACAAGATCCAGGTCCGTTTCAACACATTACATAAATCCGTGATCTGGTTCCGTCTGTAAAAGATGTGATTCCGGACATACAGTACCCTGGTGTCTACAAACTAAGTTGCCTCTGTGGTAGTAGTTACATTGGAGAAACCAAACGCCATGTCTCGGACCGCATTCGTGAACACAAAGCAGACCTTAAACACGGTAGGACCAACACCTCGGCCGTGGCAGATCATTGTTATAATTCAGTAAGCTCACATGACATTGACTTTTCCAAGACAGAGGTTCTTTGTAAGCCATCTGGCTACCATGAGAGATTCGTTCATGAGGCTATCCACATATACAAGCACAGAGACAATTTCAACCGAGAAGATGGATTCTGGCTTAGCAATCATTGGAAAGATTTGATAAACCATTTCAGGTCTTAATTGATTGTTCACGCTTACAGTGGCTTTCAGACAGCATACATTAATTTTTCGTCTCCCCCCTCCTCTTTTCAGAACATAGATGGACTAGTCCTTCTAAATAAACTGCCAAATCGCTGTGCGTGGCGCTGACGGTTTTGTTTATAAATAAATACACCGTTTAAAAATAAATAAATTAATGGAAACCAGCACACCTGATGACGACCGTTTGTGTTATGGTCGAAACGTCGTGAGAATTTTTTTATTGTTTTATATATATTTTTTATTTTATTGTTTCCCTTCAACGTGACTTTACCGAAAGAGCTAAGAATATGCTTAAACTCGCTTTAAACTATTGTCGTTGTAGTGCGTATTTAATGTGGCGCTGCACTCTGATGTTGTAGGAGTGTTGTTATAACAATTAGTGTTGTTATAAAAATTCTATATTTATTTAAAGTTGCGCATTTTGATGTGACGTCACATTTCTCAACCCCCCCCCCCCCTCGTCAAACATGTCTGAACCCTACTCTTTGTTTTTTTTCGGTAAAGTCACGTAGATAAAAGAAAAGAAAACAACTAAATCATATCACGACGTTTCGGAGGCAACACAAGCTTCCGTCTTCAGGTGGAACAGTCACAGCAGAATCGCTGTACCAAGTGGGCAGCTCTTGAGACGACCGGGATTATATAACCAGGTTAAGAGGGGGGGGAGGAGCCAGAAAGGGACGTGGGTGGGGGGGAGGGCTTAGTTAAGCCGCCTTTTGTTATGCTGCAGGGGGTTCGGGGGCAGAGATACACGAGTACACACAACCCACTGAAAGCAATGGAAATGGCTGTACAATTATAAGGCAGCTAAAGTTTGACATACAACCCATTGAAAGCAATGGAAATGGCTGTACAATTATAAGGCAGCTAAAGTTTGACATACAACCCAATGAGAGTAATGGAAATGGCTGTACAATTATAAGGCAGCTAAAGTTTGGACTTGGTTTATAACATCTTTCCAATGGTTGCTCAATTTGAAACCATCCTCTCGGTTGAAGTTGTGTCTGTGTTTGTATATCTGGATGGCTTCATGGGCAAATCTTTGGTAATAACCGGGAGGTTTGCAGAGAACTTTGGTATCAGAGAAAACAATGTCATGAGAACCCGCTGTGTTGAAACAATGATCAGCCACGGCTGAAGAATTCGTTCTGCCGTGTTTCAAATCTGATTTGTGCTCGCGGATTCGGTCAGAAATATGTCGTTTCGTCTCCCCGATATAGCAGTCACCACAGGTACAACTCATTTTTAAACACCGGGGTACTGTAAGTCAGGAATGACATCCTTTACGGATGGGATCAGATCACGGATTTTGTGTACTGTATTGAACCGGACCTGGATCTTGTGTTTGTTTAGAATTTTGGAAATCTTTTTGGCAACGCCTGCTATGTAAGGTAACGTGATGATTTTGATCGGAGTATCAGGTGGTTGTTTCTGTATGGTGGGAGAAACAGCTTGGCAGATAGCACGGTCAGAGTATCCGTTCATCTTGAGGGCCAGATGTACATGTTTTAATTCACTGGCCAGGTGGTGTTGGTCATAAATGCAATGAGCCCTATGGTATAATGTTTTGATGAGATAATTATTTTGAGTCGGGTGGTGGTGGGAATCAGGCTTCAAGTAGGAGTCTGTGTGGGTGGACTTCCTGTAAACAGAATGTCCCAAAGAGCCATCGGTCCTCCTCTCAAATAGAACATCCAAGAATGGCAGCTTGCCATCTTTCTCCACTTCCATGGTGAATTTGATGGATGGGTGTCTGGAATTCATGTGGTCTAGGAAATGGTTCAATGCTGGGAGGCCATGTGGCCAGATGACGAAAGTGTCATCCACATATCTCTTCCATAGGGAAGGGCGAAGGGTGGATGTCTGGATGGCGTCTGATTCAAATTTCTCCATTAAAACATTGGCTATCACTGGTGACAAGGGGGAGCCCATAGGGGTACCCTCATTTTGTTTGTAGAAGGTACCATTCCAGGTAAAGTAAATGTTGGTGAGGCAATGCCTAACCAGCGCAGGTACATCAGGGTTCAGTCCATGTTGGACCAAATCTTCAATTATTGTTATGGTTTCAGGCACTGGGACCTTGGTAAACAGAGAGACCACATCAAAGCTGACGAGGATATCGTCAGGAGACAGTACAGTACAATGTCCTTGACATCTGAACCCCCCCCCCCCCCCCCCTATGTGCGTGACGTCATTTAAGGACGGCCCCTTATCCACTCAATTGTCTGTTCAGAATACAGAGTGGGCCTCCGGAGTGGTTACGATTGCGGGTCGATGATTTGGGATTTGTGGCCCACATCTTCAATGTGCTGCATCGTCCATGCCCGGTCCCAACCCCTGTCAACCCACACGGTTTTACTCCGTAATCTTCTTGTCCGGGGGAATTGAGTTTGCAGGTCTATACGGCGTACGGCCGTTTCAATACGGGCAGAAAAAAAATGTATTTATTTGTGTTTCTCCCTCGTGATGGGACTTTGTAGGATGAACGTTGAGATTTATAAGGGCACGGGGTCACCAAAAAGGTCTGAATTGGCCTGTAATAAGGTAAGGCACTGATAATGGGTTTACAGGCATGCACTATACACTACACCCTACTATACACTCCTATGCCCTACTATACAGTACACTATACACTACACACTACCATACACTCCTATACCCTACTATACAGTACACTATACACTACACACTACTATACACTACTATACCCTACTATATAGTACACTATACACTACACCAGGGGTCGGGAACCTATGGCTCGCGAGCCAGATGTGGCTCTTTTGATGATTGCATATGGCTCGCAGATAAAACAAAATATTCTCACTTGTTTTAATCCATCCATCGATTTTTCACTGCGCATGTCCTGTTCAGGGCTGCAGGAGCAATTGTCCATTATTTTAATTGGATGATACTGGCCTACGTTTGCCGTTGCTGGGTAAAACAGGTAAACGCCCCCTTTTGAATCAGTCTGAGACTGCGTCTGCTCGGTCATTAGCTCAAAGCTAACCCTTCGACGAAGAAGATGGCGAAAAGAAAAAAAGACGAGTATCGTACATTTCAGGACGAATGGACCGAAGAATTCGCCTTTGTGGAGAGAGCGGGTTCTGCGGTGTGTCTAATTTGCAATGACAAAATTACATCGTTGAAACGGTCGAATGTAAAGCGGCACTTCGACACGCGCCACGCTACCTTTGCATCAAAATACCCTGCGGGAGACAGCAGAAAGAAAGCGTGCCAAGAGCTGAGCAGGGTGCAAGCTAGCCAGCAGCAACTCCGCGTATGGACCCGGCAAGGTGACTATAATTCGGCTAGCTTTGCTGGTTCTTTAGCAATAGTGAGGAACGGAAAACCATTCACAGATGGCGAGTATGCTAAAACGTTCATGCTGGATGTAGCCAATGAACTTTTTGATGATCTTCCGAACAAAGACAAGATAATCAAACGGATACAAGACATGCCTCTGTCGGCAAGAACTGTTCATGATCGTACCATCGTGATGGCAAACAAAGTGGAGGAAACGCAAGTGAAGGACATAAATGCAGCGCCGTTCTTTTCTCTGGCTTTGGATGAGTCAACAGACGTGAGCCATTTGTCGCAGTTCAGCGTGATTGCAAGATATGCTGTTGGTGACACACTGCGCGAAGAAAGTCTTGCTGTTCTGCCATTAAAAGGGTCCACAAGAGGTGAGGATTTATTCAAGTCTTTCATGGAGTTTGCTCAAGAAAAAAGTCTACCTATGGATAAACTTCTCTCAGTGTGTACTGATGGTGCTCCGTGTATGGTGGGGAAAAACAAAGCATTTGTGGCACTTCTCCGTGAACATGAAAATAGACCCATCCTAAGTTTCCATTGCATTATACACCAGGAGGCACTTTGTGCTCAGATGTGTGACAGGCAGTTTGGCGAAGTGATGTCGCTGGTCATTCGTGTGATCAACTTTATTGTTGCCCGAGCCTTAAATGATCGCCAGTTTAAAACACTGCTGGATGAAGTTGGAAATAACTATCCTGGTCTGCTTTTGCACAGCAATGTGCGTTGGTTGTCAAGAGGGAAGGTGCTTAGCCGTTTTGCGGCTTGCCTGAACGAAATCCGGACTTTCCTTGAAATGAAAGGCGTCGGGCATCCTGAGCTAGCCGACACCGAGTGGCTCCTCAAGTTTTACTATCTCGTAGATCTGACTGAACATCTGAACCAGCTCAACGTGAAAATGCAAGGCATTGGAAATACAGTGTTATCCCTTCAACAAGCTGTATTTGCTTTTGAAAACAAGCTGGAGCTTTTCATCACGGATCTTGAAACAGGTCGTTTACTACATTTTGAAAAACTGAGCCAATTTAAAGATGCATGCACAGCAAGTGAGCCCATTCAAAACCTTGATCTCCACCAGCTAGCTGGCTGCACATCCAGTCTCCTACAGTCCTTCAAAGCACGCTTTGGAGAATTTAGTGAGCACACTCGTCTTTTTAAGTTCATCACCCATCCAAACGAGTGTTCACTGAACACAGCCGACCTGAATTACATCCCTGGTGTCTCCGTCAGAGATTTTGAAGCAGAAGTGGCTGACCTGAAGGCCTCAGACATGTGGGTGAATAATTTCAAGTCACTGAATGAAGATTTGGAAAGAATCACACGACAGAAAGCGGAGTTGGCGAGCAAGCACATGTGGACAGAAATGAAAAAACTCCAACCCGAAGACCAGCTGATTCTCAAAACTTGGAACGCGCTTCCTGTCACATACCACACACTGCAGCGTGTGAGTATTGCTGTATTGACCATGTTTGGATCTACGTATGCATGTGAGCAGTCATTCTCACATCTTAAAAACATCAAGTCCAACCTACGATCACGTTTAAACGGATGAAAGCCTCAACGCTTGCATGAAGCTTAACCTCACCAAGTACCAACCCGACTACAAAGACATCAGCAAATCCATGCAGCACCAGAAGTCGCATTAATGGTGAGTGTTATAACAACATTATTTAAAAGAATAAATTCAGAGGCTTATTATACTGACATTTAGTTGAATTCACTTTTAAAATATATTATATGGCTCTCACTGAAATAAATTTCCAAATTTTTTGCTTTCATGGCTCTCTTAGTCAAAAAGGTTCCCGACCCCTGCACTACACACTGCTATACACTACTATACCCTACTATACCCTACTATACAGTACACTATACACTACACACTACTATACACTACTATACCCTACTATAAAGTACACTATACACTACTATATCATACATTGACATGTATGCGGTCCTCATTCTGTTGATGGTCGACCATTGGCGGTGTGGAAGGTTGAAGTGTCCACGTAGTAGTAGTAGCAGTGTTTTGTTTACAATTGTTTGCAAGCCTCACCGAGTGTTATGCAGGAGGGTCATGCCAAGTTTTCTGCAGTAGGGGGCGATGATCGCCGCTGCTATTGCTGCTCTGTGCTCCAAAGGCATTGACGTGTAAAACGTTGACATTTTGGCAAATGTAGGTCACGATGTTTCTTGTAATGACGCCTCTGGATCTTTAACGTCCACTGCGATAGAAGTTCAACATACGTACACTACACCATACACTACACTATACACTAGACTTGCATACACTAGACTATACACCACCCTACGTTACCCTACACTATTCTTTGGGTCTTTCGGTAAAGTCACGTAGAAAGGTTTAAAGAAAATAACACTATACATGATGTCACTATACACTACACATTACACGAACCTAAACACTACACCACCGATTATCGCGGTTAGCTACGTACGGTGCGAAATAAGTTCAACATACATGCATACACGCGGCAGTGTTAACCAGGGCGGCCTGAGGGTCCCGCACCACGAAACCTTTACGACGAGCGGCGAGCAGGTGCCACGACTAGGCTCTGTGTGATGATACAGGGTGCTTCAAAAAATGTTAACACTTACTTGGGACTATCGTTTTTAATGGAAAACGAACGGATAATACTACATTGTAACATGAAAACAAATGTAATGTTAATAGCTTCAGAAAGTTAAAGAGTCTCCACTCGTTCGCCATCATTGTCAACGCATTGCCTGGAATCTTCTCCAAGTGGTATCCAGAGCCCGGAGGCACATTTCTCGTGATATTGTTGCTAATTCTCAGAAGTATTTACATTTCTTTGAAGCACCCCGTACATTCGATCAAACCCTTAAAACGCGTTATTATGAATAAACATTGGTCGCGAAAGCCTGCGTGTTAAATTGCGCGGTGTTTTTACGTGCGCAGGAGAGAGATATTTTTTTACTGGTTACATCAAACTTCTGAAACGTTTCTTTTGTGGGTTCGAAAGGCCCTAACTGGTCGCCGTGGAAGCACCGTGGAAGCACCGTGGAAGCACCGTGGAAGCACCGTGGAAGCACCGTGGAAGCACCGTGGAAGCAGCGATACGGCCAACGTTCATAGAAGCTTTAAACGGTATTAATCACCAAACAGACGGCGTGGTGAGAGACCTGCTCGTCGAATGCGCAGTTCGACTAGAGCTCTTAGCCCAGTGCCGGATGATCGTAGTAGCAAAAGTAGTTGCATGTACATGTGCTACGGGCCCAGGGCCGGATTAAGGCACGGGAGCTTTAGGGGCTGCAGCCCAGGGGGCCTCTGCCAGCTGGAGGGCCTCCAGAGATTAAGTGAAAAGTTATTTCATTTGTGAATGCTGGATTTTATTTGTTGTTAGCCTAGTAAAAAGAAATGATAATTTTCTTTAACTTTGTTTTCCTTTTGAAAAAAAATACTGGGGGCCTCACAGTGCCTGCAGCCCAGGGCCCTCACAGTACCTGTAGCCCAGGGGCCTCACAGTACCTGTAGCCCAGGGGCATCACAGTACCTGTGGCCCAGGGGCCTCATAGTACCTGTAGCCCAGGGCCCTCACAGTACCTGTAGCCCAGGGGCCTCACAGTACCTGTAGCCCAGGGGCATCACAGTACCTGTAGCCCAGGGGCCTCACAGTACCTGTAGCCCAGGGGCCTACAAAATGTTAATCCGGCCCTGTACGGACCCCGCACTTTCAAAATCCGCACGCTAAATGCTTTCAAGCTATCAATTCCGGTTCAGTGATTCTGCACTTGCTCTATTACTATAGTACTATACCGTCTTCAACTTTAATGAACAACTGGGTGTTTAAGGTTAGCGATTTGTCGTATTATCCGGCTGTATAGCAAATGGAAAAATACAATGACTTTACTATGTAAGTAAAAACATTGTGTTTTAATATTTACGTGTTTTTTTTTAATTTAGAGCCCCTTTATAACATATACTACAGGCCCCGCACTAGCTTAATCCGGCATTGTCTCAGCCCCTGGACAATTTAGTAAACCCATTTCAACGGAGGAGAAGGAATAGCAAAACGCCACGAAATCTCTCCTGAAGCCCTCTCGTTGTCAGCAGCAGACCATGACATTGGCGCCTATCGCTCCTGAGCCATATTGCTGCCATAATACGCAGGGCCTAGAAGCCGCAGATCACCGAGCAAGACATCTCACCAGCGTGGAAGAGTAGGCCAAATACTTTCGACGAGAGGACGGCTCCCTTGTGCAATAAGTCGCATGAGCAAGACATTGCAGGGCTGCCTTTTTACCAAGTGAACTTCCCTTAACTTAAGGCGTCGTCATACAACCAGGCTCAGTTTGCAGGCATATGTATGTATGTTGAACTTCTCTGTCACCGCACGTAGCCAACCGTACACATCAGGATGAGAAAGAAAGGAAGACTCCGTGTGGACATTGTGAAATTGGCGCACGTGTTGCTTGTCTTCATGGTCAAGTGTTGTTATTGGAAATCATTTTAGTGACACGTTCGCCGGTATTTCCCAAGCTAAAAAAAAACGCACTCTGTCTGGCATTGCCATTTGAGATGATTAAATATATTGAACGAGTCAGACGGGTTCAGGACCGGCCAATGTGGCCGTGGGTAGCAAGTCTTCCCGTGCGCATTTTACACCGCCAAAAATAAAAAAAACCTGGCACACGAAGAAAGGATTGGGTCCGTGGAAGGTGGAACGGAAAAACCAACTGTGGTGACTTTTTTTTTGTGAGCGCACAGCTGCGGCCTTGCAAAAATAACGAGGGTGGCCCCACCGGTCTCGCAGGGAGAAATGGAGAAGCCGTCAGAGCATAATCGCGTTTGCATATATTAGCTAATATTCCCGTTAGCGGTGGTTCGTATAATCCAAGTTCTGGGCAACCGTTTGATCGATGAGGCCACTTTTTTTTTCTCTCTAGAGCATGCCTCTAATAGCAACACAACTCTATGCTAAAGTTTCATCACATGGGACCATCTTTTTGTTATATATATAAAATATATGTTTTATTCCACATCCTCCCTCACACCATACAATGACGGGTACAGATCAACGTTCTGTGCAGTAGTTGCAGGGGCATTGGCGGTTTCAAGCATCAGTCCCACACCCGATATGGGACCGTCTTTACGAGGAGCTATCGGCGACAGAGTACAAATTTTCCCAATTCAAAAATTGCCCGCAAATTAGCAATCGTGGCGATCATTGCGCCCCGACTGGCAATCAATGTCCCCCGCTGACTCGCCCTGCAGTATTCTCACGGTCAAACATAATCGACTCGAACAACCGCAGCAAACAGACAGGCAGGCTTAACGCCTTCAGACTCTCGGCCATCATTGGCAAGGGCAACGAATGATATCTCGATGAGTCGAATCGCGACCACCGAGTTGTGGCATCTGACACTTTGCCGAGCCACGTGCCGGGTGTGTGCTCGCGGGTCAATCGTCACACGTGCAGCCGAAACCCACAGAGGCTTTGCGTGACGTTTCCTTCCACGCAGGGACACACATGAGCCAAGCGGATGGGAAAACTGAGACTCCATCTGGACGTTGTGAAATTAGCGCGCTTTGATGCAACGCTTTACGCTGCAGACAAGTGTCGTAATTGGAAGTGATGTTATGGCATCGAGAGCGGATATTCGCTGCCATTTCCAACGCTTAAAAAATAATCTGTCCGGCATTGCCATTTAAATTCCTCGGACAAGTCAGCCAGGGTCAGGATGAGCCAATATGGCCGTGTGCAGCAGAGTCTCCGAGTGTGCAATTTTACTTCGCACTTAGTCCATCCCGTGCCACTGACACACCGACCTCCACGTGTCCACAGTTCCATAACACACCGGACTTTCAAGATCTGTTCTTACAGTGCCATCACCTCCACAAACATCTGGCTTTAGGTCTTCCTCCTCCGTCTCCGGCAACATTACCTGGTATTTGCCGTCCTCTCTATAGAGTCCCACGATGGATAGGTGACGGTGGGGGGTGGGTGGGGGGGGGGGTGAGCAGGTTGATGTTGAGTGTGCCTTGGTGGGGGAAGGTGGGGTGGGGGGGGGGGGTCCACTTCATCCGAGTGAGCGGACGTGGCTGGAGATGAACGCGTGGATTTCGGGCCACACCTTGTTGGTCTCCGTGCCCGCGAAGGTGTGCAGGAGGCCCCTGCTGCTGCTCGACGCGCAGGACAATGGCAACAAGGACAGGGGTATGGGTGACGCTGTCGCTCGCAGATCGGCCGGCGTGGTCACGGTGGTGGTGGTGATGATGATGGATGATGGCTGTAGGTGAACGGTGGAGGATGGGAGCTTAATTTCTCACTGAATGTATTCCGGGCCGCTGGGTAAGCTGGGGTAGATGATACGTGACCAGCGGCCTCTGCCACAGCCGAGAGGGTATACTGGACGTGGTGTGCTGGGTGTGGGAATATTTTACAGGCCGCTGAAATGAATCCCTGGGTGGAGGATGGTCGTGGAAGATGGCGATGAATGACGATTTGGTTGAAAAAGATGACGTGAGGTGATGCTGCTTGGCTGATGGATGATGATTGGTCGAGGGCGATGGTTGTTCATGATGGATGGCTACTGCGATGGTGAAGACGAGATACTCGTGCAAAGGTTTTCGAGGTTGGGCTGGGAGCTTCACTTTGTCTCAACGATTAGATGACAATATGACGCTGGAAAGTGATGGATGATACTGATGTACGATTGGTGGAGGGTTATAGATGATGGTGACAGTCACAACTGCTGACGTGCACGCTAACAGCTGCCTCGGTGCACTTTAAGAGCTCGTGCTGACAAAACAACAATAAATATCCCCGATTTGGCGAGCGGCTAAATGGTGATAAAGGCCCGACACAGCACATAAGGGAGTGGCGTGGCTAGCACCATGCCCGGCCGCCTTTGTCTCCCCAGTAGTGTTGTTTACCCATCATACCAGGTACTCATTTGAGGCTGAGTCGACCTCGGGGAGGCCCAGGACCGGTTCAGATAATCGTCACTGCCATTGGCCATGAGCGGGAATCGAACTCGGGTCGCCAGGTTCGTGGCGCAGCGTAGCGCTAACCGCTACACCACCGCGCGTACTCACGCGCGTACTCACGCGCGTACTCACGCGCGTACTCACGCGCGTACTCACGCGCGTACTCACGCGCGTACTCACGCGCGTACTCACGCGCGTACTCACGCGCGTACTCACGCGAAGTGGGTGACGAGCGGCTGCGTCCTCTCGCGGTATTCGCGGAGTCGCGCCACCACCGCGTCAGGTCGGTCGTCCAGCCTCTGCACCAGCGGCTCCCCCGTCACATCGTCACGGCCCTGGGGGTGGTGGGGGGGGAGGGGGGTGGGGGGCGGGGGGGGAGGGGGGCCACGGGGGTCATGAGGGAGTGGGCCCCTAAACCTCCCCCCACCTGAGAGAGAGTCCCTAGAGGGTCAGTGGGTTATTTACCTTTACTGCAGTCTGGCACCCATTTGGGATCTCAGTCGTACACGTTTCTTTTTACAATGTTAATAAATACACAGGGTTTGATGAAACATAGTAAGTAATAGCCACGTGCCCGTGCTTAATTTGTCTCTTGCACCCCCAGAAAGGGCATCCTCGCACTGCCAGGGGGTGGCGTGCACCCCAGGTTAAGAAGAAGAACCACTGCTATCGAGAGTGTTTGGCCAACTCTTCTTCACGAACTACATTCACGAACCACATTCACTATCAATAACCAATAACCACATTCACTATCAATAACCAATAACCACATTCACTAGCAATAACCAATAACCACATTCACTAGCAATAACCAATAACCGCATTCACTATCAAAACCAATAACCGCATTCACTATCAAAACCAATAACCACATTCACTAGCAATAACCAATAACCACATTCACTAGCAATAACCAATAACCACATTCACTATCACTAACCAATAACCACATTCACTACCAATAACCAATAACCGCATTCACTATCAAAACCAATAATCACATTCACTAGCAATAACCAATAACCACATTCACTAGCAATAACCAATAACCACATTAACTAGCAATAACCAATAACCACATTCACTAGCAATAACCAATAATCACATTCACTAGCAATAACCACATTCACTATCAATAACGAATAACCACATTCACTATCAATAACCAATAACCACATTCACTATCAATAACCAATAACCACATTCACTATCAAAACCAATAACCACATTCGCTATCAATAACCAATAACCACATTCGCTAACTATGACCAGCAACCATAACCTATAGCCGTAACCATAACCTACAGCCGTAACCATAACCTACAGCCGTAACCATAACCTATAGTCCGTCCGTCCGTACCGCGTTCCTGGGGGGATTGAAGTGGGTGTTGTAGACGCGGCCGCTGCGGGCGTGGATCCAGCGGGAGGAGAGGCGCTGTCGGATCGTGTCGGCGGGGACATCGAGGCACAGCACTGCGTCCAGCCGCACGCGCTCGCACTCCAGGGCGTGCGCCTGGGGCAGCGTGCGCGGGAATCCTGGATGAGACAGCAACGACGAGGAGATGAGAACGCCAGGGTGGCGAGATGTTAACTACCTCGCCTGTTATACAGAAGGTCGTGGGTTTCGATCCTGAACCTGACAGCTGTATATTTGGAGTTTGTGTGTGTGTCTCCCTCTCTCTCTCTTCGTGGTCGCCTGGATTTTTCTCCGGGTCCTCCGGGTTTTCCCTACACATTTTGAAACGTGCTTTTAGAGCATTTGGCTGCTATAAATTTCCACATGATAAGCCACTTTGTTGAGCTGTCATTTGCCGCCAGGTCGCTTCTGGAAAAGAGCTACACAGCTCAGTAGGCCTTACCTGGTAAAAAAATAAATAAAGAATATAATTATTTAGATGGCAGGGGCATGCAAGTGCCTGGTGCATCGTGTGAACAACAGCAGTGGGGAGGCCAAGACGGCCGTGTCGTGGCGTGCCGTGCCAGCCCCTCCATGAGTGCTCTCGCTAACAACACTTGCCCCAGCGGGGAGGGGTGAGGGTGAGAGTTGGGGGGTGGTGATCTTCGGTCGTTGTTGTCAATTGCGGGTGGGGGAGGTTTTTTGCCTGCAGAAAAATGACCTCGGCCAGCCCTCCCACCGCAAAAGCCGCGCGGCCGCACGGAGCGGGGAACTCTGAGCGAGAGTCCCACGAGCGACGAGCGGCTTTAATGCGCGGCCCACGGTTTCGCATTGTGTGGTCGCATTTACATGTTGGAGTGTTTCCCGTTTTTCCCCTACCCCCTGGCGCCCCCCCCCCCCCCCCCGCTGTAAATCACGGCTTCCGTTCTTTTCCCGGCAGCTCGCGCCAAGATTCCGAGACCCGCGCGGCAGCGTCGATAATCATCGGATGGAACTGGAGTTGGTGAGACTGGCTGTGGGAGGGTGGTTGGGTTCAGTGAGTCCGTAGCAGAGCTACGGACTCACTGAACCCGCACCGCTGAGAGCCTGGGATCGAATCCAGAGTTACAGCCGCGCTGAAACCGGATTCTCAAGCGGAACGAGTTGATGGTATCACCTCGGTCAGAATAACACGAAAATAAAACGTAAATATATCCACACACCACGTGAAATTAGCTTGTCACTTGAACTAAAAAGCCATGTGCGGTAACCATGCAACGAGCATATCAGAGGCGCAGAGCCGTTACCGCTGAGATCATAGGCTCGACTCCGAGCTTACAGCCTGCCCACTCGGATTAAACTGGGTTCACAAGTGCAGTGAGTTGATGGTATCAGCTCGGTTAGAATAACACAAAAATTTATAATTCTAGTACACACCACGTGAAATAATATTCTTTGGGTTTTTTCGGTAAAGTAACGTAGATAGGTTCAAAGAAAATATCCTATCTACGTGACTTTACCGAAAGACCCAAAGAATATGAATTCCTGCAGTCATGAAATCTTTCAGTCACGTGAAATCAATTTGTCACTGAAATTCAAATAAAATCCCGGTCCTCAGAATTAAAAAGCCATGTGCGCTAACCATGCAACGAGCATATCAGAGGCGCAGAGCCGCTATCGCTGAGATCCTGGGCTAGACTCCGAGCTTACAGCCTGCCCACTCGGATTAAACTGGGTTCACAAGTGCAATGAGTTTGCCGGTGTCAGCCGGGTCACGTGCGGGGTGTCGCCGCACCGTCCAGCACCCATCCGTCGTCACCGCGCTGCTGCAGCTCCCGCATGACGAGATGCGTGATGAAATCGTCGGGCACGAGGCGACCCGCCACGATGTAGGAGCGCGCCCTGTGCCCGATCTCTGCACGCGGACACGCGGACACACGCACGCCCGGCGATGCCTGCAGGGGTCACACGGGTAACCTGCTGCTCGCCTGGATAAAGCGTTCAACTCGAACCAGACAACTCAGATTGCCGGCAGGAGACAATATCGGTGTGGCGAGCGGTGTCGGAACAAGGTCATGTGCCTCCCCTAGGTCATCTCAGCCTTAAATCAGTTCCTGGTGTGGTGTGGGTGTATGAGAATTGTGCAAAGGCGGTCGCGCGTGGCGCTGGATACCCCCACCCCCTTTGTGTGCTGTGCCGGCCTTTATCGGTGCTGCTCGCTAAAACAAAATAACAACAACAAAGCACTGACCCCCCCCCCTCCGCCACAGTCTGTTGTTATACGAGTGGCGTGGAGGCAAGGGACGGAGAGACGGGTCCCGGCGCGAACCCGGCTCTGTGTTCCGGCACGGGCGGCCGCCCTTCCCGTAACCCTCGACGGTCAAAGCCGCTCTCTCATCCCAACAACCACCCCCACTCCCTGCCGCTCTCTCACCCCCCCCCACCACCACCACTCCCTGCCGCTCTCTCACCCCCCCACCACCACCACCACTCCCTGGCGCTCTCTCACCCCCCCCACCACTCCCACTCCCTGCCGCCCTCTCACCCCCCCCCCCCACCACCACCACCACTCCCTGGCGCTCTCTCACCCCCCCCCACCACCACTCCCTGGCGCTGACCGCGTTCCGGGAAGCCGGGGGGCAACGTTCATGGTGTCCAAATCACGTAAACTCGCCATGCGGTGAGCGGATGCTGTTAATGAACGTGGTGAGTGAATGCCGTGAGTGAACGTGGTGAGTGAATGTGGTGAGTGAACGTGGTGAGTGAATGCCGTGAGTGAACGTGGTGAGTGAATGCTGTGAGTGAACGTGGTGAGTGAACGTGGTGAGTGAATGTGGTGAGTGAATGCCGTGAGTGAACGTGGTGAGTGAACGTGGTGAGTGAATGTGGTGAGTGAACGTGGTGAGTGAATGCCGTGAGTGAACGTGGTGAGTGAATGCCGTGAGTGAACGTGGTGAGTGAATGCCGTGAGTGAACGTGGTGAGTGAATGCCGTGAGTGAACGTGGTGAGTGAATGTGGTGAGTGAACGTGGTGAGTGAATGCCGTGAGTGAACGTGGTGTGTGAATGTGGTGAGTGAACGTGGTGAGTGAATGCCGTGAGTGAACGTGGTGAGTGAATGTGGTGAGTGAATGTGGTGAGTGAACGTGGTGAGTGAACGTGGTGAGTGAATGCCGTGAGTGAACGTGGTGAGTGAATGCCGTGAGTGAACGTGGTGAGTGAATGTGGTGAGTGAACGTGGTGAGTGAATGCCGTGAGTGAACGTGGTGAGTGAATGCCGTGAGTGAACGTGGTGAGTGAATGTGGTGAGTGAACGTGGTGAGTGAATGCCGTGAGTGAACGTGGTGAGTGAATGTGGTGAGTGAACGTGGTGAGTGAATGCCGTGAGTGAACGTGGTGAGTTAATGTGGTGAGTGAACGTGGTGAGTGAACGTGGTGTGTGAATGCCGTGAGTGAATGTGGTGAGTGAATGCCGTGAGTGAACGTGGTGAGTGAATGCCGTGAGTGAACGTGGTGAGTGAATGTGGTGAGTGAACGTGGTGAGTGAATGCCGTGAGTGAACGTGGTGAGTGAATGCCGTGAGTGAACGTGGTGAGTGAATGCCGTGAGTGAACGTGATGAGTGAATGTGGTGTGTGAATGCCGTGAGTGAACGTGGTGAGTGAATAGCAAAACTCTGCAAGGAGCGGTGAACGCGCACCGGCTGGGCGCCCCCCCCCCCCGCTGTCCCACCCCGCCTCCCTTCCCTGCCCCCCCTCCTCCGCTGACCCACCCCGCCTCCCCTCCCTGCCCCCCCCCAGCCTCCCCGCCCGCCCCCACTTCCGACTCGTGGGCCCCGGGGGGCTGTCGAGACCGCGTGCGGGCCGAGCGTCGAGCTTCCCGCCGCGACCCTTCAATTGCGTGACCCCTGATGACCTTGCACCCAATTAAATATTTATTGTTTTTTCATATATTTTAACACCCCCCCCACACTCATCACCCACGAGGGAGCCATTACCACGGCGGCTCGCAGTGGGTAGGAATAATAATAATAATAATGTGGGAGGAACGCGCGGAGCCGCAGAAGAGGGAGAGAGGGGGACTCTGCGATGTGCGGGGTCAGAGGGCAACAGCGGGTGAGGTGGCACGGGCGACGCGCGGTGCGGCCACCGTGGGCCATACGAGAAGCCCGTGGCACCCAATCTATATTGTAGGTAAAGGCGCAGCCCTGCAACTGCTTTCTTACCTTTGGGGCAGGGATGGTGGTGGTGGTGGTGGGGGGGGCAGTTGTCTGGCTTGAGTGATTACTTCTGTGATAGGAAACGTGTAGTAGTAGTAAATAATAATGATGATGTATAGCCCGATTGTTAATCCACTGTCCTGCTTTACAATGTGGTCCAGCAGTGGTGTCCTTCAACGGAGGAGGAGCATCAGCACCACACGAACTCTCTCTCTCTCTCCCTCCCTCCTGAAGCCCTCTCGCCGTGGCCAACAGCAGCATTAGCTGCATCTTGACACTGGTGTCTAGCTCCTGAACCAGACTGCTGTCAAGAATACAACAGAATCCACTGCTGGATGAAGAACCCCCCCCCCGCAATGCTGTCTGGGTCATGCAAGTTATTTGACCGCATGATTAATTCGATGCACGGCATTTGCCCACTATAGGGAAGCTTCGCCGAGTCCAGGAGGGTCCCGCCGCACTGGCGACCTTACGGTTAATTCCGTTCACAGAAGTTTAGCTTCGGCTTGAAAGGAAAACGGGGAAAGCACGGAGAGACCCCCACCACGCAATGGAATGGGTTAACACGGAAAGCACCGCACAGATTGATTCAACACGCGTGCTGCACTGCTGTCTCCTAGAAAGTTTCTAAAATATGCGCGCGTGTGAGGAGCAGTTTAGCGCGCTGCGCTACGAACCCGGCGTTCGGGTTCGATTCCCACTTACGGACAACACCAGTGCCGATTATCTGAACCGGTCCTGGGCCTCCCTTAGGTCGACTCAGCCTCAAATGAGTACCTGGTGCGGTGTGTTATTATCGTCACTGGGGAGACAAAGGCGACCGGGCGTGGTGTTGGCCACCCACCCCCTTGTGTGCCGTGCCGGCCTTCATAGATGCTCGCTAACAGTACTTGCCGCTAAGTCTGTTACAGGCTATACGTGGGATCTTTGCCTTTGTTGTGAGGTTCACCAACCCAAGGTCAAGCACGCACGTGTCCGGGTCTCCACTACCCACACACCCGAGGGTCAGTGGCGGTACGGGGGCAGAAGCAAAACTAAAGCAAAGCTTGAGGGGCCCCGCGTAGCTCACGTGATGACAAACAATCTTTTAAAATAAATGGTGAAACAATTCAAAGTCGTCTCCTTATATTTAAAAAAAAAATAAACTCTCATGATTCTAATAACACGCAGAGAGAAAAAAAGGGTTGTAATTACCCTCCGAACGTAATGATGTCACACACGGTCGGGACATGATTAAGTTACGCGCAGACTGCCCCGTTCGTTCGTGTCATGACTCACGGCCGTGAGGCGCCCAAAATAACCCCGGGATTAGAGTGCTAAGGGCCCCCTGGCAGCCCCCCGGGGCAGCCGGGCACGGCGAGCACGTGGGAGCCCTTCGTGCCGGCCAGAGAGAGAGAGAGGGCAGCGGTCGTGCGGGTGAATGGAGAGAGAGAGAGGGCGAGAGCGGGAATGAGAGAGAGGGAGGCGGGAGACAGGATGAGATTAAAGAGAAGGGATTTAAGGAGGTGAAGAGAGAGAGGGAGGGGGGTGTAAGAGGGGATGAGAGAGAGGGAGGCGGGAGACAGGATGAGAAGGGGGTTAAAGAGAAGGGATTTAAGGAGGTGAAGAGAGAGAGAGGGAGAGGGGGGGTGTAAGAGGGGATGAGAGAGAGGGAGGAAGAAAGCGACAGACGATGAGAGACGAAGGGATGAGCGAGGGGATAAATAGAGAGAGAGAGAGTGAAGAGAGGGGATGAGAGAGACGGGGGATAAGAGGGGATGAGAGAGAGAAAAAGAGCGGAAGAAAGCGACAGGATGAACGACGAAGGGATGAAAGAGGAGCTCAATAGAGAGAGAGAGGGGGGGGAGTGAACGAGAGAGGATGCGAGAGGGATGAGATGAGTGGGGGAGGTGATGAGGTGGAGGGGTGGTACCGGTTCTCCGGTAGATGTGGTCCCGCAGTAGCTCCCCGCTCGCCACGCTCGTGATGCCGAAATGGAGGCGGATTTTGTGGGCCATAGTTCCCTTGCCCGAGCCCGGGGCCCCGAGCAGTGCCAGCCGGGACACGGGGACACGCGCAGCCATGGACGTGACAGCGACTCGCCCGCAGGGAGCGAGGGCGGTGTGGGAGAAGGGGGGGGGAGAGGACGGAGATCGAGGGAGTGATGCGGATAGGGAGGGAGAGGGGAAGGAGAGAGGTAGGGATGCAGGGAGGGGTGGTTGAGGGGGAGCGATAGAGAGGGAAGGAGAGAGATGAGGGAGGAAGCAGGAGACGGGCAGAGAGAGAGGGAGTCGAGGGACGGGGGAGGTGGTCTCGAGCAGAATGGGTGGGGAGCACGAGGAGAGTGCGAGGTGCCAGGCTCCTTCCACTGCTGGCTGCTGCTGACACCGGCCATCCCTGACGACGTAACACAGCCCGGACGCGCTGCTGCCATGGTCATCGTAAATATAGCGACGCAGACAGCCGCACGCCGCTGCTGCCTCTTCAGCAGACGTCGCGAGCTAATTCGGGCTCAAGATCTGCCCACACCCCCCTACCCATCGGCAAGGGGTGGGCGTGTTTGTATTTTGAGATCCGGGGAGCTTTGTGAATGCTGCGCACGTGCAATTGTTTACCCGTTGTTGGTATTGTACCACGCACACCGAGGAGACGGAGCGAGGATTGCGTCATTAGGGCGGATTGGGGAGGCCTTCATACAGGCAGTGGATCGGTGTTGGCGCCGTGAGAGTGATTACTAGAGGCGGCGGTGCCTCTAGCAGGTGTAAGTGCTTTCCGCCTTAACAGTCTCGGCCAGGTAACCCGCTCAGGTGACCTTGGTGACCAGCCCAGGTGATGCCGGTGGTCAGTCAAGGTCACCTCCCAGAAGCAACGTTCAACAGCGGCGTGCGAGTGAGACGTGAGCGGAGAGGTAGGAGAGTGCGTGGGGGGTAGGAGAGTGTGTGGAGTGGGGGGGTGAGAGGTAGGAGAGTGTGTGGAGTGGGGGGGGGTGAGAGGGGAGAGGTAGGATATTTCGTGGAGGGGCGAGAGAGACGAAAGGGAGAGGCAGGGGAGCGCGAATTGACAGTGGCGAGATTAATCGGCACGCCATTCCCCTGGATTGTCATCGGCAACACGAGCTAAATACATAAATAACATGCCCACTCGGGGAATGTTTTAGGGAGATTTCACGTTCTCCGCATGTTTAACGATTGCCGCAAGCGCATCACGACACTCGCTGGCAGAGTTTCAACTATTCACATCTGTAAATGACTAGAAACCCCATCCCACCGCAGGCTCTATCTGTTACCCAAGAGCTATTAGGTCACGATTCATACGCCGATTTGAAAACTAGTGTCATCAGTAAACATTAAAAAAATGGCATTCTCATCAGGCACCCGTGGTGTAAGTGACTGCAGTGTCCAATTGTTATCGTCCACGCTGCCTCTCTGCGCCACGGTGGCGAGATGTTAACTCCCTCGCCTGGTATACAGGAGGTCGTGGATGCGATTCGCCTGCTGCTGTATATTTGGAGTTTGCGGTGTCTCTCTCTCTCCCTGTGGTCGCGTGAATTTTTATCCGGGTCCCCAGGTAGTTCCCTCCACATTTAGAATGGACGTCACGCGTTTAGAGTATTTGGTTGCTATAACTGTCCACGTGATAAGCCACTTCGTTGAGCTATCATTTGTGGTGGCAAGACCACTACTGAAAAACAAACTATATAGCTCAGTGGGCCTTACCTAATGGAATTTTAAAAAAATACTTTAAATAGGTTGTATGTGCTGTGAAGGGCCATTGCCTGAAATGTCGCCTAATGCTGCGTGTTTGTTCACCTTTTTAAAGCCACACACGATGTTGTTTAGAAAACCAATCACAACAGAAAAAAAAATTCAGTCCGCGCCGGAATTCATTGCGTTTTAGCGCCACGCAAATCTATGCACCATCATGTGTCGAAAAAAAACTCGTCAGCCGATTCCAGTCCACCAGCTCAAAACTCATTTACCGTGCCTCTATGTTGTCGTTTGATGCCAGCGACTCGATTAATCGACGTATCCCAAGGAATCGGTGGAGCCGTGTAAGGACGAGTAGCAAGACTCACCTCGGACACCTGGTGGAACAGGCAGCCCCCTCCCTCCCTCGCACTAGCCCCTGCCCATTTTACATAACCACACCCACCCGATTTCTAGCACCACCCCTCTGCGGCTGAACAGCCCCGCCCACTTTTACATAGCTCCGCCCACTGGCCAGGCAGCACCCTCTTGCCGTTCCATTAGACCAGCACGAGTCCAGAACGTCTGAACCTGGACGACAACCCTGCTGTGGACCGGAGAGAAAGCACATAGAGACGGAGATACACAGAGACTCATAGAGATACACAGAGACTCATAAAGATACATAGAGACTCATAGAGATACATAGATACCCATAGAGATACATAGAGACTCATAGAGATACATAGAGACTCATAGAGATACACAGAGATACATAGAAATACCGAGACTCATAGAGATACAGAGACTCATAGAGATACATGGAGACTCATAGAGATACATGGAGACTCATAGAGATACATATAGACTCATAGATATATATAGAGGCTCATAAAGATACATAGAGACTCATAGAGTAACATATATATTCATAGAGATACATTTCGACTCATAGAGATGCATAGAGATACATAGAGACTCATAGACATACATAGATACTCATAGAGATACATAGAGACTCAGAGATACGCGGACTCATACAAATACAAAGAGACACATAGATCCAGAGACTCATAGAGATACATATATATTCATAGAGATACATAGAGACTCGTAGAGATACATAGAGACTCATATAGATACATAGAGGCTCATAGAGATACATAGAGATACATAGAGACTCATAGAGATACATATATATTCATAGAGATACATTTCGACTCATAGAGATACATAGAGATACATAGAGACTCATAGACATACACAGATACTCATAGAGATACATAGAGACTCAGAGATACGCGGACTCATACAAATACAAAGAGACACATAGATCCAGAGACTCGTAGAGATGCATATATATTCATAGAGATACATAGAGACTCATAGAGATACATATATATTCATAGAGATACATAGAGACTCATAGAGATACATAGAGACCCATAGAGATACATAGAGACTCATAGAGATACATATATATTCATAGAGATACATAGAGACTCATAGAGATATAGAGCTCCGTAAAAAAACGACAAACTGGGTGAGGGGGGGGGAGTGTTACGGTGCCCTTTGATGTTTTCCCGTGGTGCATTCCACCGCGACTCTCACACAACTGCGCTAAACCCGCACGGTGCCGAAGGACATTGCCGATTCACACGCTTCGCAAATGCGCTCAGCAGAGTAACGAACTCGTCGCACGCAGCGAATTAGTTCGGTGTTTTGGTGTTTAGGGAGTTGGTTAGTTTAACACGTAGTAGCAGGCTTTCGCGACCAATATCATCCACAACCCCGCCACCACCCGACACAGCCAATTAGTAAGGTTTGTCACGTAAACAGAACATTTGTCGCCTGATGAAGCTAGTTGTAAATACTGGCGAAACGTCGTACTCAGTAAATGTTGTGGCTTGGCTCTCCAACACACCGGTTAGTGCTGTACCAGTAACGAATTGGCACGTTCTGTTCACGTGACAAACCTTACTAGTTGGCTGTGTCGGGTGGTGGCGGGTTTGACGACATCATAAGACCTCCCTTGCCAGTGTCAAAATATAAGAAAAGGTTTTCCCTTTTTTTCTGGCAACAAAACAGTTAGTATTATATTCTTGGTTCTTTCGGTAAAGTCAAGTAGAAGGGAAACAATAAAATAATAAAAATATAAAACAATAAAATTCTCACGACGTTTCGACTGCAACACAAGCAATCATCATCAGGTGTGAAAACCACAACAAGAAAATTTTCAAATTTTATTGTTTCCCTTCTACGTGACTTTACCGAAAGAACCAAGAATATGAATCCCTGCAGTCACGAAAGCTTTAAATCAAAATTTAAAACAGTTTGTGTTAAGATGTTAAAACACCAAACTGAAACACCTTTTGCAAGGAATCCTGTCTGCATTAACCACAGATACTTGTGGTGAAAATACAAACAAGAAACATGCTCTGCATGGTCTCTGCAACTGATTGGTCCACACCAGAAACACCTTTCTTTAGAGCCTAGTCTCAAACAGTGTTAGGCCAGAGGAAAGCACAAAGACAATGCCACTATCAGGGCATTGAGAGCTCGGGGTGAGCAGCTCCATCATGGGACCCCCTTTGCCAGTGTCAAAATATAAGAATAAGTTTTCCACTTTTTTCCTGGAAACAAAACGACACATTTGCGCGATCTAACCCAAAAAAGACTCCGTTATGGAGGGAGTTGTTTGTTTGCATTGTAACACCGCGGATTGCACAGCAGGTGGCGGTATTTTACACAGAACGCCGAGTCACGCCGAGTGGAGAGTCGGGCGGTCCAGACCTCCCTTTTCCTGGCGACACTCTCCAGCACTACATTACTATACACTACACTCTACACTACTACACTACACTACTACACGTTACCCTACTATACACTACTATTTTCTACACTATACACTACTATACACCACTACACTATACACTAGTATATACTACACTATACACTACTATATACTGCACTATACACTACATTACTATACACTACACTCTACACTACTACACTTTACTCTACTATACACTACTATTTTCTACACTATACACTACTATACACCACTACACTATACACTAGTGTATACTACACTATACACTACTATATACTGCACTATACACTACACTATACACTACTATATACACTACTACACTTTACCCTACTATACACTACTATTTTATACACTATACACTACTATACACCACTACACTATACACTAGTATATACTACACGATACACTACTATACACTACACTAAACACTACACTATACACTACTATATACTGCACTATACACTACACTATACACTACTAGATACACTACTACACTTTACCCTACTATACACTACTATTTTCTACACTATACACTACTATACACCACTACACTATACACTAGTATATACTACACGATACACTACTATACACTACACTAAACACTACACTATACACTACTAGATACACTACTACACTTTACCCTACTATACACTACTATTTTCTACACTATACACTACTATACACCACTACACTATACACTAGTATATACTAAACTAAACACTACACTATACACTACTATATACTGCACTATACACTACACTATACACTACTATATACACTACTATATACATTACTACACTTTACCCTACTACACACTATTTTCTACACTATGCACTACTATACTACACTACACTATACACTACTATATACTGCACTATACACTACACTATACACTACTATACTCTTCTACCCACCCCCCCAACAGCTTGTCCAGGCTAGACGGGGGATCTTCGTCTTTGTGGCGTGAAAGAGGTTGAAAGGAACTGCGACTCGAGTGGACGAAAAACCTGCGGAGCTCTCATCAAGTCTCAGTGGATGGCGGTCACGGAGTCGCTCTCTCCTCCGTCTGGTCGACTCCAGCAGCCACGCGCTCTCCAAAGACAAAGATCCCCCGTATAGCCTGAACAGACTGTCGGGGCAAGTGCTGTAAGCGAGCACCTAATGAAAGCCGGCACGGCGCACGAGGGGATGGGTGGACAGCACCACGCCCGGTCGCATTTGTCTCCTCAGTGGCGATGTTTACACACCGCACCAGGTACTCATTTGAGGCTGAGTCGACCTAGAGGAGGCCCAAGACCGATTCAGATAAACGTCACTGGCGTTGGCCGTGAGCGGAAATCGAATTCGCCCCCCACTGCTCCTTATCCCCAATTTGAACTTTTGGTCTGGAGAGACAAATAAATCAAGGAGACAATTAATCTGCTTGTTTATTTACGTATTTTATTACCAATATTTCTCAGGTCAGAACCAATCGGTGAACTCAGAATATAACGTACGTGTCCCGAGGAAGGGTAATTGCCAGAAACGCCGCGTCTTCACGTCTAACCCTTTTTGAAGGCCGCGGTGTTCATTGACGAATGTTTTGAAAGGTTCGGTTCTTTGTGTTTGGGGAACTCTCGCGCGGTTAACGATGTGTTGATGACGTGTTGACGATGTGTTGATGATCACGCGGAGCCAATTAGCGCGTGCGCTCCTCCTCCGCTGCTCCCCGGCGACGTGGCGAGATTATATCATCTCCGCCTGCTGCTGCTGCTGCTTCTTCGCCTGCAAGCAGACACGGTAATTTTGTCTGGTCACGGTCAGTCACGCTTTGGTCTTTGGCCGAGGCAGTCGTAATCTAGCGGTGGTGATGACTGGTAAACGATTTAACAACTTCACACTTTTATTTTTATTTAACCGTAGCTATTTTTTTTTGTCAGAAGTGACCTGGCCACACGTGATGGCTCAGCGAAGAGTGGCTCATCACGTGGGAATTTATATGAGCAGCCAGATCGAATGGTGTTTTTTAAAACTTTTAAATAAACTTTATTGTCCAGCAGCAAATGCCCTGGACGGTTCCGGTGCTCCATTGCGAGAGTCGCCAATAAAAAGCCAACAATGTCCGTGCGCGTCATTACGCTGGTGGTGGTGATGATGATGGGTATATTGGTGAGTAGTAGTCATTGGCCATGCCTGATGATGATAATTTTAGTCCGCTCGTTTTATAGTTTGGTTGGATTAAAAAAAACAATGTAAATGCACTCTTAGCTGACGGATCTCTCTCTCTCTTCGTTAAAAAAAAAACCAATGACAAGCACGTTTCTCTGCAGAGTTTGGCAGGGACGCGCACGGGGAAGTTTCAGCGCATGACGGTTTCTGTAAACACCACCCCGCAAGCGCCCACGTAACTTGACAAGGATGTGGGGTGGTGGTGGTGTTGGGAAGTTGGGCTGTTTGAACATTCTCAGAAATTACATTTTGTCCGGAGAGTGTTGCATTGAACAATTCGGGTCATTCTCACGGAAGAGACGGAGAGCTTGGAATTGGACCGATAAACTGAAAGAGGCGGGTAGGATACGCGTCCGGGGCCAGAAAGGACGACATGCCGATGGTCAATAATGATCATGGAGCTGCAACAAAAGGACGGAACGCGTTCCCGAGATAATTAAACTAAACTATTTATTTTCTCTTACCAGGTAAAGCTAAGCTATGAAAACTCGTTTTCAGAAGCGACCTGGCCATCACAAATGACAGCTCAATCGGAGTGGCTTATCGCGTGGAATTTTTAAGCAGCAGCCAAATCCTCGCGTCTCTAAACGTGGAGGGGAAAACCCGGAGGACCCGGAGAAAAAAATGCACGCGACCACGGGGGGGGGGGGGGGGGGAGAGACACCGCAAACTACAAATCTACAGCAGCAGGCGTCAGGGTCAGGATCGAACCCACGACTTCCTGTATACCACGCGAGGTAGTTAACATCTCGCCACGGGGGCACCGGTGACGTCCACCGAGAGGAGATGGAGCCTCGAAAGCAGCTCGTGGTGTGCAGCTGCTGGGTGGATTCATGCAGGATCGTGAGAGGTGGCGGCGGCAGCGGCTTCGTAAGCAGTGGATCGATGATGGCCGACGATGATTGTTTAATTAAAATACAATAATAGCTGCCACTTTTTTTTTGCCCATCATCCCCTCCGAGGTTGATAAATCGAGTTCTACTCGGTGGGAGGTCGACAGTTCATGCCATATTCATTGCCTTGTCAGGATTTCAACCCCAAGCATCAACCACCAACCCACCTCTGAATCTTCTCCATCTTTTCGCTTCATTTTCCCCGTCACCACCACCGCCGCCACCATCAACACAGCACAATCGGTCTCCCGAATCGCCTTGTCCCGCCCTTTCCTCCCGTCCCACACCATCCCAAGTTAATTCTCGATACATCGTCAAACATCATCCATCGTTAACCCCCACCCCTTCGCGTCTCATCATCTTCAACACAACCCCTCTTCATTCCTCACCCCTCCCTCCCACCGCTTCCTTCGACAGCCCAATCACCATCATACTGATCTCTCATCACCCCTCTCGTAGTCATCATCATCCCTTTGATCTTTCTCTAGCATCCCCTCTCCAATCCTCTTCCTGGCGGATCCTCCTGTGCACCCCCATGCCCTTCCCAGCTTCTCCACCAGCTCCCTCCCTCCTCTCCTCTCCCCTCTCTCTCCACGCGGAAGCTCGGGTCCACACGGGGCGGTGCCTACACCACCACCACCACACACCACCACACACCACGATCACCAGAGGTAGCAGCAGCAGCAAGCACGCAAGCAAGTCCGCCCCCCGTGCCGTGCGCACCAAGCGGAGGGCGTGCGCAGGCGAGCGGAGCGAACCAAACAGCAAGCGGCTCCACGAGTCGCCTCTTCCCTCCTCCGTCCAATAGCGCCTCCCGCCTCGTAGCTACCACCCCCCTCTCTCTCTCCGCTCTCTCTCAGCTCTCCCCTCCCTCTCTCTCGGCTCTCTCTCAGCTCTCTCTCTCTCTCCGCTCTCTCGCCTCGTGCGAGCCAGCGTGTGACGCGACATCATCCCTCCTCCTCGCAAACCCCACCCCATCATCATCCTCCTCCTCCTCTCGGACGCAGGAAGCAGCAGAGGCGAGCGCGCACCCAAGCCAGAGATCGTCCGCGACTGCTCCTAGCAGCAAGCAGCAAGAAGAAGGATCTGAGCAGCCCCCCCCAACACAGCCCCGCCAGAGTCGACCCTCCAATCTCGTCCACCCTCCAATCTCGTCCACCCTTCCCGCCCCGAGCAACGCTCGCTGCTCGCAATCGACTTGGTTCGCTAAGCGTCGCGTCTCGTGGGCGAGAAAGGTTCCCACCACCACCACTACCACCACCACCTCCCGTGTTGGCGAGGCCTCGCGATTCTGCCCCATGGCACAGAGGCACGGATACCGCCGTCGCCGCAGCAGCAGCAGCCAACAGCGTTGATCGGCCGACCCCCGCGGAGCCTTCGAGTCGGTGAGTGTGGCAGCGTGGCACCGTGCTACCGTGGCACCGTGGTAGCGTTGTACCGTGCTACCGTGGCACCGTGCTACCGTGGGACCGTGCTACCGTGGCAGCGTGGCACCGTGCTACCTTGGCACCGTGCTACCGTGGCACCGTGGCACCGTGCTACCGTGGCACCGTGCTACTATGGTAGCGTGGCACCGTGCTACCTTGGCACCGTGCTACCTTGGCACCGTGCTACCTTGGCACCGTGCTACCTTGGCACCGTGCTACCTTGGCACCGTGCTACCGTGGTAGCGTGGCACCGTGCTACCTTGGCACCGTGCTACCTTGGCACCGTGCTACCGTGGCACCGTGCTACCATGGTAGCGTGGCACCACCGTGCTACCGTGGCACCGTGCTACTGTGGTATCGTGGCACCGTGCTACCTTGGCACCGTGCTACCGTGGCACCGTGCTACCTTGGCACCACCGTGCTACCGTGGCACCCCCTACACATCCTCTCCTTGGTTTCGGTTCTGGTCGTGCGGAACGGGGGAACCCCATCCGAGATGGGTCAGAACGTGGGGCGCGGTGGTAGTTGGTGATGGTGGTTGTGATGATGGGTTGTTGTGGTGGCGAAGGTGGCTGTAGCTACTATGCGTGCCACTGTTGGCAGCGCGTAAGAGGGGAGAGAGAGCGAGGGTTGGTGGAGCTCTACAGTACAGCAAGTGGGGTTCCGTGAAGAATCCCCCGTGGTGACTGCCCTTTCAGACAGTGAATTCAGAGAGCGCACGGGACCCATCGTGACTGCGGATGAGACCCAGACGATTGAAACTGGTTTCAGAATGTGTCTCACTTTGAGCACACGCGGCCGTGTGTGGTATTGAAGTCGTAATGATGATGTCTGCTCTGGGTAAGCCCCCGATGGGCTTTGCGCGGTCATAGAATATTATATTTGATCTCAAATCCGCCCAGAGGCGGAATGGAGTTGCGATGCTTTGTGTACGTGCGCAGTAGGTATATTCAGGTGGTAGGTTACGTGGGTAGTCGGTGGTTAGGTGGGTAGTAGGTACGTGGGTAATTGGTAGTAGGTACGTGGGTAGTTGGTAGTGTTTAGTTGGTACGTGGGTAGTTGGTAGTAGGTATGTGGGTAGTTGGTAGTAGGTATGTGGGTAGTTGGTAGTAGGTATGTGGGTAGTTGGTAGTAGGCACGTGGGTAGTTGGGCAGTTGGATACGTGGGTAGTTGGTAGTGGGTAGTTGGTAGTGGGTAGTAGGTACGTGGGTAGTTGGGCAGTTGGATACGTGGGTAGTTGGTACGTGGGTAGTTGGTACGTGGGTAGTTGGCACGTGGGTAGTTGGTAGTGGGTGGCACTACGCGTGGTGAGCTATGTTTACTGTGCAGCGACCTCAACGCAACTCGGTGTAGCCAACGCCGCACGCGCTGCACGACCAAGGGCGTCATTTGCCCGACGTTCCAGTGCAGGGGCCCACTCGCGATGGGAAACTTCGTCGTTGTTCTTTGTTGATTCTGCATGGCGATTTGTGTGGTCGTCGAATGTCGCCTGCGACTTCCTGCAAGTGCGTGGCGGTGGCCTGGTGTTGTGGCTGTTGATGGTGGTTGTTGTTGATGGTGGTGGTGTGGTGGTTGATGGTAGTGTAGTTGTGGCTGTTGATGGTGTTGGCGTGGTTGTGGTTGGTGGTGGTGGCGTGGTTGTGGTTGGTGGTGGTGACGTGGTTGTTGGTGTGTTTGCTTTACTGTATCTGCTCGAAGGCCGATTGCGCAATGCGATAGCGTCACATGCACACCCCCCCACGCACATTTGACGTTACATTATTATCTCTTTATCATTGCAAGTTAATTGCTTTTGTTTGACCGATGACACAAGCACGAGTCTCGTTCATTTTCTGTTGTTTGTGAGCCAGTCTCGCCCAAAAACATACGCTTAGTTACGTGACCATACTTCACCACGCTGGTCGATGCGGGTTGACGGCTGGGTGGATGTTGGCTGGCATCGCCTTCTGCTGCCCGCGACATAGCCAGGCGCTGCAGCCTGTAGCACCTGGGTCACGCTTGGCGTGGTCGCCCTGTAGGGCTCCAACTCTGCCTTAGGTTGACCTTGATGGGGCGCATCCACCCCCCCTACCCACATCACTTTGGCCATCTGCGCCTACAGCACATATATTGTATTTCACATTTCGTGGGATACAATATATACTGCGTTTGTTGACCCCCCCCCACTACGCCGCCGCACCTCCGATCAGCAACGATTGGCTGCGTACGGTGCGAAAGAAGTTGCAGTACATCCACGTGTCATTTCGACTTGTTCAGGACAAGGCGCGCAGTGGGTCGTCATTGTCTTGTGGGCAATGGTAGAGCCAGGATTTTCAGGTAGGAGGAGGGGGGTACAACCTCTCCAGCAATGAATAAGTATATACAAAAAAACTTTAAAATAAAACACGCTTTTATGAAATGTCCTGGTAATGGAAGAACTCCACGACTCCAGGAAGTGGCCCCGAAGCTTGCCACAACGTAAGGGGGACCGTGGGCAATTACAGCCAACGTGAGTTAACCGTGTACAATTAGACCCAAGCCGAAACATAATGTATAAAAAAAGAATGTTTTAAAATATATATTTATTTTTTACGATAGAATGTAGTATTGTCATCAGTAAGACATAAGTATACCAAGTTTGCAGTCGATATCACATTGGGAAGTGTGTTAAAATTGAGTTACAAGATTTGAGGATACAACAACGATAACAACAGTGAGTTAAAATAAAGCGTGTAATAAAGTAATAAAAATAATAGAGGAGTAGTTAGTAAGCAAGGACTTGTCCCTTTCTTTTTATTCGACGCGTGTGCGGCGATGGCACAGCCATCGATCGAGGGTCGAATTCGAACCGCGTTGTGTGATCGGCATCGCGCTCGCTGAAGATGTTGATGCCTTCAGGGAAGTCGTGGACTCTGTATACGCAACTGCGCACAATACTGAGTCACTTACAACTGCTTTGCCGTTACTTGTTGCCAATTATGGACTCAGACTATTGTCCTATCATCTCATACAGTCCCTGGCACATAATAATATGCTACACGGTGGCAGTGGGGGTCGCAAATTGCCGATTTATTACCAATAAACCCCAATGATCAGATCGAAATTCGGGATTTCGATCGGATCATTTTGGTTGTGGCGGTCACTGCTTGCTATCCAGCAGTGGCAAGATCACGGCTGCTGATGATAACGACTTGAAAAATGACGCGGCCTTCGTCTGCGTGCTGCTAAATAATCGGGGCAGGCTAGGTTCAAACCGGGTGGAACTCGCCCCTCTCTCTCTCTCCGCACGTACCGTTTGTTTGGTTCGACGCGGGCCAAGAGCCCCCCCAACCCAGGTCCGGTTTCGACATTTAGTGTCGGCAGAAGTTGAGTGGCAGGGTGACCTCTCCGATGTTTCTAGCACACCGCGTCAATCCATGCGGTTTTACCCCGTATTCCTGTGCAGGGGAAATTGAGTTTGCAGGTCCATATGGCGTGTGGCCGTTTCAATACGGGCAATACAAATTCTAATTTGTCTATTTGTTTGTGTTTCTACCTTGTGATGGGACTTTGTAGGAGGAACTTTGAGATGTATAAGGGGCACGGGGTTGACCAATAAGGTCTGAATTGGTCCGTAATAAGCTAGAGGGCACTGATAAGGGGTTGACAGGTTTGTTATCGGCCAAGGCCTCTTCTCTGTCTTAGATATGGGTCCCAGTTCCAGGCACAGCGTTACAATACAAATTTCGCAACAATCACGAGCGTCGTTGTGGAGAATGTAAACAACACAATGGATGTATTAAATATTACTTGCCAAATGACACCAGGCGACACAATCCTTGAAACAAGACTACAGACCTGCGGATGAGACTCAGAAAGTCGAAGCCGGTCCTGCTAGGATGTGTCCATGTGCCCACACTTAGATCAATTATGCGGTGCAGCATTGATTGGCCTTTTACGGCTCTTCTTATAGCTTCCCAAGTTCTCGTAACAACAACAACAACAACCCTTTGCTCCATCGATTCAAGAAAACGAATTGCAGTGTGTGCTATCCGCGCATACTTTCGACAGTGCCGTTTGTTGCTGGCCGCTTAAGAGGTTTCGCGAGCCTGCGCTGAGCAAGCCCCCGAGGTTGACACTCGCCGGGCCCGTGACCGCGCCGCCGCTCGCTAGGACCGCTGGGTATTGTTGGATGTTTTATATGTTGTGTATGTGTTTAACTTGTTGAATGTTGTATATATGTTTAACTTGTTTCGCACCCTACGTAGCCAACCTTGCTAATCGGAGGTGCTGCGGGGTAGGGGTGGGGGGGGGTGATTTCGAAAACGTTTTTTTTGGTTTGGCCATGTTTTTGTTTATTGTAGTACGGAGTTAGACGGATGTCCTTAATCTTCGTTGTCTTGTGGTTGGTGTTGTTTGACTTGCATCCCACTGGGATTTTTGCACACAGCGTTGGTGTACGGTGCTATTTCAGGAATATTTTGATATTTTTTCCTGTATTTTCTGTTTGCACAGTCACATAATCACTTTAAGATGTTTTCTTGTTCATGTTTTTGTTTGTTGCGGTTGCACCCGATTCAAGAGCCTAACGGCTCACAGGGCTATACCAAATAAATGGAACTATGAACTATACACACACACAGGATTGGTTCCCTGCAAACTAAAGCAAATATTGTTCCTGTAGGGATACAGAGAGAGATAGACAGTTTGTTGATTCCAAGACTACAACTGACTTCTTGCACCGGCACGGTTACTTATTAACTCCCCTGCTGGGCGTTGTGCGTTTAAAGGGATTCTCACGTGGCACAGCAGATGTTCGGTGCCACGCCGGGGGTTTTAACTGCATGTACAGGGAGAGGAGACGACCAGGGCTGAGCTCCGGAAAACATTTCTATGCTGGGGGAGTTAGGGGGTGGGGTTGTTCGAGACGTTGAAATGATGTAGGAAATTAAAAAATGAGAAATTGACCTGGTGTGCAGAAGAGGCTAAGGTAGACTCC